AGCTTCTTTACCTGCGGGATGGTCTGAGATGAGCCACCCGGACAGCTGGTGAAACTGTGGGTTTGCACAACCGAAGACTTTCTGCACAAACTGTCATAAACCTCATCAGGGAAGCTCATCTGTGTGTTCGTCGTCCTCACCAGAGTCTTGACCTGACTGCAGTTCGGCGTTGTAACCGACTTCAGTGGGCAAATTCTCACCTTCGATGGCCACTGGCACACTGTATAAGTGTGCTCTTCATGGATGAATCCCTGTTTCAACTGTACCGGGCAGATGGCAGACAGAATGGCGTTGAGCGGTTTGCTAATGTCAACATTGTGAACAGATTGCCCCATGGCGGCTGTGGGGTTATGGTATGGACGGGCATAAGCCAAGACAACAAACACAATTGCATTTTATCGATGGCAATTTGAATGCATAGAGATACTGTGACGAGATCCTGATGCCCATTGTCATGCCATTAATCCGCCGCCATCACCTCATGTTTCAGCATGATAATGCACGACCCCATGTCACAAGGATCTGTACACAATTCCTGGAAGCTGAAAATGTCCCAGTTCTTCCATGGCCTGCATACTCACCAGACATGTCACCCATTGAGCATGTTTGGGATGCTCTGGATCGACGTGTACGACAGTGTGTTCCAGTTACCGCCAACATCCAGCAACTTCGCACAGCCATTGAAGAGGAGTGGGACAACGTTCCAAAGGCCACAATCAACAGCCTGATCAAGTCTATGCGAAGGAGATGCGCCCCGCTGCATATGGCAAAAGGTGGTCACACCAAATACTGACTTGTTTTCTGATCCACGCCCCTACCTTTTTTAAAAAGGTATCTGTGACCAATAGATGCATATCTGTATTCCCAGTCATGTGAAATCCATAGATTAGGGCCTAATTAATTTATTTCAATTGACTGATTTCCTTGTATGAACTGTAACTCAGTAAAATCTTTGAAATTGTTGCATGTTGCGTTTTATTTTTGTTCAGCTTCTCTGATGTGATCACATTGGCTGGTAGTAAAAATGCAATAAATGGGAATCCTCTGTTCTCCCAACACCCAATGTTTATGTTTACAATGAAAAGTATTACGTCAGAATGCCCAATGTTAGAATGTTTCCAAATAAATTAATGAATTAAATTTGAACGTTTTCCTATCAGTCTAATTTGCATAAACATTGTGATTGGATAATAGCTGTGAGGGTTATCGAATCAGGATCAAATCCTCTGATCTCCTCGAGCTCATTAATGATATAATGTTAATATTTGAAGATTGCCGAAAGGCCAGTCTCTTTGGCAAATGACAGGAGTGGCAAGGAGTGGAATGTAATAGCTGAATAGAGACGGCAACCAGGCTAGATATCGTGTGCTTCACCAAAGAATTACACCGCACCACTCATCTCTGCCAGTAACCTTCTGGCAACGAGTCCATTTCCTTGGCCACAAGGCCATGCAACTGCCCTGGGCGCTTCAGTTTTGTGGGGGGATTATGTGTACTGAAAAAAACTCTGGTCGTGGCTGAATGGTTAAGGGTTTGGAGTGTGAGCAGCAGTGCTTTTCTGATGTAGCTACTTCAAGTATTGACTCATTTGTTTGTTGTGATATACTTCAGTTCAGGACACACCAAAACTCTGTGGGTTAAGTGTTTATTTTTTATTTGTATGAGTCATCATTTTGAGTCATTCATGTATGCAAAGCCTGTGTATTATGATAATGATATATGCTCTACATTATTTATTGAGAGTCCTGAGACAAACATTTTCAATGCATAAGAAGCTTGCTTCAGGCACCAGATAGAGAAATGTTTACCCACCAAAGTCCCAGTTTTTCAGAAACGTCTTAGTAAATTAGAATGGAGGAATGGGAATAGAAAAGATTTGATTACCTATTGGTGACATAAAAGTATCTGAATTACCTTCCAAAGTACACATTGTCATCAATACCAAATGGAAGGTAGTTTAAATTGATTGAACCAGCATGTGAAATGGTCTGTTATGGGTAAATACTGGTATGTGGTTCCTTTGGACTCGAGGAAACCGTGCACATGTTCAACCATTTCCGCCATAAATGCTTGTTTCAGGATAAATCACAGGCAAATAATTAGTGTTCATAGTAGGGATGAACAATAAAAGGCTTGATTTAAAAACAAACCATGTCATTTGTGCAAATAAAGACGAAAGATCGGCGAGGGAAATGTCACCTCTGCTGCTGATCTACATGGTAATTGGTCCTTGGCGCTTTACTTTCACGGTCAGGGGAAACGAAGATTGCTTCATTAAGTTCCCCTTCTGATAACCGCCACAGCCGCCGCGCCAATGGAATGGAAGATCTTGAATGACTATGCCATTAGTAAAGAAAAGTGCCTAAGGGAAATTAACTGGAATGGTGAATAATTAAGATAATAGCTCTATTTGCACATGGCAGCGTTAAAAAGCACCAAAACAGACTGAATCACATTCAATTATGGGTTCCGTTACTCTTTTGTATAACACCTTTTGCTGTGGCGGTCAATTTTGAGAGACCTTTTTATATAGCAACATACTGAACAGCTTGAGGTATAACAGGTTTTTGCTCAATTATTTTAAGAAACTGTAGTCCTGGAGGATAGGGCTGCTTGCACAAGCACATGTTCAATTGGTACTGCAAAATAAGGTACATTCTCTACATAAGGATTCCATAAAGTTCCCTGGCCTTGTATGTTAACAAGTCACTCCACACATGAGCATGTACCCAAATGTCTTTTAATTTGTTGATTTTAATATGGTTGTTGCTACTTTGCCTTCTGGGAACATATTTGGATAATTATTATTTTGTACGCATTAACAGTTTGTTTGACCTTGAACTGAACTACAAATGCTGGCATAGTTTCTGTCCCTGTGCTTGGTTCTGTTGGTTTTCTGCAGTCTGGCTAAAAAAAAAGATTGTGTCAACAAGCTAATAAGATGAGGGATAAATTACACTCATAACCTTTTGTGCTCCCTTGTCTCTGACTACACAGTGGATGTCAAAGGTGGAAAAGAGATAACATTTTAGACATTCTGCTGAACAGACACTCCTACACACAGTGTGCGCTTGCCAGAAAACACCCCACTAAATTCCATAAATACTGTAAGTGAACAGCATCGGCCCTCCCAGAATGGTCTGAGTTTTGAGGCTTTTTGTCTCTCACACACACACACACAAGCAATGCTCCCTGTAACTGAGGTCAGCAATGGTAGAACACTGTCATCGGCTTGTCTCTGTCATCATGAGTAGGATTAATGACACAGGCTGATCACCTGTCTGCGTCTGTTCATCATCTGAACTGCTTCCCTAATGGCAGGGAGAATTACCAAAGCTGACGATACTATCAGAGCTGTAGATATCCCGGGGAGGCCACTGATTTGACAGAGATTACTGTATAATCACCATACCATATGATAAAGGTTATGGCATGTTTGCACAATCTCTAGATTGTCTGGAATCATGTAATATAGACCATGTTAAATGGGGCAGAGGGTGCTCTAGTCTAGAAAGGTCATTCAATATATATGGAAATTATTTCTGGTCTCAGTTACATATGGATCACAGCTTGTTACATGGATAGTTTCCAGTAACTACAACTTTTGGTGTGAACTGTAACGGTGTATGAATGGAGAAGGCCTGCAGTACACCGCCTCCATAAAAAATACATTTTCTAAGGGTTCCTTTGTGTCAGCCAGCCTAGTATATTTTATCTTGAAATGGTGTAATGAGACGTATTTCAGAATAGATTCTTTGTCCTCTGTATATGGGCATGTAAGAGCATACATGAAGTGAACATTGTTCATTATGATATGTATGTGGTTTGTCCATGTCATTGTTCAACATCATGTAGATGATCTAGTCAATGGTTTTGTGTCTGCGGTCATGTGAATGGCCATCTTCCATGAATTGAAAGTTTCCATATGTATGCCAAATTTACCATCTTATTATTCAATTTAGAATATGGCATGATCAAAGATAACAGATGAGATGCAAGATGTATCAAGTTAAAAAGGAATCAGCCATGCTTAGCTAACTGAAGAGCATAACATGTTTTAGCTTTGCATTCAGTTTTTTTATTTGGATTCGAACAAGAGAAGCGAGTTCCACAGCGGTTTGAAAATAGTAAATCGGGCCTGAAGGGTTTTATTTGGGGATTCTGTTCGGTTGCATTCTGTTGCGGAGGAAGCACTCCAGCTGTCGGAGCCATTCCCACATGAGTGTAATCGCAGAGGATGGCTAGTGGTAGATTCTCACGGACACCCGCACACTAATGTATCCCAGATTCTTGGAACAAATGACCCAAATACTCACTGACTCAAAGAAATCTACTGACGTACTGCAGATTTATTATAATCTCTCGAGTCGCACAGAGGATATTATTGCAAACCATAGCGATTTCATGTTTTAATGTCATGGGTATTGAACTAAACTAGATATGTCTGCATTAATGGATAAGAGTTTTCCCATAGTAGAGAGAGGAGAGTTCTATTACTGTTGCGAAATTGCAGTATTCAGCTATAGGCCTAGATACAGTGATATTACAGTCTGGGGCTAGATTATGCCACATGACAAAAACAGATATTTTGGTGCTTTGTCTGTCTTCTAACGCCTAGCGACTTGATGTAAGATTTTGCGCAGGCACGTCCTTTCCCTATAAATGTTAAGCATCCTATGTTGCAATCCTTTGACTAGCATTAAAATGGTTGTGCATTTTAAAGTTGTTCAGTAATGATCACTAATACCCCTAGCATGGTTTAGGGCTTGGTGAGTAGGATCTGTTATAAAACAACTCTATTCATCCCATGACCAAAGCAGGATGTAAGGGTGAGCAGTATCTCCCTTGACACCTAACCCTGGCCATTCAGGATGCTGATTCAGTAGATATCCTAAACCTAGACAGCCTCTCTCCGTCTCAGTCCGATGCTGTGGCCTCGGCCGTGCTCCCCTGCTCTCCCACTCCACTGGTCTAATGAGAGACTGTCAGTCAGGTCCTGAATGCCCAGCCAGCGCTCAGGCAGCCGCCACAAAGCACCACAACCCCTGCTGCTGGTGGGGGGGTGGGGGTTGCCGGGCAACCTCCAGTCGTGGCATGTACTTAGCCTTTACCCAGAGGTCCGTGTGTTGTCAGATCTACACAGAGGTGGTGTAGAGTGGATCTTCTTCCATGCTGTCTCATCTGTCTCTATCTCATCTGGACTCAAAAGTGATCGGCCTCATAGGACATGAAAGAGTCCCTGTATCTGTGCTGCTTTGAAAAGGATCACACTCATCTGGCACAGTGGGAGGTATTATTTTTAAATATTGTATCATGCTACAATGAGTTTTTCACCTTGAATCATGTTTGGTGACAACTTCTTCCCCACCCACATAAAAACAGTTCTCCCTGTGCCTGGTTGCTACTCATTTTCTCCATTAACAGTTCAGTGGTTACCTCACCCATCTAAGCAACATCACAACATTTTTTTGATTCATTACAGCTAGCTATTAATAGGCCACATCTGCCCTGTTGCAGTGCACTGACAATGAATATTGGCCAACATTTTCAGTCATTTAGCAGACGCTCTTATCCAGAGCAACTTACAGTAGTGAGTGCATACATGTTCATATTTGTTCGTACTGGTCCCCCATGGGAATCGAACCCACAACCCTGGCGTTGCAAGTGCCATGCTCTACCAACTGAGCCACACGGGACCAACATGGTTTCCAGATGCTATGCTTAAGTCATTTCTCACTCTACCAAATCATACCAGTATAAAACAGATTTCCTGTGTGCCTCGTCAAGATAAGTCCAAATTTGCATTGCTCTTATGGGCCCAAAACAGCTATTGAAAAATATTAAAGTCCCTGGGGAAGAACGGATTATAATTAACTAATTAAAGAAGGCTTCGAACAGTTGCTTTAGAAAAATAAATAGTATAAGAAGATTAGTGAAATCTGCATGTGTTGACACTACAGGAAAGAGGAAATGTCTAGTCCTTTAATTCTATTTGTGGAGACTGATCCATTCTCATGGGCATGCACTGAGCCAGACACTTGTTTGATACTCAAGTTGCGTTATTTGAGGTTATTATGTTGTGGAGAAAGCATAACTTGCTAGTCATTTCATTCTGACATGGCCATTTGGAAACGTCAGTCACAGATTATTGGGGCTTGTCAACATGAACAAAGCGAGTGGTGACTTTGATAGTTATGCATTTTCTGTGCTGCTGCAATCCTGCTCCCAATCTCTGTCCAAGTATGTGTAAGCGGTCGTCTGTGTGTGTGCTCTTGTGCGCCTGTGGGTAATGACATGAAATCTGAAGAATTGCTCATTGTCCTGGGCTTTATGATCTGGTCGTGTCCCAGACAGTCTTCAGTTGGCACTGCTCCAGCAAAAACCCTTACTACCAGTGGGGGAGGGTGGAGACTTAATATGGAAATTACATTAATTACCGGACTATCCAACAGATGTGACCCTCACCCCACTCAACATAACTACTCATCAAATAAAGGACCTTCAAGATACAATTACATGTTTGTGTATATATTGTATCAATTGACAAAGTTAAACTGTTCTCTATTTGTGAAACGAGATTCCTCAATCCAACTGACAAACTGTTTATTTCAATGGATGGATGATGACATTAGCCTTTGTGAATGTTGCACATTTGGGGGATTTAGGAATGTTTCAGATTTGCTTTGGCAGCACAACCTAGATGGCTTGAGTGATAAACATTGAACAGAACTAAACCTCAGGCTAAAAAGAGCAGACTGAGAAAAATCTCTAAACAGTGCAAATCTCCTTCATTAACTTGTCAGAAACTAGCATTTCTCTCCTCACTCACTTGGACTCAGACTTTGTCTACTTTAGGCTGTCAGTAGGCAGTTGTCAATTCCAATGCCCTGAGTTGCTAAACATATTGACATGTTTCTGTTTCAGCGCCGGCCCCAAAGGAGACAACATCTATGAGTGGAGGTCAACCATCCTGGGACCACCGGGCTCTGTTTACGAGGGAGGGGTCTTTTTCCTGGACATCGCCTTCACACCCGACTACCCCTTCAAACCACCCAAGGTCAGCACCCACCACCACACTGACCACAAATGGTTTATAGCTTTAGCTCCATTGTGCTGCTCTTTTCCTCTGTGGAGAACTCTTGCTTTAATGTAATTTCAACAGCTAATATGATTTTCTGGGAATATGGTGTGCTATCCAAGCCTTTACCAATTCACTGTTCATATTTTAAATTCATTCTTTATTAGCCTTTTCAGGAAGTGTACCCTGTGGAATATTTTCGGTTGTTGAAAGGATGTCATTATCAAGTGTATGAGATGTGCTTTCGGATATCTCTCTTTGTGCTTCTTAGAACCCAATTTCCCTCTCACTTGCTTTCATTTTGAGTTCTGACTGTCTCACTCTCATTGTGTCTGTTTCCCCCCCTCTTTCATTCTCTCTTTGTCTCTGTTTCTCTCTGAGCTGTGTAAGAACCGGCTCTGCTGTTTGACAGCAGACTCAAACAAATCCACAGGCTCAAGGTCTGCTCAGTGTAGCCAGAGGGCTCAAGTGTTTTGTCCCATTGTGATCTGTAGCCAGTCCTTCCGTCACGATAGCGCACGATACACTCCTCCATTGAAATGCTCCATTGGAGTTTTGCTGTAGACTATAGACTCTTACCAGAACTTTTTTCAAGCCCCTAACTGAAACTCCAGTTTGACAAGATTGTTGGACAGATTGGAAGTATAAGATTCAGTTGTTAGGGTTAGTGGGGCAGAGAGCGCACCATTGTGGAGTTATTTAGAATGTCCTGTCCTCGGTGTGTTCAGAATGCCTAGGCTCATTAGATGTTTCCTCTGCAAGGTCAGGGTCAGTCTGTCCAGATGTTGGTGATTGGAGGACTAGGTCGGTGTCAGGTGTCAGGCCTAAACAGATGTCAGTGTCACGTTCAATCAGAAACACGGTAGTAAACTTAACAGGGACGTTTGTGTGGATGTTTGTTGTACAAAGGTTTGACGTAAGCACATTTTGAAACCAAAAAGTCATTTTTACCCCTTATTTGAATCCCTTTGAAAGTATTATAGGAATGATTATTTTCCTCTCAAACTAATATGCAACGGTTATGGCGAGATTAGAGATTGGCATGAGTTTGGTTTCTGGGGCTTTTCATGACAATTCTAAAGGTTTTCTGCATGTTGGTAAATGCACCATGCTGCCACCTGTTGGCTATATCAAAGCCTAAGGAAATTAGAAGGCGTATAAAAATGTGGGTATTTTTTATGGTATTCAAAAACTCTGCAGCCGTGTTATGAGGGTTGTCACCAAATACTGTATTTCCCTGTACTCGCCAGGTAACGTTTCGGACGAGGATCTACCACTGTAACATCAACAGCCAGGGGGTGATCTGTCTGGACATCCTGAAGGACAACTGGAGCCCTGCCCTCACCATCTCCAAGGTGCTTCTGTCCATCTGCTCTCTGCTCACAGACTGTAACCCAGGTAAGAGACCTATCAATGTCCACATCATGATGATCTGCAGTGTTCTCATTTCAGTTGGTGATTCATGACTGATTAAATGACATTTGAGTTGGCACTATCTACACACAGAGATGGTGATAATGTTTCATGCTTTGATAACTGTCTGCTGCTCTGCTAGTGGAGTTCCAGTATTCCCTTCCCCTGGGACAGTAGCTCTGTTTCTGTTGAACCTGTTGATGGAATTTAAATTATCTTTAAAAAAATAAGTCCTTATTCATCTTTTAATACAATGTAATAATATGTTCTTAACTCTCTCTGGGTCCAAAAATCTTACACCTGTGAAATGCTATTCATAAATGCATGCTCTGATCTGCATCCTTTTCTTTGTCATTGCAGCGGACCCTCTTGTGGGGAGCATTGCCACACAATACCTGACCAACAGAACGGAACATGACAGAATAGCCAAGCAGTGGACGAAGAGATACGCCACATAGATCCCCTGTCTGACTTTCCCACTGTTACCCTCTCCCCCCCACTGTACCTCTCTACCTCTCTCCCCAGCCTTTCAAAGCACACTCACTAAGTGCAACGGTGTACCTGTCATTCTCCCCCTAAACATTGTATCTACCTTTTCTTTGTAAAGAACTGTCCTTTGTTCCTTGTTGACTTGAAAGCTTCTTTTTTATACAAAGAGTAAATTGGGATTTTATTTTCCAATATCTGAATGTTGGAATTATTGTATTGAAAAAAGGCTATTATTCTGATAAGCATTGTCCCTCAACTATACAGTATGTATCCATGTTTTCATAGTGGCTCTAGGAACAAAATGCAGATTATATACTCTTTTTACTTTACTCTAGGTTCGTGTGTGTTTTTCAATTTCCTATTCCAGTCATCAATGTTATCTGCATGGAACAGGAGGAAGATTTGCATCAAATGACATTTCATGCTCTTCTACGCTCTCTGGTTTTGTTTGTACTGTATGTATTTTTTCAAACGCTTTTGAGGCAGACCACAGAAATATAGGTCTGCTTGTGAAAGAGGCAGGACTTGTACATTTACTGGCTACTCTGGCATGGCAGGGTGGTTTGTTGTGCACTTGTATTAATGAAGCACCCAATAAAACACACTGGTTGGCTTGTGACTTGTGGTTATACTCTTCTGTTCTGTAACTGTGACCCCTCTGTGTTCTGTGACAGGCGTTAAGAAGAGGTTAATGACTGGACCTATCATCCTTCTGCCTCATGACACACACACACACACACACATTGCCACTGCCTGTGCATATAATGAACTCCAGGGAATCAGTGAAACCAGGGTAAAATAGACTACAGCAGAAGAAACTGCATCACAGGTCTAGGTTAGAGGTGAGCATGAACCATAGACCATATATGAACCTCTCTCGCACCCTGACTTGGTGACACTCCAAACTTTATTTTGGCCCTCATCAGACATGTGCTTTTTTGTTCATATTTTTTTGATGTATGATATCAAAATGTCATAGTCTACTGTGACCTAATATTGAATGATCCCTGTGCACCGATTAAACTTCATTATTGTGAAGGCGCAATATGATTCCACTGCACCCGCGGCACTTCCGTTCCACAGAAGGCGATACGCACGAGCTCAGGCAGTGAACTCAGGCAGACACAAAGGAGGTAATTTGCTACTTGGCTAACGTTACTTTTAATATTGAATATTTCTCATGACTTATAAAATACTTTGTAGTTCTCTGCGTGTATTCAACTTGTTTAGTATTGGAAAAGACGGCTAGTTAACGACTCAAGACACATTTGTGGTGACAGTGCCTGGCTCAGGAAATAAATCTAACGTTAGCTAGCTCAAGCTAGTAACGTTAGCTAAGCTAGCTTCACTGTATGGTGTGAGGTTGTTTGCCAAATAGCTAGCTGGCTAAGTTAAATATCTTTGAATTTTGAAAGGTTGAGGTGGGCGTCGTTAACGTTGATGTAACTACAGTATTTTGCTAACTTTCTAGCTTAACGTTGGCTAAGGTCTGGGCAGTCAAATGGTCGGCTAATAATTGGGGAGACAAAATCAGAAGGTCGGACGTTTGTGACCAGCGTTAGTTAACCAAACCGGCTAGTCCAACCAGCTTGACTTGGCACAAGCAATTGCAAACGTAAACTACTGTAGGCGAACTCGCTAGCAAACTACTGTAGCCTCTTCGCTCCAGGAGACCTGTATTTTACACACAGGACAATGTGTGAGATCAGTGTCTAACGTTTCAGGTCTCCCGGAGCGAAGAGGCTGTTAAGCAAATAACTCCAGACCAGAGATACTAGCTAGCAAGCTAACGTTAGTTACTGTGAAGGAGGCCCGAGAATGTTCCCATCAAATGGTGGTTGGCCACACAGACTAACTAGCTGTTGTTCACCACCATGGTTCCATTTGTTCGTTCTGGGGCGGTTTTCTGAAGGTAGCTAAATTGTCCAATATCATTCATGATATATTACATTTGGGGAATAATGGAGGCTTGCCATATCAGAGCTGTCCAACTCTAAACTGTCCAACATTGTTTGCGCAACGATCCATAATCACAATATTATTGCCAGGGGGAGGGAGGGGGGTGGCAGCTAGCCAATTACCTATACTTCAACTGAGCACTAGCCAAGCAGCAAGCTATGTGGGACTCCCTAACCCAGTGGTTCCCAACCAGGGGTACTTGGCCTATCCACAGGGGGTACTTGAAGACTCATGAGACCATAGGCCTACTGGTAAAATGCACATGAGGGGGAAATCAGGGGTACTCTGGGCAGAGCAAAATTCGGTTGGTGGTACAGTAACCCGAAAAGGTTGGGTCCACTGTCCTAACCTAACGTAGCAGGTGATAAAGAAAACGCCTGAGCGGAGTTCTCACATCCCGGTTTCAACTGAAAAGGAAGCTAGGTGTAATAAGCTGTATCCCTGAAAACCAGATGCATCAGGTTGTTGGCAATTCCGCTAAGCCTAGGGACTCCCTAAAAACACGCCTCCCTAAAAACACACCACTTCGATACAGCTACGACCGGAAGTGACTTTTCCTAGCAGGTTAGGAGAGCATTTTCACTAAACCCTTTCCTAACCTTAACCTAACTCTCCTAACCTGCTACGTTAACTGTCCTAACCTGCTGCGTAAATTCAGCTAACCTGCTACGAAAAAGTCACTTCCGGTCGTAGCTGTGTCGAAGTGGCGTGTTTTTAGGTAATCTCAGCAAGCTATGTTGGGGTAGTTATTTTTCCTAGAACGTCTAAGGTGCTCTGTCATAACTGTAACGTTACTCCCGAGTGGCGCAGTGGTCTAAGGCACTGCATCGCAGTGCTAGCTGTGCCACTAGAGATCCTGGTTCGAGTCCAGGCTCTGTCGCAGCCGGCCACGACCGGGAGACCCATGGGCGGCGTACAATTGGTCCAGCGTCGTCCAAGGTAGGGGAGGGTTTGGCCGGCAGGGATGTGGGTTAGTTTCCCACGGGGGGCAAGTATGAAAAAAACTAAAAACATGTATGCATTCACTAACTGTAAGTCGCTCTGGATAAGAGCGTCTGCTAAATGACAAAAATGTAAAATGTTACTTCATTTTGCAAATAACTTGAAAGCAATATAATTTGTCAAAGCAACTGCTTTTTTGTTCTTCAACTGCTGCATCACAATCACATTGTAGGTTCCTGCTAATTTCTTGTCCAAACCGGTATGTCGGATGAGGATTCCCGTGTCAGCACCAGCTCGTCATCTTCTTCCTCCAATCAAAACAAACCAAAGGACACACCTTGCAAGAAACGGGAGAGCAAAGCCAGTATGAGCAAGACCTCCAAGCTGCTATCCACCAGCGCGAAGAGGTAACACCCAAACCTCATGAAATATTGGTGGTTGTCACACACAACACCCACAAAGTGACATTTAGCCAGAGGGGTGGGTTAATATCCTAGATGATTGTAGCTAGCACTAGGATTTTCTCTGTACTTTATTTGTGTTTCAAACTATTCTAGCCTCACTGTATTGGACCAAAATATCTGTGCCATTTTTACTTTCGCAAGTCCGTGGCTGAGAAAACAAAGATGTGTAAAGGTATGTCTGGGTAATCAATGATTGATCTGAATGCATGTTTGTTTCTGCAGGATTCAGAAAGAGCTGGCAGATATCACGCTGGACCCTCCGCCAAACTGCAGGTTGGTTTTATTTGAGCTCATCTTCTCTGTTCCAATCTGTCCCCAGTGTCTTGCATATTGCCATAGTCAATACGTACAGACGACTCTCAAAACAATAAAGGCTTGCATTACTTTCTGATGTTTCTCATGTTGTCCCATATGCTGATAAAATAAAGCTACACCCTCTATTTTGATCAAACTGTTTTTACTTGAAATGCCAGGCTGGATTAAGCACAATTTTACGTCTCCCTCATTGTATTGGATCAGCCTTGTAGTCATGACTCCCTAGATAATTCCCACTACATGTTCAGCATGTACCAAGGATAAAGGCTGATTTGCTCTGTGGAAATCAATATGGGTCATGATACAGAGGCACGGCATCAGTGATTGGTTGTGAATGGAGGCTTCTTTGAAGCTTGAGAGAAAATGTACTGTTCTGTGTGGTCACCAAGTGAGTACAACCCCAAGGGATAATAGGCTCTAAACAGTTTGGCAGAACTGCTACAAACAAGTTTTTTGCAGGTGCAATACTTTAAATGGACAATCGATTCATCCATTTTGGGACTTCTGAATTAATGAAATGTACCCATTGATTCTTGAAGAATATAACTTATTCTATAACCTTATGAGCTTAGTTCAACTGTTGTACCCTATCAGAACCCAAAATATATAAGCTTGTTTCACTCCAATGTTTGTAACACTATATAGCCTCAACACATGGTTAAAAGTATAATTTTGAAATCATGGATGGTCAGTCTCACCATCCATAGCTCTGTCAATGAATTTGAGTGGTGTTTCAGCTTTTTACCGAAACGAGTGGGGAGAATGCTTTGTCATTTTTTCAACTGCTGATTGACGCTTTAAGTTATCTGTCCCTTGTGGCAATGAGACGAAGTACACACACACACACACAAACGACCTGAGCCATAACAATAACAAAGAACGTGGTCCGGTTTACGCCAATTAGGGAGACTGTTCTCCTTTGGTTTTCCTGGTGGGTAACGACAAAGAAGTTGGATAAAGCACTTACAGATCTGTGACCAGGCTAATAGTGTAACATAATCTGTAACTTTTTCTCATTTAATTTCAGCGCTGGCCCCAAAGGAGACAACATCTATGAGTGGAGGTCAACCATCCTGGGACCACCGGGCTCTGTTTACGAGGGAGGGGTCTTTTTCCTGGACATCGCCTTCACACCCGACTACCCCTTCAAACCACCCAAGGTACTGGGCAATCGTCAGCTTCCTGTCACTACTTACTCTACACCACAAAACAGTCATCTTGGTTTAGTCCCTCGCAATGAATGGGACAGATTTACTTAGCATTGATTTGCGTGTTATTCGGGGTATACACAGCCAAAAATGCGACCGGCGATGACGTTATATTGTTATATTGTGCCTCTGCAAAATGATTGCCACCACAGCAAAAAAAGAAAACAAAAAATGATACTCTTACCAAGACTCACTTTCCAGATGCTAGAGAGCTATTTACACGTGTGCCTCTGTGTGCGCGTTATGTGCATGTGCGAGTCGGGTCGTTGCCAGAGACAGCAAGGTATCCTATACAATTTGATAGATAACAACAACACTAACTAAATAGCCAATTCGGAACATAGCTTGTAGCTTGGCTAGTTAGCTCACTAGTTAGTTCGCTAGTTAACTTTTCCGTTCTAAGTTTCATTCCATGTGCTAAAAACAAATCCAAAAGCTTCATTGAAATTTGCTCGATGAATGAAATTAGATTTTATATGAACTATTTATGATGTCACATTTGATAATTTCAATAAAATATGGAATTTCTCTTTGTGAATGGTGAAATGAGGATGACTGAATTTCCTCCAGTTTCTAGAACACACCAGGCAGCATATCTACAGTACCAACCATCGCTGCGGTTTGATAGAATTTCCTTGTTAATATGTTGAAGTACTCTCATCAACCACCAAGTGACTCCTCCACTTGGGTGCCAGAACAGTCTATGGATGTGATTTTCTTTCACGTTTAGATATTTTCTGCTTCGTGTGTTTAAATGATTCAGTTGTTAACGCTTGAATTAAGTTTGGGACAATACCAGTATCGCAATATTTTTTCCATGGCAAAAATTAAAACACGAAAGAGACCAAACTCTTTGGTCCTTTAAAAACCTGCTGTATCTAAAATATTGTGTGATTTATAGCTTGGAAAATAAATAAATGTGACTCTGGATGACAACATAATTATGTTTGTTTCCAACATTAGAGCAGTTTTGCTAAATAAATAAAATCTGCTTCATGTTTTGTTTCCTTTCCTTATTGCCACGATACTAACGAGTATAGCGAGACTGTTATCATCCAGGCCCTACATGCATTGTCTTTTGCCCCAATAAAGGTTGATCCACTTTAATAAATAGCTATACTGAACAAAAATATAAACGCAACATGCAACAACTTCAACGATTTTACTGAGTTACAGTTCACCTAAGGTAATTAGTCAATTTAAATAAATTATTTAGGCCCTAATCTATGGATTTCACATGACTGGGCAGGGGCGCAGCCATGGGTGGGCCTGGGACGACATAGGCCCACCCACTGGGGAGCTAAGCCCAGCCAATCAGAATGCTTTTTTTTCCCACAAAAGGGCTTTATTATAGACAGAAATGCTCCTCAGTTTCATTAGCTGTCTTGGTGGCTGGTCTCAGACAATCCTGCAGTTGAAGAAGCTAGATGTGGAGGTCCTGGGCTGGCATGGTTACATGTGGTCTGCGGTTGTGAGGCTGGTTGGACGTACTGCCAAATTCTCTAAAACAACGTTGGAGGCGGCTTATGGTAGAGAAATTAACATTAAATTATCTGGCAACAGCTCTGGTGGACATTCCTGCAGTCAGCATGGCAATTGCACGCTCCCTCAAAACTTGAGACATTTGAGACATTTGTGGCATTGTGTTGTGTGAGACAACTGCACATTTTAGTGGCCTTTTATTGTCCCCAGCACAAGGTGCACCTGTGTAATGATCATGCTGTTTAATCAGCTTCTTGATATGCCACACCTGTCAGGTGGATGGATTATTTTAGCAAAGGAGAAATGCTCACTAAAATGGATGTAAACCAATTTGTGCACCACATTTGAGAGAGAAGCTTGTGCATATGGAAAATGTCTGGGATCTTTTATTTCACCTCATGAAACATGGGACCAACACTTTACATGTTGCGTTTATATTTTTGTTCAGTATAGATTTTGATCTAGAGTTTCTAGCCTTATGTTTAATATGCACGTGGCAGGTACGTTATCAGTTTTCTACTGTTTTGTTTTTCCTCAAGGTAACATTTCGGACGAGGATCTACCACTGTAACATCAACAGTCAGGGGGTGATCTGTCTGGACATCCTGAAGGACAACTGGAGCCCTGCCCTCACCATCTCCAAGGTGCTGCTGTCCATCTGCTCTCTGCTCACAGACTGTAACCCAGGTAAGAGATCCATCAAACCATGACGGGGATCCTAACTGGCTTCCTTGTCCCCTTTTACTAGTTTCTCTTCAGATCTGCATCTGTCCCAGGCTGAAAATATTAGTATTCCTGACTCCCGAGAAGGGTCAAATTGAATCTGCAGGTAACATGGTAAATAGCAAATACCGGACCATTTCTTTGGTGTCATTTTGTCCTCAGATATGGAAGACTTTAAAAAATATATATTATGGGTAACACTTTGAAGCCCACACACAATGCCTTATAAGTGCATTTATAATTCCTTATGATACCACTGATAGTGCATTATAACACTTGCTATAAGCTGTCATAACTCATAAATAGTTATAAAATGCATTTAATTCATCACTTGGAGCAAAGTAATTGTTTCAAGATTCACCACCCTCATCTAACTGTTATTTCCTTAATGTTGTCTTTCACTTACAGCTGATCCCCTGGTTGGAAGCATCGCCACCCAGTACACAACAAACAGAGCAGAGCATGACAGAACAGCCAAACAGTGGACGAAGCGGTACGCCACATAGGCCCATAGAGCACAGCAGTCTGTGGGGGATTTTTAGTACTTTATTGTCTGGTATATTTTTTGGTTCCTGATTAAGTTATCTCTGCGTATGAAAATAAAGAAAAACAATAAAGAAAAACAATGAAATATGTAATGTCATATATTTTATTAGCGGACTCTCCGTAGGGTACTCCACTGCTTAGCCTATTGCTAATCTCCTGAAATATAGTAGGCTATCCCTAAAATAAAATGCATAAACGGTGCCATAAAAACATGGATTTCACCTTTTGCCAATTCACCTTTTTAATATGGAACTACAATACAGTTGTACCACAATAGCTACAAATCTAAGTATTTTTTTACGGTTTTGATGTCCATGTTTTACATTTAATAGCATTTAGTTATTGCAAAATAACATTATGGTAATCTCTAACTTGAAAAGCAAATGGTATTTGGTGCTAAAGGAACAGTGCAAGCTCATATACCGTCGTGGTCAAAGGTTTTGAGAATTACACAAGTATTGGTCTTCACAAAGTTCGCTGCTTCAGTGTTATGAGATATTTTTGTCAGATGTTACTATGGTATACTGAAGTATAATTACAAGCATTCCATAAGTGTCAAAGGCTTTTATTGACAATTACATTACGTTTATGCAAAGAGTCAATATTTGCAGTGTTGACCCTTCTTTTTCAAGACCTCTGCAATCCGCCCTGGCATGCTGTCAATTAACTTCTGGGCCACATCCTGACTGATGGCAGCCCATTCTTGCATAATCAATGTTTGGAGTTTGTCAGAATTTGTGGGTTTTTGTTTTGTCCACCCGCCTCTTGAGGATCGACCACAAGTTCTCAATGGGATTAAGGTCTGGGGAGTTTCCTGGCCATGGACCCAAAATGTTGATGTTTTGTTCCCCGAGCCACTTAGTTATCACTTTTGCCTTATGGCAAGGTGCTCCATCATGCTGGAAAAGGCATTGGTTGTCACCAAACTGTTCTTGGATGGTTGGGAGAAGTTGCTCTCGGAGGATGTGTTGGTACCATTCTTTATTCATGGCTGTGTTCTTAGGCAAAATTGTAAGTGAGCCCACTCCCTTGGCTGAGAAGCAACCCCACACATGAATGGTCTCAGGATGCTTTACTGTTGGCATGACACAGGACTGATGGTAGCGCTCACCTTGTCTTCTCCGGACAAGGTGTTTTTCGGATGCCCCAAACAATCGGAAAGGGGATTCATCAGAGAAAATGACTTTACCCCAGTCCTCAGCAGTCCAATCCCTGTACCTTTTGCAAAATATCAGTCTGTCCCTGATGTTTTTCCTGGAGAGAAGTGGCTTCTTTGCTGCCCTTCTTGACACCAGGCCATCCTCCAAAAGTCTTCGCCTCACTGTGCGTGCAGATGCACTCACACCTGCCTGCTGCCATTCCTGAGCAAGCTCTGCACTGGTGGTGCCCCGAACCCACAGCTGAATCAACTTTAGGAGACGGTCCTGGCGCTTGCTGGACTTTCTTGGGCGCCCTGATGCCTTCTTCACAACAATTGAACCTCTCTCCTTGAAATTGTTGATTTAGGTGCAATCTTACTAGCAGCAATATCCTTGCCTGTGAAGCCCTTTTTGTGCAAAGCAATGATGACGGCATGTGTTTCCTTGCAGGTAACCATGGTTAACAGAGGAAGAACAATGATTTCAAGCACCACCCTCCTTTTAAAGCTTCCAGTCTGTTATTCTAACTCAATCAGCATGACAGAGTGATCTCCAGCCTTGTCCTCGTCAACACTCACCTGTGTTAACGAGAGAATCACTGACATAATGGCAGCTGGTCCTTTTGTGGCAGTGGAAATGTTTTTTGGGGATTAAGTTCACTTTCATGGCAAAGAGGGACTTTGCAATTAATTGCAATTCATCTGATCACTCTTCATGACATTCTGGAGTATATTATAATAATAATAATAATAATATGCCATTTAGCAGACGCTTTTATCCAAAGCGACTTACAGTCATGCGTGCATAAAACATTTTTTTGTGTGTATGGGTGGTCCCGGGGATCGAACCCACTACCTTGGCGTTACAAGCGCCGTGCTCTACCAGCTGAGCTACAGAGGACCAAATTGACATCATCAAAACTGAGGCAGCAGACTTTGTGAAAATTACTATTTGTGTCATTCTCAACTTTTGACCACGACTGTACATACCGAGTGTGCTTGTTTATGGTTAGATGAAGGATTAGTGATGAACTGCCTCTACTATGTACAACATGCCAATATGGCTCTGCAGCAGTCCATTAAGTGGCTGTTTTACCCTTTACCAAGAACAGCTGTTCTAAATGGACCAGAAATTATCTAAATGAAACTATGGGCCCTGAGGTTTAAACAATGAAATATATAACAGGTGTGGCAATGGCAATATCTGATTTAAGATGCATTAATATACATAAAAACAATACCTTTACCAAAATATTTACTATTTATGCAAGTCATTACAATAATAACAACAAACATCTATTTCCATCTTATATGGACCCTAGCCTCATTTAAAGTCCAAGCGGTTTAACAGGACAGGTTCCACTCAGACATGCCCGCCATGGTCGACCAAAGAGTTGAGTGCACGTGCTCAGCGTCATATCCAGGGGTTTGTCTTGGGAAATAGAGGTATGAGTGCTGCCAGCATTGCTGCAGAGGTTGAAGGGGTGGGGGGGTCAGCCTGTCAGTGCTCAGACCATACGCCGCACACTGTATCAAATTGGTCTGCATGGCTGTTGTCCCAGAAGGAAGCCTCTTCTAAAGATGATGCACAAGAAAGCCCGCAAACAGTTTGCTGAAGACAAGCAGACTAAGGACATGGATTACTGGAACCATGTCCTGTGGTCTGATGAGACCAAAATAAACTTATTTGGTTCAGATGGTGTCAAGCGTGTGTGGCGGCAACCAGGTGAGGAGTACGAAGACAAGTGTGTCTTGCCTACAGTCAAGCATGGTGGTGGGAGTGACATGGTCTGGGGCTGCATGAGTGCTGCCGGCACTGGGGAGCTACAGTTCATTGATGGAACCATGAATGCAAACATGTACTGTGACATACTGAATCAGAGCATGATCCCCTCCCTTCGGAGACTGGGCCGCAGGGCAGTATTCCAACATGATAATGACCCCAAACACACCTCCAAGATGACCACTGCCTTGCTAAAGAAGCTGAGGGTAAAGGTGATGGACTGGCCAAGCATGTCTCCAGACCTAAACCCTATTGAGCATCTGTGGGGCATCCTCAAACGGAAGGTGGAGGAGTGCAAGGTCTCTAACATCCACCAGCTCCGTGATGTCGTCATGGAGGAGTGGAAGAGGACTCCAGTGGCAACCTGTGAAGCTCTGGTGAACTCCATGACCAAGAGGGTTAAGGCAGTGCTGGAAAATTATGGTGGCCACACAAAATATTGACACTTTGGGCCCAATTTGGACATTTTCACTTAGGGGTGTACTCCCTTTTGTTGCCAGCGTTTAGACATTAATGGCTGTGTGTTGTACACTGTTATACAAGCTGTACACTCACTACTTTACATTGTAGCAAAGTGTCATTTCTTCAGTGTTGTCACATGAAAAGATATACTCAAATATTTACAAAAATGTGAGGGGTGTACTCACTTTTGTGAGATACTGTACAGTCGTGGTCAAAAGTTTTGAGAATTAAGTATTGGTTCACAAAGTTCGCTGCTCCAGTGTTATGAGATATTTTTGTCAGATGTTACTATGGTATACTGAAGTATAATTACAAGCATTCCATAAGTGTCAAAGGCTTTTATTGACAATTACATTAAGTTTATGCAAAGACTCAATATTTGCAGTGTTGACCCTTCTTTTTCAAGACCTCTGCAATCCGCCCTGGCATGCTTTCAATTAACTTCTGGGCCACATCCTGACTGATGGCAGCCCATTCTTGCATAATCAATGCTTGGAGTTTGTCAGAATTTGTGGGTTTTTGTTTGTCTACCTGCCTCTTGAGGATCGACCACAAATTCTCAATGGGATTAAGGTCTGGGAGTTTCCTGGCCATGGACCCAAAATGTTGATGTTTTGTTCCCCGAGCCACTTAGTTATCACTTTTGCCTTATGGCAAGGTGCTCCATCATGCTGGAAAAGGCATTGGTCGTCACCAATCTGTTCTTGGATGGTTGGGGTTCAGTCGTTCAGTCTTTTTGTTCTAAATGTTCCATTGCCATAGTGGCTGGCAACGTTCTTATCCATTGCTTGCTAGCTAGCCAACTAAGGCTAACTTGCAGTCATGTCAAAAAGTGCAGCCAGAATAACAGCAAAGTAGCCTTTTTGCATTTGTTTAAGCTGTTTTCTAGTGATACATCCATAACAATGAGCTAATGAGGTACGATTTCACCTGGCATAGAAGATGTGCTCACTCGTCAGGACACTGTTGTTCAAAAGAGCTAGCCAACAACACAGCTATTGAGCTAACACAATCACTTCAAACTGAAGCTGGAAAGACTGCAAACTAGCTGCACTTTTTTCAATTGACATTTCTTTGTATATATCCATAAAAATGATGCCAGCTGATTCATGATTTCGACTAGCTGAGAAACGTTGCCTGCCTGTCTGTCTCGTCCCGACTCCCAACACGTTCATTACTATGGGACAGCTAGAGATAATATTTGAATATTGAAACAATGTTGCAAATGTCGGACAGACAGACAGCAAGGTTTATACAAATCTCCGCTGTTGAAAACTAAATGTTAGTCTAAAAGAATGCATTTTATAGTGGAGATCAAGTTTATAAAGTGTCTGGCTGGGCTGATGAGACAGTGGAACAGAGTAAATAGGCATTTTAAAATAATAGATTTAGCCGGTGGTAATTTGTGGAATTGACACCGGTTGTAATGCGGTTTTAACCAATCAGCATTCAGGATTAGACCCACATGTTGTATAATTCTGAACTATACATATGTTGCATTCCTTCTGTACAATTTCGATGTAATCCAATGAAGGATGGATGATCACAATGCACTGCCTATGGATTCACGTTACGCGTGAGAGCATCTAGAGATTGGCTTGGAGCAGTCCCAATTATGTTTATCATTGTGTTAAAGGGCCAATGCAGACATTTTTATCTCTATCAAATCATTTCTGGGTAACAATTAAGTACCTTACTGTGATTGTTTTCAATTTAAATGGACAAAAACAACTTCTCAGAAAATAGCAATTTCTCAAGCAATAATTTTGGTAGGACTGTTTGGGAGTGGGGAGGTGAAAACGGAAAACTAGCTGTTATTGGCAGAAAAGTTTGGAACTCTCTTGTTTGTTTATTAAGGAATTTACCGCCTGGTGATGTCACCAGGCAGGCCAAAACTCCATCCCACCAAAACAGGCTGGAATGTCAGATGGTCTTTTCAAACAGCTCTTACACTAAAATGCCATTATCATCAATTTCACAGTATTATTCCAAGCTCATAGTGTTGATATACAGGATGTGTGTGTGAAATAACAGGAAAATCAAGTTTTTGAGTGCACTGTGCCTTTAACTCTGCCTCTGGTCTGTGAAAGTGTGTCACTGGGTTAAAGTGTCTGTCAAGCGCCCAGGCAAGTGGGAGTGGCTGACAACTGGGTCACATGGTTAACACTATTGAGAACATTCAGTACAGAAGAGTCATCAAACAACGGAGTTCATCCTGCGTTTCTCATCTTGTTACACACAAAATCAATTCGGGTTGTATTAGATGCCACAGAATTGTCTCGGAACATTTTGACTGAAAGAAGAGCAGAACTTGTTTTGTTCAGGATACTGACAGTGGAGTGCAGATAATTATATTAATGCTACAAATATTTACTACAGTAATGTCATTGAGACTGAAATAAGAAAAAGTGTTGAGCTTTAGATGATCGACGCTTTGAATTTGAGTTTGTTACAGTGAACCACTGTGCTACTAACGAAAATAGCACTTTGCAATCCTTGAAGAAAACATCCAGTGCACTTTGTGAAACTGGCGAATTATTGACAAGACATTGAGTCAGCATAGGTTGCTTTCTCTTAACGATTCCCGGAATCGAGGAGCCTGCAGACATGGGATCAACCAAGCCTGGTAAGACCGGCTTTATTATCCGTGCTATTACAATGTTACAATGTATCTTGTCACTGTCCAACTCTCGCTACATTGAACAGTTACTTTGTTACAAATGTGTTACTTTGTTACAAATCTAGTGTTACTGTCGCTTTCTATAAATATTGTGTCGTTCTAAGTATCTGTTCTAGAAAAAAGCTTGTGCAATCTGGCTATTATCTGTTCATATTTTATATAGTTGTGTGCTTTTTATAAATTGTATATGGAACACAATTAGAAACCTTCTAATAGATTATTTAGCTTTTCTGGTATACTTATTGTCAAGCCATGTATATGGGTAAGGAATGGCATTGTGCTACGGGGTTTTTGTTTTGACACTACGATGTTCTGCTTTGCTTCACCTCACATGGACCAAGCTGCCTAGTCATGTGCGGATCCCTCTCGACTCTCACTGCTCATTGGTCGAGAAGAGGCTGTGACGCAATCATTGCGTAATTCTGTCCCAGCTCAAGGGCTGCATGCAGGTCCACGTGAGACCACGTGACCTAGATTTTCTCTTAGACATGACAGCTCCACACGTGGGTGGGTTTTGGAAGCGAATAGTCATAGCTGGTTAGGTAATCATGGCCAGGTCTTCGAGAGCATGAACTACATTTATGGCTACATAGTAGAGCATATATGTTGATTTAGTGTCTGAGCCTCCTCTACCCAAAGCAACAGGTGTATTATTTTCCCTAGCTGAGCTTATTTAGCCCATATTCAAGCTTTTGGTTTAATAATGTCAACATTCTTATGTAATATCGTGACATAACACCAATGACTACAGGAATAACTTTGCTTTTGCCAGAAACAAAAATATGATATATTATTATGCCCTGTCAAGCAAAAAAGCAGTAACTGCTCATAAATTGAAACTTAGAAAAATGACTTCAGGGTTTTTTAATTATCGAGCCAAATGAGTTGTAGTCAGATCATTGGAGATATTATCTGTTGTCTTTTCTCAGTTTATTTTGTATTCAGATTGACCCTGACCTCTGACATTATCTCTGTATTCATATTGACCCTGACCTCTGACATTATCTCTGTATTCATATTGACCCTGACCTCTGACATTATCTCTGTATTCATATTGACCCTGACCTCTGACATTATCTCTGTATTCATATTGACCCTGACCTCTGACATTATCTCTGTATTCATATTGACCCTGACCTCTGACATTATCTTTGACCCTGGACGGCAGTTACTGCCTTCTTGCTTGGTACACCCACTGGAATGACAATTTTTTAAAACACAAACTTGTGTTTATACATTTATTTGTATGTGGCTGTCAGTGTCATATAGTTTGATACTTGTTTCAACAGGCAACAATAAATAATGCCAAGGTAAACCATAGTAACTGCAGCCCAAAGCTTAGTGATTCAAGGTAAAAAGCAGTAACTGAGGTGAGCGATTGCAGTTGCTGCTTTTTTCCTTGGTTTCACTAACTTTTTCCAGCTACTGCAAACATGACGTCCCATTTGATCCGAAACAGATTTTGTCCACATGATAAAGCATGTATTTAGTGTATCAAAAATGTCAACTCATTTTTGACCTAATGTGCAATTACTGCTTTTTTGCTTTGTAGAGGGCGGTATTCATTCAATTTAATATATTATAGAAGAACTGAGAAACCCAACGCCAACCTAGATGGAATAGAAATGTTAAAGCGCATACAAATGATTACAGAAACACATATGTTTTTTTTTTACACTTTAAAGTGTCATGTTTTGACGGTACACCATTAAATAATTTAGGTAAAATTGAAGATATTTGTGATTGTTATTAGGTTTCGGTGTATCATGTAACACACCTTATCACCCTGTGCCCAAAAGTCTTCAAATAAAGTCTTCAAATAAAAATAATTTTTGTTCAATAATGGTGACATGTATGACCCTGGCTGGGACTGCAGGCTTTGCTGTACTATTTAGGATAACTGTACACACCCACAGAGCCGGCTTGTAATGTAACAGTGGTGTTATTCAGTCCCCAGGCATGAGGTAGTAAAAGCAGGTCAAACACCAGGATGAATGAAGGAAGGGGGGAAACGGTCTGGCATACATATATTGGGTGTGGCAAGGGCAAACAGGCAGATGGTTTATCAGATTTTATGGTTTATATTATGTTTATATATGGTTTATTATTTACCTTTGACCTAGTTGGTCCAATTCCATCACTATTATAACCTTACTCTGACTTACAATTGGGTAAAAACTTAGAATAAAACTTTGTGTCCCTCTTAGTTGTAACAAAATATTACGACATCAATATTATGTTTTTGATATGACGTAAATTTGAGTTAATTCCACTAACCTTGTGGTTTTTTCCTTCTCCCCTCAGGTGGTGTAATAGCCTACATCTCTTCTGGCTCCGCCTCCAGCCCGGAGTCCTGTTTGAGTGACAGCTGCAGCAGCGGCTACCTGTGCTCCTCTCCGCCTCATCCCTCACTGCCAAGCAGGGCAGTAGGAATCATGGTGGACATCGCCCGCCCTACCACAGCCAAGCACCCACGTAGCCACGGCACAGAGAAGACTGGGCGATCCACCTCCACCAAGAGCAGCATCACCAGTGAGTGTATTTCAGTCCTGGAAATCCATTCAGTATGGCAAGGATACTAGATACAGTGGGGGAAAAAAGTATTTAGTCAGCCACCAATTGTGCAAGTTCTCCCACTTAAAAAGATGAGAGAGGCCTGTAATTTTCATCATAGGTACATGTCAACTATGACAGACAAAATGAGAATTTTTTTTACCAAAAAGTTATATTTTGGTTTCATCTGACCATATGACATTCTCCCAATCCTCTTCTGGATCATCCAAATGCACTCTGGCAAACTTCAGACGGGCCTGGACATGTACTGGCTTAAGCAGGGGGACACGTCTTGCACTGCAGGATTTGAGTCCCTGGCGGCGTAGTGTGTTACTGATGGTAGGCTTTGTTACTTTGGTCCCAGCTCTCTGCAGGTCATTCACTAGGTCCCCCCGTGTGGTTCTGGGATTTTTGCTCACCGTTCTTGTGATCATTTTGACCCCACGGGGTGAGATCTTGCGTGGAGCCCCAGATCGAGGGAGATTATTAGAGGTCTTGTATGTCTTCCATTTCCTAATAATTGCTCCCACAGTTGATTTCTTCAAACCAAGCTGCTTACCTATTGCAGATTCAGTCTTCCCAGCCTGGTGCAGGTCTACAATTTTGTTTCTGGTGTCCTTTGACAGCTCTTTGGTCTTGGCCATAGTGGAGTTTGGAGTGTGACTGTTTGAGGTTGTGGACAGGTATCTTTTATACTGATAACAAGTTCAAACAGGTGCCATTAATACAGGTTACGAGTGGAGGACAGAGGAGCCTCTTAAAGAAGAAGTTACAGGTCTGTGAGAGCCAGAAATCTTGCTTGTTTGTAGGTGACCAAATACTTATTTTCCACCATAATTTGCAAATAAATTCTAATTTTTTCTCAATTTGTCTGTCATAGTTGATGTGTACCTATGATGAAAATTACAGGCCTCTCTCATCTTTTTAAGTGGGAGAACTTGCACAATTGGTGGCTGACTAAATACTTTTTTCCCACTGTATATTCAAAATGGCAAAGGATAGGAAATGAATTGTATGAGTTGCCACACTATTCTCAAGTCTACATGAGTCATCCTCATGTACGGGTGGAATAGTAAATTTGTTAGAGAGGTATGAATTAGTAGTAACATTGATGTGTGTTTTTCCTTACAGAGATCAACGGCATAGTGTTGTTGTGTAAAGTGTGCGGCGACGTGGCCTCAGGGTTCCACTATGGCGTCCATGCCTGCGAGGGCTGCAAGGTAAGACTAGTCCTGACTGCTTCTCATGGAATGCCACACTGCTAGTCCTAGGTTTCATTCATGTTATTCAATGGCTCTGTGTCATAAGAGTTTTAACAGTGCCATTAGTGTTTTAAACTGGGTAATAACCGTGCACAAACAATGTTTTATGTTATTATTCTCAGGGTTTCTTCAGGAGGAGCATCCAGCATAACATCCAGTATAAGAAGTGTTTGAAGATGGAGAGCTGCACCGTCATGAGGATCAACAGGAACCGCTGTCAGCAGTGCCGCTTCAAGAAGTGTCTGGCTGTGGGCATGTCTAGAGACTGTGAGTCTCCACTTTTACATGTACATAGAAAATAATAAATTAATTTTTCCCATATGGAAATACAATGGTTAATGGGGGTGAGGAGTTTCCTTTTAGAAGTTTGATGGATTGACTGACTGTAGGGATATTTGAGCCCTTATTAGTGATATATGTACTAATGTGTGTTATTTTTGATTGCCTTCTTCAGCTGTTAGGTTTGGCCGCATCCCAAAGAGGGAGAAGCAGCGCATGCTGCTGGAGATGCAGAACGCCATGAACAACATGATGAACAACAACAGCCAGCTCCACAGTATGCTCCACGGCACCCAGAGTCCACCCCGCCCCATGGAAGGGCTCCCCAATGACGGCAGCTCCTCTTCCTCTTCCTCATCTATCTCGTCTTCATCAGGCTCCAACCCTTCCTCACCCCGTTCCGCTCAAGACTCCATGGAGACCAGCTCTGCCTCTTCCTGTTCGTCGGATGACGAGGTTCCTCCTTCCAGGGTGTGTCACCAGGGCACATTCACATACCGCCGTGAGCAGCGACAGTCCATCAAAGAGGAACCGGACGAGTCACCTTCGCCGGTCGCCAGGGAAACTGAAAAAGACAGGAGAGACAGCTGTGTGGAGGAACCGCGGGAGAGCTGGAACCGCTGCAATGAAGACGCCATCGCCAGGGGTTACCAACCTAGTTGCAACAGCTATCAACACGTCACCAACGGTCTCTACCGGGAAGAGAGAGTTGTTTACCAGCAGCGGCCTCCGCAACTAAACGGCGCCCCCAGCCTCCATCACAGGACCCTCAACACAATGCACAACGCACAGACCGTCTCCAATGGTTACAGTGGACCATCATACAGCCTACAGGACCACAGGACAAACTTGGTGAGTGTCCTTTTATCATTTAATTTGCCTTTATTGAAAGATTGAGGAAATTATGAGATTGAAAGTCTTTACAAAATGTTACAGTAGAAATGCATTGTATACTGCACACCTGAAATTACACCATAACCATGCCTAAAGCACACATGGAAAATACCTAAAAAGCCCTATCCTCTAAATCCCCTCCATCTTGTTTCTTCTGCATTATTGTTCCTGTATCCTGTTTTCCATTGCTGAGGGCCCTGTTCTCTACTCTTGTCACCCCAGGTCACTCCCAGTCTCTATGTGGACCCCCGCCAGCGCAGCCAGGAGATATGGGAGGAGTTCTCTCTGAGTTTCATCCCGGCCGTGCGCGAGGTGGTGGGGTTTGCCAAGAGCATCCCGGGCTTCCGAGACCTCTCAGAGGACGACCAAGTCAGCCTGCTCAAAAACGGAACGTTTGAGGTAAGAATCCCTGGACTATCTGATACCAAAAATAGATATTTCCCACCTCTTGCTGTCGTGTTCCAAATGAACATTGCACTCTCTTTAACTCTGAGTGTTGAGTTGAATATAGTACAGTCTGTAGATATGTTATGGTAGAGTATCAGTGTATTTTAACTCAACATTGAACTCTCTCTAACCCAGTTAGGTGGGCATTATCACTGTTGAATTCTGCCGGGATGTTGTCCAGTGCTAGACACCATAAATCCCTGTTCTAACACACAGTCTCTCCTCCCTCTCTCTCTCCAGGTGCTTATGGTGCGCTTCGCTTCGCTGTTCGACATGGCCGAGCGCACGGTGACCTTCCTGACGGGGAAGTGTTACAGCTTGGAGCTGCTGCGCTCGCTGCGGGCCGGGGAGCTGCTCACCTCCATGTGTGACTTCAGCGAGAAGTTGGCCGCTCTGCAGCTGGACAAGGATGAGATGAGCCTCTTCATTGCCGTCGTCCTCGTCTCCGCCGGTAAATAACACTGTCCCTGTAAACAGTGGCCTTGTAAAACACAGTGCCCTTTTAAACACGTTGTAATTGTAAACACACTGTCCTCATGTCGCTGGCTGGCTGTCCTCTGGCTGACTTGTTGGCTGGCTGGCTGTCCTCTGGCTGACTGGTTGGCTGGCTGTCCTCTGGCTGACTGGTTGGCTGGCTGTCCTCTGGCTGACTGGTTGGCTGGCTGTCCTCTGGCTGACTTGTTGGCTGGCTGTCCTCTGGCTGACTGGTTGGCTGGCTGTCCTCTGGCTGACTGGTTGGCTGGCTGTCCTCTGGCTGACTTGTTGGCTGGCTGGCTGTCCTCTGGCTGACTGGTTGGCTGGCTGTCCTCTGGCTGACTGGTTGGCTGGCTGTCCTCTGGCTGACTGGTTGGTTGGCTGGCTGACTGTATTATGGTTCTGCGTCTAAAATGGCACCCTATTCTCTATACAGTGCACTACTTTGGTCAAAGGTGACATTTAAAATGCAGTCCTGTACATACCATTCAGCCACTGGTGTTAACAAACACACAATAATTATGTGTACGATGAAACCCAAAGCCTTCTTTGATACTGACTGTTCTTATGCTCTGTTCTGTGATCAGATCGTTCGGGGATCCAGGACTTGAAGTCAGTGGAGGCGCTGCAGGACACGCTGATCCGAGCGCTGCGGAGTCTGATCATGAAGAACCACGCCAACGAGACTACCACCTTCACCAAGCTGCTGCTGAAGCTGCCCGAGCTGCGCTCCCTCAACAACATGCACTCTGAAGAACTGCTGGCCTTCAAAGTGCACTCATAATGGGGCTCATCTGACTCCTAAATACCCTCCTTCCACACTTTAAAACCAGGACTGACCTCCTCTGCCACTCCTATACCAGGACCTAGGGGAGACCTTGGGGACCTACTGTTTGCAGTCGACGAACTCAGTGTATTTCTCCAAAATGTAGTGAGAAGTTATTTTGGACTATGTTGAAAGGGACAAAGGTCAGAGAAGAGAAGATACTGTACTCTATTCATAGGAGATGGCTATGAACAAGTGTGTGTGTGAGAGGCTTGTAGTTTTGCCAAGTTAGAGGCACCTTTCTATTTTTAAAGAAAAAGATGAAGAAATACTATACAGTCTTTTTGAAATGAAGAAGTGCAGAACTACTTGGTTTTGTTAAAGCCATTTAATTCCAAAGTGTATTGCTCACGAGCAGTGTGAATGTGATGATTATGCTATCTATTGGATGTTTCAAACGATGCGCAATATCAATTGGTCACTGTTTTCAACCCAATATATGTTTGATAAAAGCCCTCAAGACTCAATGTAAACATCTATCTATCAGAAAGAATGCTTGATGAATCAGATGATTGCTGCTATTGCATGGCTATCCTTAAGTGAACAACTTGATGTTGTCGTGCCCAACCCTCTGAGGAAGGAGTCATTTCTTTATTTTTGAATTGTTCAACTGCATTGTCATCTTTACTGTCCTTTGTGGACATAGGGTATTTAATTAGTCTGAATATTTTGAATATTTTATTTTTGCAAGTCTTTGACAGCTGCTTCTACCATGCCTCCTTCTGGGGAGTTGTTGATAGGACACCTTTTCAGCAACACAACTTTGCACATTGTGTTGTGGACTGTCAACCTCCAAAGATGCCAGCACAGACCCACACAGATGCCAGCACAGACCCACATCATGTGTGCATAATGTAAACATGATGATACTGAAGTGTTCCTTAACGGATTTCCCACCTTCCTCACAGTGAGGAGTTACTGGGTGGTTTTTACTTTACCTCCTGGCATTTTGGCACAGCACATGACTTTGCAACTGAAATCATTTCCCATCTGTTGTTTTTTGGGGAATGTCTATATTTGTCTCCTTTTACTGACAAGATTGCAATTTGTAAATAAACTATGTATATCTATCAGATAAATATATAAATAGTATAAATAAATACAAGTGAAGTTATTTACGGTCTTGAGTTTTTTTTGTGCAATATGTTTGAACTCATTTGGTAATAATATGTATATAATATTGTCTAATATGAGCATCCATGAGGGGTAAAGCACTAAGTACTGTAGTTATATGGTTAGTTACATTGCGATATCATTTGTAGAGGTACCGTTATTGTATAGTGATTTTCCATATTACAAACCAGGTCCAATTAATTGGCTTAAAGCACGGGTGTCAAACTCATTCCAAGGAGGGCTGAGTGTCTGCGGGTTTTCGCTCATCCCTTGTACTTGATTGATTAATTAAAGTCACTAATTAGTAAGGAACTCCACACACCTGTTTGTCTAGGGCTTAATTGAAAGGAAGAACCAAAAACCTACAGTTTTGAATGAGTTTGACGCCCCTTGCTTAAAGTCACCACCCAACTCTGTAACCACGTGGATCTGAAATGCAGTGACTAGGTTCCTCCACAAGGGTATGCTGTCCACACATTTTTATGTCGTACAACTATTTCCATGTTGAAAACTGATATCAATACGTTTATTTTTGTAATACAATGTCCAACAACATCAGCAGAGGAGCTGCACTGTGACCGACAGAAGTGGAGTCTTTGTAACGGATGCGTGAGTGTAAGGTAAGTACAAAGTACACTTATTTCAATAAAATTCTGCCTGAAGAAGCAATAATGAGCATTGGAGTATACCGTCAGGGGTATATGTGGTTCTGAGTCTGGAGGGCTGACCACTACGTTAGACTCCGGCACAATGGGCATCAAGTCTGTCCTAGAATAACACATTTCATTTCAGTGTGCTCAGAGAATGATGTTTTACACATAGTATCAACAGGGATTGTGCCCCACACAGTTTTTAGCGTAAAGATTTGAATAAATATTTCCTTACCAAATTCTAGAGAGCTATTGGTTGACTTTTGTTTTTCATTTGTATAGTGTCCTGAGTAGTTGTCCAGCACCAGCTAGCTAGATCATGGACATACAGGCTTTCCTAGAGTTCCTCTAACCACTGTTGAATTAAAGGGATACTTACATTTAAAAAAATACCAGCATTAGCATTATTGGGCTAAAACAATGTATCTTATAACCTCAAAGTATCTTGAAACATTGTAGTTGATGTTTGTGTATGGTGGGTCACATCCTACAGGCCTTAGTTTTATCACACCTGGACTACTGTCCAGTTATATGGTCAAGTGTCACAAAGAAGAAGATAGGCAAATTACAGTTGGCCCAGATCAGAGCAGCACTGCTGGTCCTTAGATACACACAGAGGGCTAAATATCAATTACATGCATGTCAATCTCTCCTGGCTCAAAGTAGAGGGGAGATTGACTGCATCAATACTTGTCTTTGTGAGCGGTATTGACATGTTGAAAGCATCTGTTCAAACAGCTAACACACAGCTCAGACACCCATACATACCCCACAAGACATGCCACCAAGGGTCTCTTCACAGTCCCTAAGTCTAGAACAGACTCTGGGAAAATAACAGTACTACATAGAGCCATGACTACATGGAACTCTCTTCCACATCAAGTAACTCAAGCGAACAGTAAAATCAGACACGCATTCTATTGTGGTATTATGGATTTCATATTGTAAATGTGTAATAATAGAGTAATAATGTCTTGTATTATGTATTGTTTTATTTATGGTTGTTGTTGTGTTTTGTTGTGATGTAACTGTTTTAATCCTGTTTCGACCCCAGGAAGAGTAGCTGCTGCCATGGAGGCAGCTAATGGAGATCCTACTAAATACTAAATGAACATAGTTCTTTATAGAACCTTTCAAAAAAAGGTTATACATAGCAAAAAAAAGGGATCTGCTATGGTTACAAGCCAAATAACCCTTATTTGGCATTACATAGAATGCTCGCTTTCGAATAACTCTTCTAAGAACGCTTTTCCATAATGCACCCCACCGATCCTCATTCCTCACCTCACCTGACCTCACCTCACCGGTACCCAAACCAAAAACAGATTTAATTTGTCGCTCAGTTATGTATTAAGCCATGTCATCATGGAATGCTCTGCCACCATAGGTTACTGCAAAAAGCAATACATACAACAACAACACTTCTCTTCTTTTTAAAGATCTAATTTAACTCTATTGTATATAAGAATATAAATATGTATATATGAATAGTGTGTAAATAGTATTTTTGTTTTCTCTTGGTGTCTTAAAAAAAGTAATATATTAGGTTGTTCTTGTCTATAACAGTTCTGTTCTTTTTCATGTATTTGTACATTTTATGTGGACCCCAGGAAGAGTAGCTACTGCATGTCCTAATAAACTAAACTAAACCTCGTCCCCAGGCTAATTGCTAGAGCTGGCTGGTGAACAAGACTACCCCTGACCTGATGTGACCTGCAATAACCTAATCTCACCTTCTACACACTAAAAACAAATGGTTCTATATAGTGCCAAATAAGGCTTATTTGGCTTGTAACCACAGCGGAACCCTTTTTGGTGCTATATGGAACCTTTTTTTGAAGTTTCTATAAAGTACCATGCTCATCGTTTTTTTTATTCTGGTTTAATAGCCATATTATATTGTTAAAATTCTGTAGGTTTTAATATTGTGTTAATTAACCAGTTGAATCAGGTGTGCTAGCTCTGGAACGGCTGGGGGTCCCTGGGGAAAGAATTGAGAACTATTGACTTAGTCAACCGTTCTCAATTGACACAAGGCCATACGTGAGTCTTTCACAAGACATCCTCACTGGACATAGTCATAAATAACATGTACTAGCATAAAACAACAGATTAGATCAACTGGAATGACACTCACTCATGGTTGCAGCAAAAGAGCTGTGAACAAACCACCCCCCAAAATATTTGAATGAGCCGCCGCTCCTACATTTTAATTATCGCTAAAAGAGGAAAAGCAAAGAACCATTGAAGGGCTCAAAGGGTTAAAGGGTTATTTGGATCAGTATGGTTCCACATAGAACCATCACCCTTCCCAAAGAACCCTAGAAGAACCCTAATTTTTTGGTGTGTACCTGTTTGATTATGCCCAGGTATGTGTTTGCTACACATGAGGTTGGTGGCACCTTAATTGTGGACTTGCCCATGACCTGGGCCTAACCACAGAGCTACTGCAGAGAGAAGTATATTGGCCTGGCCACCGTAGACAACATGGAGGATATGACTACACTGAATAACATTACGGCTGATTATACTGACATGGTCTGGATAGGACTGTATGATAACTGGATATGGTCATTGGCTAATAGCACTGGTGAGAAAGATACAGGGTTTCAAAACTGGTGGACCGGTCAACCGAATAATAAGCATAGCGATCAGCACTGTGTAACGATAGAGGGGAAAATGGGGATAGTAACAGACTGGAATGATGTGCCCTGTAGTGATTGGAAATCCTTTGTCTGCTATGATGGTAAGAGCCATACACAAACTGTTCCGTCAATTCAACAGCAACTGCGGAATGGTTTCCACTATGGAAATTATACAATGTAGTGGGACCAGATGGGATTGTGGTTGGGATTGAATGTCCTAGTGTGTCATTTAAGGAATTTCATTTTATTGTTTGTTTTACAGTAAGAGTATAATGTTTATCTCATTGTATGCATAAAATAAGTCAAATGTGCAGGGTTTGGTAACTGAATCGAAATATTAAATTGATGTGTGCAGTGGTTTCTCAAGTGTAATCTGCAAATTGTTGTTAACCTGTGTTTTGTTGGAAATAATACTTTGTGTAAGTAATTATGTAGTTTGTACAGCTGCTTTGAAGATACTCAGTATTTTTAGTAATTTAGTAGTATTTTTCTAAATGTTTTTGGTTCATTACAACATTGGACAATGATAATATAGCTTAGTAATTTTCATTGAAACAATTGTGTCAGACACACTTTGTAAACATCCTTTGAATACTCTGCTCTGTGTCACATGACCCATGCTATAATCCATGCAACTCATCTATCTACTGGTGTAGGATCTTCATTTGATCAGGCTTTTTCTTTCCTGCACCACAGGAAATGCAGATGGGCTTCATGATTTACATAAATTAACTGACAACCTTTCATAACACAATGTTATATTAACAGTATTGCACTTTTCAGGTAGCTAATAGCCTAACCACCCATCAACCAACATTATGGACTAAACGTTGAAATCCTGTTGCTGCAGGATTATTTTGCAGTGGCAATACTGGTCAAATGTAGATCCTACATCTGAATGAATTTGACTGTGTCTTTTACAAATATGGGTCAAGTGCAGATGAATGTCTTTATTCCACATAGATTAGGATTACAACATGGTCCCAAAACAGAGACAGTATGGGTGTCCTCAATCCCCATTGGCAACAGATGCCCCATTTTGAATAACCATGGCAACCATACATCAATCAAGAAGATGGTTTTCCTTTGTTTGCTTCTTAATAGGCCTGACACTATCCCTTTAGAAAATCAAACACCCCTTTAAAAATAGTTTGATTGAACATAGGCAGCTTTAAAGCCACTTTGTCCCTCTCATCCTGTTGCTGCTTGTGTAAAAGCCCGTATAAAAGATATATAACTCCAATAAATAACTCTTTAAAGATGTGATGAGCTGAGTGAGGGCTAACAACAGGCTGTATAACAGCTAAAAATCTAAGATAACATTAAAGAAAATGTTGCCTTTACTCATAGTACCGCTTTTCCAATTCTTGCCTTTTTAAGGGTGAGAAGAAGAGTATCTGTCATTCCTTCCAGAACTAAACTATAAGGATATTCCCCAGGGTTTGGAATGGGATGGGTGTAATGTAGTCTGATGTTGAACAGCAATAACATGCCAATATTTAGTCAATTATACTAGTTCATTGATGTAGTTTATGTGGGTAATGAGTTTGTGTAATTGGAACAGATTTATTGGATTATGTGTGAAGAGAAAGAGGACAGTCACAGTGTCATACACAGGACCATATTTATTCAACAATAATAATGTATTCATCACAAATAAATGTACTGTGGTATCAATGTTTCACTGTGATCTGAGTAGCACTGGGGGAGGGATGCATTGTGACAATCTAACTATGGTGTTAAGGTATGGAAAGCTGCTTCCCATATTAGGGCATCCTTATCTAATCAGTGCATATTTGCTAGTAATCTGCACTACTGCACTCCTTTGAGATGAAATTTCACAGCTATTTCACATGCGTGGGAAGAGAGTGCTTATCTTGGTAGAAAGTAATGCTATTCTTTTTTTATGCTCACCCATTGGTAGATATCAACATGCCACAGAAACATATGGCATCATATAAAGTGATGAATTGATGAACAGACAGGCAGACAGACCAACAGACAGACATGCAGACCAACAGACAGTGGTGGAAAAAGTACCCAATTGTCATACTTGAGTAAAAGTAAAGATACCTTAATACAAAGTTACTCAAGTAAAAGTGAAAGTCACCCAGTAAAGTACTACTTTTAAATATACTTAAGTAGCAAAAGTAAATGTAATTGCTAAAATATACTTAAGTATTGAAAGTAAAAGTAAAAGTATAAATCATTTAAAATTCCCTATCTTAAGCAAACCAGACTGCACCATTTTCTTGTTTTTATTTATTTACGGATAGCCAGGGGCACACTCCAACACTCAGACATAATTTACAAACGAAGCATTTGTGTTAAGTGAGTCTGCCAGATCAGAGGCAGTAGGGATGACCAGGGATGTTCTCTTGACAAGTGCATGAATTTTCTGTCCTGCTAGCCATTCAAAATGTAACATGTACTTTTGGTATCAGGGAAAATTCATGCACTTGAGAGAGTGAACGGGGATGTATGATGTAAATTGACAGATTGAAAGCGAGGGAGTACATACCAGCAGCATACCACCCTGCATCCCACTGCTGGTCTCTGAAGCTAAGCAGGATCGGTCCTGACTCGATCCCTGCAGGTCCCTGGATGGGAGACCAGACGCTGCTGGAAGTGGTGTTGGAGGTCCAGTAGGGGGCACTCTTCCTTCTGGTCTAAGGAGATAATAATAATAGATGTTTTATTGTCACATACAATGCCACAGGGCAGTGAAGGGGACATTGCCCTGCATAGGGTGCCGTCTTTCGGATGGGATGTTAAAACGGGTGTCCTGACTCTCTGTTGTCACTAAAGATCCCATGGAACTTATTGTAAGAGTAGGGGTGTTAACCCCGGTGTGCTGGCTAAATTCCCAATCTGGTCCTCATACCAACATCGCCACCTAACCATCCCCAGCTTGCAATTGGCTCATTCATCCCCTCTCCTCCCCCTGTAACTCTTCCCCAGGTTGTTGCTGTAAAATATAATATGTTCTCAGTCAATTTACCTGGTAAAATAAGGGGAAACTTGAAACTTTGAGAGAGAGAGAAAGGGAGATACTGTAAAGGAGAGGGAGTGAGGCTGCCTGGGCTGGGTGGTGGGGGGGCCAGCAGGCTGCAGGAATGCTCTGCATGCCTGTCCTCTGAATGACCCTTCCTCCCTGGAGTGTGGGAGATACTGGGTAATTAGCCTCCTTTAACATCGTGAATGGGGTTAGCAGTGGCATTGAGGGAAACTATTAAGTGTATTTACCATGTAAAAAACTCAAATTCTAAAATGTTCATCTTTATTCTCTCAGTCAAACCACCCCCATCTGGTTTATGTACATTCCCAGTTTATATTTGTGTGTTAATCCCCCACTCCTCCTATTTCTTTTGGTTTGTTTCTAGTTGATGTACCTGCAGTTGGTGCTGTTATGTTGAAATTGAGCAGATTCCCCCCGCCCCATCTTGATGGCCTAGTTTATCTCTCCTGCACTAGATTTAATTATGGTGCTCTCTCTCAGTGAATTTGTCTTCCTTATGTCAGGAAATAGAAATGGAAGAAGACATGGATTAAGAAAAACGGAAGCTAAAGAGTATGGATTTTCCAGAGACATTGTAGTTTAGATCCCAAAATGCCAATACTGTGACATCCTCCTTATTTGTTTTTATTTTAGACTCTCTTCATTTTATTGAATTCCGAGTGTCCCTTTAAAAGTGACAGTTAAAGTGGCCTTTTCTGACAGTTACAGGTTCTGAATTTGCCTTAGCCACCTCTTTGCTTACAAACCACACATTCTCAGGGAAAATATATTCTTAAAAACAACTAAGCAAATCGGATTTAAAGCCACACTGTGAGCTGCATAATAATATAATGGGATTGCCAAATGTGTGCAGTCTTTTTGGTTAGGAAAGGCAGTTGTACTACTCTCATTAAAGTATTTAACCTATCATATCTGTTCTTTAAAATCAAGGGGTATAATTCTTCAGTTTAAATTAATGTATATCTTACAGACTGCGGCTTTAAGGTTCCTTATCGGGGACGTCCTTGTTATTTAAGGTTTTACTTAAAGCAAAGGAATTTGACATATTTCAAATTAGAATCTATGTCCACATACCTCTTCTGACCTCTCCTTTCTATTTCATTCCATCTCTATCTTTAGCGCGAAGCTCAATCATTTTCTTATCATCTATTTTCTGCTGATGGGAGAGCTTAGAGCATAGCCTTCGTTATAACACTGTTCAATACTTGAACTGCTTATCTATCTTACCCACCCAAGATTTTCACTTACAGAAACATTTAGGTCCATTTTTAGGTATAGAGTACACAATTGGCCGATTGTCATTAATATTAGACCTACTTTCCAGATATGAAACACAGCCTAACTTCCACTTATTCACAGGGTGAGATTTAGATGATTGCACGTGGTTGCTAGATAGCCTACATTTTGAATTAGGGGAATCATGCAATGAAAAGTATATTTTTCCAATAATCTATTTTATTCCATTCTGTTCTGTTCTATTCCATTATATTCTATCGTATCAGACTTCCCAAAGACATGTCATTTCTATAGTCAGTAAAAAGTGTGAAATCAATGAAGAATGAAATCAGAATCCTACAACCTGCTCGCACACTGTATTTCTACTACCATTTGACCTAACATTCTACCCAACATTCTACCCAAGTGTGCACAAAATATTGACGTTCATCACGTCTGGTGAGGGAATCCTGGTACTTAGACAGTGTTTGGGTCATTTGAAGGTTAGCAGCCGCCGAAAAAGTTCAGGGAAAGTTCACCTGCATATATTAGGTAATTCAATCGGTCCCTGTGACATAACTAGTATGAAGTGGTTGTGTTGAGACAGCATAACCCATTCGTCAATAAATGGGAGCTAATAACTCCAACACAAACTTTGTTATGTAAAATAGCCAACAATTCTGTTTTATCGGGTTTTCACAAGGACCGACTATTTTGTTGTGCTCCCTGCGCGCGATGGACACAATGATTTTTTTATGAATGCGTCGATGGAAATCGTTTCTCGGAGCGCGCATACGGCTGTAGATATTTTTGCATGGACTCAAATTAATAAAATATAATTTTGGTCAATTACAAACTTTTAACAAAAATGTCCATCATACCCTTGACTGATTGGGGGGAAATAATCCTACTTGGGCGGAAATAATCCTACTTGGGCGTGCGAATTAAGGACATTTGCGTTCCATTTGTTCCATTTTTACATTTCTTTAGATCCTGACGCATCTTGATAAGGAAGGACTCCGCCTTACACTAATGTTATAGAAAACCATGTTTGACTATATGGATTTTCTCGCAGTCTGTCCAGGAGAAATGCTGGATTTCTATACTGCAAGTCCTTGTATGCTCCAGGAACCATCTCTAACCGCATGCTTCACTGGACTAACAGAAACGGATTGGCAAGTTCATCGGATCGCGCAATGTAGGTGAAGCTTTATTTTTATTTGGTCTATTTGAGGATTTAAGTAATTTTCCCTCAGTTGCCCACTGTTTTACTCTACACTAAATCTAAATATTTGTTGTGATCATGTTACACGAGGAAAGACTGAACGTGGGACTTGACTTGATTCACCCAGTTGTATCTTCTCCTCACACCTTTTATGTAATATTTATAATATAGCCTATTCCTGTGTCAGTTGTTCGTACATTGTAGCCTAAACTGTTCCCTGTGCAGTCCTGTATCATTGCATATTTAATCCAAAGACAATGTAAACATATTTATTTAGGTCATGTTGTATGTAGGCTACCATCTTTTTTTCAAGATGTAGTTCGATGGCATTGTTCATGTATCTTTCTGAATATGTAGTTGATGGCATATCTAGTTCAGATGAACTAAAATTATAATATTATTTCAGATATAGGGCCTACATCAAATTCAATATAGAGGCCTGCACAGTCAAATCAAACTTAAACAAAAAATTACTCACAACAGCATTTATGTAGGCCTACACGTTCACGTTTATGTTAAAGGTGCAATCTGCAATATTTACTGTTTTTTTTGGTCATTTCAATTAATGATACCCATTGAATCTTGAAGAAAAACTTATAAATGCCCGAAAGCGTTTAGTACAAGTGTATTACACCACTGTAAGTCGCTCTGGATAAGAGCGTCTGCTAAATGACTAAAAATGTAAATGTATATGTAAATAAGCCAAAATATAAGGTTGCTTTTTGATTTTACTCCGTTGTTTGTAAATAATGCCTTTGTAAACAATGTATAGCTTCAAAATATGTTTCAAACTATAATGTTGATATAACTGTCAGTCCTTGCATCCATAGCTTCATTGATAATTGGAGAGTGGTTACATTTCTCAAGCCCCATCCCTCAGCTTTATAGCAAACCAAGTGACAGGGCTGCCATTTGGCTGAAAAGGGAAGGACTGATTGTGCCTTTATAGCATGGGAATAGGGTCAATATTGTTGTTATTTTACCTGTGCACATTGTTTGCTTTGTTGCAACTGATGATTGCATTAATTTAGTATTGGTAAGCCTACCTTCTAGTTTATGGAATGAATTCACCGTTGTGCAATCAATCAGTATACTTACTTGTTATCCTAATCAATAATACATGGATTATTACTGTGAACCCATTGATAATGAATTGGCCATCAAATCTGCACTCTTATTTGACTTATCACACCTCTGTTGTCGCCCTACTACACTCACTGTCCCTCTTCAACTAGTTGTTGACATTTACAGATCAGATTAGGAAGTCAAATTCCATTAAGATACCTTTGGTTTCCTCTATTTGCTGATAGATCTAGCTGTCTCTTTGGAGGTTTTTATTTAGCCTAACACCAGGGCTTCACAGGACATTATGTTCCTTATATTTTCTGCGATATCAAAGCCAAAGCCTATTACAAAATTAGACCTTCTCTGGCAGCGCTCAGTTTGGAGATGGAGGAGCATCTCAACCGAAGCCAGTGCTCAGGACGGTCACTGGGTTTCACCGAGGGTTCATTGGACGGTCACCAACAAGAGGTCAGACAAGACCCAGACTGCTTGGCTTGTCTCCCCCACAGCAAAGTAGTTGTTGGGAAACTCTGCAAGCAAAGCCTAATAATATATTTACCTCATTCATCACTTAGGCTATTTTATGAGCACATTAATGTTGTATGCGCCAGCGATGACTACCAAATAACTATAATTGCTGTTCCTGCTTACAAGTGTAATATTAAGGGTGTTTGGATCTCACTGAGCAATTGGCCTCATGGTGAGTAGCCTACTCACAACCACAGAAATTCCCTCACTACAGATTGTCTTTACTTTCAGCATCTAGCCCCAAAAGTCCCCCAAAAGACCTCAGTGATAGTGTGATAGCATTGTGATAGCATTGTGATAGCGTGCAGAGAAAGTGACTTTTCTTTGACATAGTGTAAGCAGATCGTGGCAAAACATTACTCTTTACCAGTTTCTCTCCTAAATGTGGGTGAGCACCTCCCTCCCCCTCCAAACCACGTAGGCTAGTATAAGATTCCACTGCTTCATCAGTCAGTTGATCTTCTGGCATGCTCCACCATTGTTTTGCAGTGGAGAGAATACTTGCTAATGGGTGTGTTCTGTTGTTTGACCCGGCAGGGGTAGGTTCAACTGGAGGCCATGGGTTCAAGGGGATGGATATAAGGATTTTCTTTATTTTTGTCCCCTACATTTGGCTTTTTTAGTTATCTGTCACTGGCCCTATGTGCTTTAATGGTGGAGGTGATAAAAAGCCAGCAGGGATGCTTGTACTGTCGCAGTGGGGGCTCTCTATAAAACTGAAGCGATGTCTTAAGAGTGTCTGTTGTCGTCTTTTTCCCATAAAGTATGGCATTGGAATAGTATGACTGTATCTCGCCTCTTCTTCACCCTTGCACTCTCTGGGAAAAGGACGACTCAGAAATCTTAAAAGAAAATGTATAAAATTGTTTTACCTGAGCATTATCTCAGTCAGATATGCCTATCAACACAAGGCCTCAACATGTCCCCAGGAACACAAGTGGACTTGGCACTGTGGGCTGATATGACCTGTGTTTTCAACTCATCTACAGTACATTTGTGAATCCTTTTCCATATAAAAAAAAACAAAAAACTGATTGAATACTATGTTGCGTAGTCACTTTGTAGAATGTTTACTGACCATAGAAATAACTGTTGGTCTTCGAATAAAAGAGGAGGCCCAAGGACATATTGCAATTAGTTTGATGTTTCAACCGTTTTTCGGGATCAAATACTGTTTTACTTCAACACATTACTGTTTGAAGAACATTAAGCTACATAAATTCGATGTATGACTGCGTTTTCAGCAGCTGCATTGGAGTTTTCTCCCTCTCCCAGCATTGTCCTAATATCACTTTCCTCTCCTCCTCGTCTTCACGGTAGAGATTTTTGTGAATTAAAGTGACAGAAAAATGATGAAAATCCAGTCACATCTTATGATAGAAAGACGATAAGGAAAGGAAGCCATTTCAGAGTGTATGCAGTGGAAGCCCTCATCTCACTCCCAACACTCAGTGCCCGTCTTTCTTCCCAGAGCCTCATCATCCCTCTCTCCGTCCCTCTCTCCGTCCCTCTCTCCATCCTGTGTGTCAGCAGCTGTGGAAACCCAGAGCTCCAGCTCAGAGGACCTGTTCGCCAGTCCTCTCTCACCTCCGCCCCCTCCCCGCACCTACAAACCCTGCTTTGTGTGCCAAGACAAGTCCTCAGGCTACCACTATGGCGTCAGTGCTTGTGAGGGCTGTAAGGTAAGGGACCAGACTGATCATGTACATATCGCAAAACCCATCTGACTGCTCAAACCATGAATAATTCCACTTGTATTTCTTCAACGGTTTTAACGTATTCAGCATTTCTACTTTGGAGTTCAATCCAATATCTAATTTACCTGTGATATGGATATGTAAAGCGAGAAACTGCAACAAGCACCACACACACAATTCCCACTATTCTCTGGGGTTCTCAAATGTCCCCCATCTACCACCCTTTAATGGTCCATGGCAGTGAGCTATAGTGAGTAGGTGTTAACACAATTGTTAATGACAGCTACGCCGATTGGCCCTCCGCTGTAGCTGAATGCTCGGGCAACTAAGGCTCCACAAAGAGAAGGTAAATCATTGATGGGCAGCACAGCAAACAAGACCAAGAGCGTAGAGGAGACCATGACTACAGATTACATTCTCTCCTCCTCATCTTTCAGAACAAGATGAAAGGCAATGATCCTAATTATAGATTAAGTGTGAGATCACATCTGTGTTAGAGATGAGAAGTGGCATTAGTTACAGAGTTGACTCTGTGACTGTTTAATGCAGGAAGTGAGCATGGAGCTTATCTCTCTTATCACCTTCACAAGCCTGCCTGGAGGGGGACCTCATATAAGGATCTGCATGAAAGAGATTTGTCGATTGTTCGTTTTCTCAACGCGTTGAAAGTGGAAATGGAAAAAAGTAAAAATTGCATTCTTTAGAAATATCAGTTGGTGTCTGTTGATACATGTATTGATCTGACCTGGCATATCTATTTAGATGTTCAAATTAAAAATATTTTTACTCTAGAAGAAAGGTAGCTTGTAGATTTTTTGATTTTTTTTTTTACTCCTGTAGCCCAGAAGTAACCCAATTTACAGGACAACTATGTAACGTTACCCAACCTACAGTATTTAACCCTAAATAGTAGATTCAAGGCCACTAGGGACTGTTTGGCTGCCGTGTTTACCCAGAGCAAACACTAGTATCACTAAAGGGCCTGAATCTTGGCCCTGATAAACAGCTCATGTGTCGGGATCAGACAGCATCAGTCAATACTATTGACAGACTATGGACAGGACACCGCTTCAGACACAACACGTGTGGTGTTACCCTGCTACACCCTATACTATTGACGTGTTTCACAACATGATTCTGGTTGCATTTGGTCTGTTGTTTTTTCTTTCTATAATTTCATTGTGATTGTGTGATAACAGTAATTCATTATAAATGAAGTAATTAAAAGTAGTTTCTTTTCTTTGCATATGGAAAACACATGTTGATGTTAAATGGATACTTTGGGATTTTGGCAATGAGGCCCTTTATTTACTTCCCCAGAGTCAGATTAAATCGTGGATACCATTTTTATTTCAAAATTCCGAAGTATCCCTTTAATATCATAATTTAAGAATGATATATGTATTCAGATGGTGATGTAATAACTACGCCACCTCCAAAGTCATTAGAGCTCCTTTCAGATATCTATAGAATGTTAACTTCTGGTTGCTTCTCTATTTAAAACATATTATTATCCTTTCCATTGGTGCCTCCCAGGGTTTCTTCCGTAGAAGTGTCCAGAAGAACATGGTTTACACGTGCCACCGGGACAAGAACTGCATCATCAATAAGATCACCAGGAACCGCTGTCAGTACTGCCGGCTACAGAGGTGCTTCGCCGCGGGCATGTCCAAGGAGTGTAAGTGTCAATAATATTTCAGAATGTCTCCATTCAACCACTGAAGAGCAACATTTGTAAACATCGCCCAACTCCTCTGTAATACACCCCAAAACGGCAAAACACTGCTATACAACATTCCCAAACGGTCTCATAAAACTCTTACTCAAAATACTCAGTGCCTTCAGAAAGTATTCACACCCCTTGAATTTTTCCACATTTTGGTGTGTTACAAAGTGGGATTAAAATGGATTGTGACAATATGTAACTTTTTGGGCGACCTGACCAAATTCACATAAAAATGTGTATTATAGATCTATCATTCTACTTGAAAGCAAGTCTAAGAAGTGGTAGATCTGTTCTATGTGCGCTATTTCTATGCTTCCCGTTCTTAAGTTTTTTGTTTGTGCGTCTTTTACTTTCGGTTTTGTACACCAGCTTCAAACAGCTGAACCTAAAATATTTTTGATTATGGAAAATATATTTCACAGCGGTTTAGATGGTACATTGATTCTCTACACTATACTATCTTATTTTGTCACATAAACTGAAAGTAAGCGAACTATTAGAGTTCTAGCAACCAGGAAATGGCGGAGCGATTTCTGCATTGTGCAACTTAAATTGTGCAACTTAAAATACTGTGAAATGTCAAAGTGGAAGAAATGTTTTACTTTTTTTTACTTAATGGAAAATAAAACGCTCTTATATTTTGATTAGATAAGTATTCAACACCCTGAGTCAATACATGTTAGAGTCACCTTAGTCTTTCTGGGTAATTTGACTTAAATCGGCTTGAAAATCTATGGCAAGACTTGAAAATGTCCGTCTAGCAATGATCAACATCCAACTTGACAGAGCTTGAAGAATTTTAAAAAGAATAATATGCAAATATTGTACAATACAGGTTTGCAAAGCTCTTAGAGACTGTTTTGGAATATTTTTTATTCTGTACAGGTTTCCTTCTTTTCACTCTGTCATTTAGGTTAGTATTTTGGAGTAACTACAATGTTGTTGATCCATCCTCAGTTTTCTCCTATCAGAGCCATTTAACTCTGTAACTAGTTTAAAATCCCCATTAGCCTCATGGTGAAATCCCTGAGTGGTTTCCTTCCTCTCCGTGAACTCCGTCAAGGACGCCTGTATCTTTGCAGTGACTGGGTGTATTGATACACCATCCAAAGTGTAATGAATAACTTCAAAGGGATATTCAATCTCTGCTTTTTTTTACCCATCTACCAATAGATGCTCTTCTTTGCAAGGCATTGGAAAACTTCCCTGGTCTTTGTCGTTGAATCTGTGCTTGACATTCACTGCTCAACTAAGGGACCTTACAGATTATTGTATGTATTGGGTAAAGAGATGGTGTAGTCATTCAAAAATCATGTTAAACACCATTATTGCACACAGAGTTAGTTTTAACTCAACAAAATGTGGAAAACGTCAAAGGGTGTGAATACTTTCTGAAAGCACTGTAACTAAAAACCTGTCCGAAATGTTTTCCAAGAAAACTAATTCCACCTCTGCTGTCCAACACATGAAAGCACTTCAAACACCATTGTCCAGAAGGCCACTGACCCAGATACAATCTCTGTTGTGGGTAGGGGGATGGTGTCATGGTGATGGATGCCTACCAATGTCATTCATCCCTTCTACCCAGCATGTCAGCATTACATAAATCCATCAGCACATGTATCAGCCTTGTGGCCTTGTGGCTGGTATGGAACGGCTACTACTACTACCATTGTCACTGATTGGTGTGTAATGCAGCCCAGAGTGAAGTGTTTACACAATGATTACAGGAAGTAGGGCAGAGTAGACTATCCATTGACTGCACAGATCAGTCTGATGCATGAGACCAGTTGCATAAGATGGATCTCTCCCTGAGATCTAGCTCAGTAGAATGAGTGGCCTGTGTTGAAAACCAATGGTTGAAGTACGTTTACATGATTTATAGATCAGTTGGAAGGTAACATTATTATTTTTACATTACTTACACACTCATTGGTAAATGTGCATGGCTTGTTTAGAAAAATATGGTAATTTAACAGACTCTTTACTGTTAACACCTACTATATACAGTGAGGGAAAAAAGTATTTGATCCCCTGCTGATTTTGTACGTTTGCCCACTGGCAAAGAAATGATCAGTCTATAATTTTAATAGTAGGTTTATTTGAACAGTGAGAGACAGAATAACAACAACAAAATCCAGAACAATGCTTGTCAAAAATGTTATAAATTGATTTGCATTTTAATGAGGGAAATAAGTATTTGACCCCCCTCTCAATCAGAAAGATTTCTGGCTCCCAGGTGTCTTTTATACAGGTAACGAGCTGAGATTAGGAGCACACTCTTAAAGGGAGTCCTTCAATTTCTCAGCTTGTTACCTGTATAAAAGACACCTGTCCACAGAAGCAATCAATCAATGTATAAAAGACACCTGTCCACAGAAGCAATCAATCAATCAGATTCCAAACTCTCCACCATGGCCAAGACCAAAGAGCTCTCCAAGGATGTCAGGAACAAGATTGTAGACCTACACAAAGCTGGAATGGGCTACAAGACCATTGCCAAGCAGCTTGGTGAGAAGGTGACAACAGTTGGTGCGATTATTCGCAAATGGAAGAAACACAAAATAACTGTTAATCTCCCTCGGCCTTGGGCTCCATGCAAGATCTCACCTCGTGGAGTTGCAATGATCATGAGAACGGTGAGGAATCAGCCCAGAACTACACGGGAGAATCTTGTCAATGATCTCAAGGCAGCTGGGACCATAGTCACCAAGAAAACAATTGGTAACACACTACGCCGTGAAGGACTGAAATCCTGCAGCGCCCGCAAGGTCCCCCTGCTCAAGAAAGCACATATACAGGCCCGTCTGAAGTTTGCCAATGAACATCTGAATGATTCAGAGGAGAACTGGGTGAAAGTGTTGTGGTCAGATGAGACCAAAATCGAGCTCTTTGGCTTCAACTCAACTCGCCGTGTTTGGAGGAGGAGGAATGCTGCCGATGACCCCAAGAACACCATCCCCACCGTCAAACATGGAGGTGGAAACATTATGCTTTGGGGGTGTTTTTCTGCTAAGGGGACAGGACAACTTCACCGCATCAAAGGGAGGATGGATGGGGCCATGTACCGTCAAATCTTGGGTGAGAACCTCCTTCCCTCAGCCAGGGCATTGAAAATGGGTCGTGGATGGGTATTCCAGCATGACAATGACCCAAAACACACGGCCAAGGCAACAAAGGAGTGGCTCAAGAAGAAGCACATTAAGGTCCTGGAGTGGCCTATCCAGTCTCCAGACCTTAATCCCATAGAAAATATGTGGAGGGAGCTGAAGGTTTGAGTTGCCAAATGTCAGCCTTGAAACCTTAATGACTTGGAGAAGATCTGCAAAAAGGAGTGGGACAAAATCCCTCCTGAGATGTGTGCAAACCTGGTGGCCAACTACAAGAAACATCTGACCTCTGTGATTGCCAACAAGGGTTTTGCCACCAAGTACTAAGTCATGTTTTGCAGAGGGGTCAAATACTTATTTCCCTCATTAAAATGCAAATCAATTTATAACATTTTTGACATGCGTTTTTCTGGATTTCTTTGTTATTATTCTGTCTCTCACTGTTCAAATAAACCTACCATTAAAATTATAGACTGATCATGTCTTTGTCAGTGGGCAAACGTACAAAATCAGCAGGGGATCAAATACTTTTTTCCCTCACTGTATTCTGCAGCTGTTGCCCACAAGGGAAATCACACCAGAAGTATTGTGTTACAAGCACCATGATCTAACCAACTTAGCTATTGCAACCAATTCAATTTCTTTTTTTTTCTTGAGTTAGCTCCGTTCATATTTCATCCTCTCTTCCCAGCTGTCAGGAATGACCGGAGCAAGAGGAAGGAGAAGAAGGAGACTCCCAAGATGACCATCATGGAGACATATGAGCTGACAGCAGAACTGGGCTGTGTAGTGGAGAACATCTGTAGGGCTCATAGAGAGACCTTCCCTTCCCTCTGCCAGCTGGGCAAATACACTACAGTGAGTAACAACCACTGCCATGTTAGCACCATATATATATATTACATGTATCATGGATAGTGTTCCATTTAATTATGTGGGTAGCCCTGTCTCTGTTGAGGCTCAGAAACACTATCCCTGTACCATAATCCATTAATCTAAATGGATCATACTGGTTGTATTGTTGAGATAATACTCAGAACGAATTGCTCTTTCTCTCTCCCTTTCTCTCTCTATTTCTCTTTTCCTTTCTTTCTTTTCTCTCTCTTCCTCCCATCCCTCTTTCTCTGCCCCCTTCTCTCTCTCTCTCTCTCTCTCTCTCTCTCTCTCTCTCTCTCTCCCACCTATTCTCTATCTTTCACCTCTCCTTTACCCTTTCTCCCCCCTCCCCCTCTCTCTCTGTCCATCTCTCTGTAGAACTCAAGCTCAGACACTAGGATCCAGTTGGACCTGGGGCTGTGGGATAAGTTCAGTGAGCTGGCCACCAAATGTATCATCAAGGTTGTGGAGTTTGCCAAACGGGTGCCTGGCTTCACCGGCCTGACCATAACTGACCAGATCACCCTCCTCAAAGCAGCCTGTCTGGACATTCTGGTGAGCGGTGTGTGTGTGTGTGTGTACTGTACGTTTGTGTGTGTATACTGTATGTGTGAGGGGATGTATGTGTGTGTGTGTGTGTATGTGTGTGTATACTGTATGCGTGAGGGGATGTGTGTGTGTGTGTGTGTGTGTGTGTGTGTGTACACTGTACGTTTGTGTGTGTATACTGTATGCGTGAGGGGATGTGTATGTGTGTGTGTGTGTGTGTGTGTGCGTGTGCGTGTGCGTGTGTGTGTGTGTGTCCACATCATCATCTCCAAAGCACATCTCGCACCTCATCAACTGGCCCGTGTGGAGTTAGAAGGGTTCACTCACAGTGTGCTGTTTGGTGCAGACACTATGGATCTGCCGTTACATTGTCTCAGCATACGTTTGTGCTGAAGACAGACACGGTGGTGGTGGGTTCAGACAGAGTGTTACTGCTGAAGACAGACACGGTGGTGGTGGGTTCAGACAGAGTGTTACTGCTGAAGACAGGCACGGTGGTGGTGGGTTCAGACAGAGTGTTACTGTTTTATTCTCTTTTATCTCCCCATCTCTTCTGGTTTTCATTGTCAACTCTGTCTTTCTCCAGCACCATCAAAGGTTGGTGGATTCTCACTAGCTGCACAATGGTGATTCACTCACGGCTCTATTTTCTCTATGGGAGCTCCTTAATCTGAAATCAAAGTGTTATCATGTTTATTTTACATTACTGAGGTGGTTTCTAATGAGGTGTGTAGGGTCAATTACTGTGCAAAATGTATGGTGATTTGTGTCGTTTGTGAAACTTGACTCAGTGCCTTGTTGTGATGTAGCATTATTTATGCTCTGACGGGTTTTTAAAATAGTTTTGGAAGTTCTCACTCTTGATCTGTCTATCTCTTTCTCAATATCTCTCTCTCCCTCTATCTCTTTTTTCTTATGCAGACTCTTTCATTTACGTTGATGTTTTACCTCTATACTTCTCTTTCTCTCTCTCTTTCTCTCTCGTTTTCTCTTTGCCTGAACTGTCTTTCATGTCTTTTAATTTCCATCCCCCTCTTCTTGAACCTGCATCTCACCATTGCCTTTTTCTATACTGAGCCACCCCTTATGTCCCCTCTGTCTCCCTGTAGATTCTGCGGATCTGTACGAGGTACACACCTGACCAGGACACTATGACCTTCTCAGACGGGCTGACCCTGACCCGTACACAGATCCACAACGCTGGCTTTGGCCCACTCACAGACCAGGTGTTCACCTTCGCCGGCCAGCTGCTGCCCTTGGAGATGGATGACACAGAAAGTGGCCTCCTCAGTGCCATCTGCCTGGTGTCTGGAGGTACTGCAACTAGCCATAGCTTCAGTTCGGGCAGAATGTTTTATATGGAACATGAACTATCTTTTTTTTTGTTTTATGAATGGATGTACTTTTAGTACATTTATTTACAAATATTTACTCCATTAAATTAACCTTGTTGTCGTTTTTGTGTGTAGAAGTTTCCGTGGGTGTAGTTAAATAATACATATAGCCCATGTAGAGGAGTCACACAAACAAAATAGATATATGAGCTGTATTAGCTGTAGATGAATTATGTGTAGGTCTCACACTGACAGTGTCTCTCCTGTGTCAGATCGGCAGGATCTGGAGGAGCCGTCTAAGGTGGAAGTCCTGCAGGAGCCCTTACTGGAGGCCTTGAAGATCTACTCCCGTAAACGCCGGCCCAGCATGCCCCTCATGTTCCCTAAGGTCCTCATGAAGATCACTGACCTGCGCAGCATCAGCGCCAAAGGTTAGAGGTCAACTCCCTATCGGCCATGACACTTACTTTGACCTTAACTACAAACCTCTAACCAACAGGCTTCATGGCTTGGCATCATGACTGTTATAACCTGGTGTTTATGGCATATTGTGTTTTTACAACACCAGTGCACATCCAACCACATCCAAGGATGTAATAATAATAATAATAATAATAATAAAAATAAAAAAATTATAAAAAAATTAATTTATATATATATATATATATATATATATAAAACAAATGAAAATTAAAAACACTAAAAAAAAAAAACTAAAAAAAAACAATATATATATATATATTTTTTTTTACATTTGAAAGAAATTCCACAAAAATAAAATAAAAATAAAAATAATTGGAAAGTGGTTGTCCCACTGGCTATCATAAGGTGAATGCACCAATTTGTAAGTCGCTCTGGATAAGAGCGTCTGCTAAATGACGTAAATGTAAATGTAAATGTAAGACATGCTGGGTGGAGGTGGGTTAAATAGGAGAAAATAAAGGAAATCTGCCTCTGATTAGAGTGATATAGTTAAGAGACACTTCTACTACTCTAGAAAGTCTAATTGACATTTTCTCTTCTAATTCCACAGGAGCTGAACGTGTGGTGACGTTGAAGATGGAGATCCCAGGTTCCATGCCTCCTCTGATCCAGGAGATGCTGGAGGAGATGGAGAACCTGGAGAAGCAGAAGCAGTCTGAGGAGGAGCAGAGAGCAGACAAGAACATCACCCACACCATGTCCACACAGTAAATAGACACTGGCCTGTTTGCCTGAAAACCTTACAAGAAAAATATACCTCCAATGGGATGTCCCAGAAAGGAAATTATGAGGATGGTCAAATGTGAACAATACCAGTGAACAGTGTATTCAGGGTTGAATATGTAAAGGGAATTGTAAATAGAATCATGTTACAGTACTTAGTTACTCATAACTGGATGTGACTGGAGATATAACAGGACTAGCCTGTGTGTTGGACAGTATCATAAGGTGCTCAGAAGGTGGTTTAAATACATACAGTGCATTGCAGTACTAGAGAGTAGCTTAACGTATTAACCTCACACAGAGCCTTTCTATACGGATGGGAGTGGAGATTCATGTGAATTGTGAATAGACATTCCATTGTGGTGCAACACAGGGGCAAAGCATGACAATTTGCATTATATGTATTCAGTTTAACTCTCGAAAAGGATGCATTTTTCGGAGGTCATTACTGGGTGTGTGTAGGTCACAAATGTATGAGATTTTAAAACAGCAGAACTGGGCTGTTTCCATTATTTCAAGTCTTGCATGATTGGCTTTGTTAAGTAAGTGCTATTACTCTCATCATGTCAACATATATTCTACATACCATTGTATGGCTATGTTTCTCTCTATGATGAATGTCATGGTGCATTTTTGTGATATTGATTATGATCATATTTCAGATAGTTATTGGTCTATTAAAGTCTTGAAACTATTAATACCCTGGGTGTGTCTGACTCATAAAAAGAAACATCTTTACACGATCCAGTGCTCCATACAAAGGTTGATACTGCCCCCCTGTGGTCTTTTTAGAGAATTACACTCATTGCCTCGGTGGAAAAACTACTGTATAAACAAACACACTAATGATATGAAAGAGTCAAGAGTTGCTCAATAATCTAAAGCCAAACATAAAAACAGGATTCTCCACAACAATATATTTATTTCCCATGTAATGGAAATACATGCAAGAGTTACTATTACTTAACACGAAGACCTGAGTATACTAATTCCTTTCTGTTGAAAGTTAAACATAGGTAGAAAGTGCATCAAGCTTCACCTGAGATTTCCTCAAAGCATAGCTGTTTAGAAACAAATTAAAATGTACAATGAATAACATTTAACAGAATATAATCTGGAAGTTGACAATTTAGTTATGCAAAGTCCTCAACAACAAAAAACGAATTGTATAGAGACATTAGAAACATGCCTTCTGATGTGCAATTCTGCCATACAATACTAGAGATAAAGCCGCAAAATCCTTATCCTGAGTCTACTTCAAGTTAAAGAAAGTGTAACCTGAGAGAGATCACAACAGAATCACACAAACCTCACACAAGCACACAACAGCACCCCACTGAGAAAGACCCTACAAACTGTATAGATTTGTACATGATCAATGTATGAGTACATTAGCTCAGTGCAAGCTCAGAGTGGAAAAACTCCCAAGTAACCATACAGCTAAAATGTCATAGGCCATAAATAGTCTAATATGCATATGTGATAGAGAAGTATGACTGCTTTCTTTGACCCGAAAATCAGTACTCTGACCTTATTTGTCTCTGTTTGAGCCTGCCGTGAAACACCTCCCCTTTATGCAGACTGTGTATCATTGATCTACTTCTTTGTCAAGGTTATCAGCCTCGCAAAGAAATGTAATGTTATCCCATTTCCACAACGTGACTGGAAAACACCAGCACACTAATAAAGATATGATTTATAAGGATGGAGGTCACTTGTTTGCCCCTGTTGCACCATGGTCATTCCTCATTGCGTTGTAGTATCCATTCTCCTCCAGAACCTCCTCTATAATGGCCTGAAATGAAAGATGTTATAGCATTCATATTTCTTTACCAGTTTCTCAATTTTAGCCAGGCATAGACATCCACATGTCCACAAATATGTCAACTACAACAGGCTATCTTACTGTATGCATCTGCCTTTTATTTCTATACCTTAAAACATATCCCAGATACTAACCTGCATCTGCTCATAGCTGATTCCCTCTTTGAGATTCCCATTTTCCATATCACCTGTAGCACAAAGTTGCACTTGTTAGCAGAACAATTTTAGGCATCTAAACACCTAGGCAGAGTTCTAGCGACCCCCATGGGAGACAATGTGAGAACACAGCACTTATTAAGTAGCTGTGCCTCTTGGCTCAGTATTCTGTTAGATTGCTATGTTAACCAGTATGCACTAGCATTGAGGTTAGTTTACCTTGCTTCGCAGCACCTAGATGGTCTCCTCCAAAAGACTGGACCAGATACCACCAGTCTGAGTTAGCATAGCCTGACTCCATTAGCTCTGGAGACCCCTGGAGCAGCTAGAAACAAAATGGAGATCAACACATTAAATCAAATCAAATGTTATTTGCCACCTGCGCCGAATACAACAGGTGTAGACCTTACAGTGAAATGCTTACTTACAAGCCCTTAACACTTTTTTTCTTAAAACTGCACTGTTGGTTAAGTAAAAAACAGATACAAAATAATTAAAAAGCAGCAGCAAAATAAAATAACAGTAGGGAGGCTATATACAGGGGGTACCGGTACAGAGTCAATGTGCGGGGGCACCAGTTAATCAAGGTAATTGAGGTAATATGTACATATGGGTTGAGTTAAAGTGACTATGCATAGATAATATTCAGAGTAGCAGCAGCGTAAAGGAGGGGGTGGGGTGGGGGGGACAATGCAAATAGTCTGGGTAGCCATGATTAGCTGTTCAGGAGTCTTATGGCTTGTGGGTAGAAGCTGTTAAGAAGCCTTTTGGACCTAAACTTGGCGCTCCGGTACCACTTGTCGTGCGGTAGCAGAGAGAACAGTCTATGACTAGGGTGGCTGGAGTCTTTGACAATTTTTAGGGCCTTCCTCTGACACCGCCTGGTATAGAGGTCCTGGATGGCATGAAGCTTGGCCCCAGTGATGTATTGGGCCGTACGCACTACCCTCTGTATTGCCTTGCGGTCAGAGGCCGAGCAGTTGCCATACCAGGCGGTGATGCAACCAGTCAGGATGCTCTCGATGGTGCAGCTGTATAACTTTTTGAGGATCTGAGGACCCATGCCAAATCTTTTCAGTCTCCTGAGGGGGAATAGGCTTTGTCGTGCCCTCTTCACGACTGTCTTGGTGTGTTTGGACCATGATAGTTTGTTGGTGATGTGGACACCAAGGAACTTGAAGCTCTCAACCTGTTCCACTACAGCCCTGTCGATGAGAATGGGGGCGTGCTCAGTCCTCTTTTTTTTCCCTGTAGTCCACAATCATCTCCTTTGTCTTGATCACGTTGAGGGAGAGGTTGTTTTCCTGGCACCACACGGCCAGGTCTCTGACCTCCTCTCTATAGGCTGTCTCACTGTTGTCGGTGATCAGGCCTACCACTGTTGTGTCGTCTGCAAACTTAATGATGGTGTTGGAGTCGTGCCTGGCCATGCAGTCATGGGTGAACAGGGAGTACAGGAGGGGACTGAGCACGCACCCCGTGGGGCCCCGTGATCGTATACAGATGTGTTGTTACCTACCCTTACCACCTGGGGGTAGCCCGTCAGGAAGTCCAGGATCCAGTTGCAGAAGGAGGTGTTTAGTCCCAGGATCCTTAGCTTAGTGATGAGCTTTGAGGGCACTATGGTGTTGAACGCTGAGCTGTAGTCAATGAATATCATTCTCACGTAGGTGTTCCACTTGGCCAGGTGGGAAAGGGCAGTGTGGAGTGCAATAGAGATTGCATCATCTGTGGATCTGTTGGGGCGGTATGCAAATTGGAGTGGGTCTAGGGTTTCTGGGATAATGGTGTTGATGTGAGCCATGACCAGCCTTTCAAAGCACTTCATGGCTACAGACGTGAGTGCTACGGGTCGGTAGTCATTTAGGCAGGTTATCTTAGTGTTCTTGGGCACAGGGACTATGGTGGTCTGCATGAAACATGTTGGTATTACAGACTAAGTCAGGGAAATGTTGAAAATGTCAGTGAAGACACTTGCCAGTTGGTCAGCGCATGCTCGGAGTACACGTCCTGGTAATCAATCTGTCCCTGCGGCCATTAGATAGACTGGTATATAGGCTTTCAATGCCACGCTAACTACCGCAGTGCAACTCGATAGTTGAGACAGACTGCACTAACGTTGTTGTAAGTTCCTGGTGTCTTGTACTTACCTTGTTAAGCTCCACCTTGAGATTGTAGGGACTGCTTCCATAGTGGAACAGGGATTTTTTGAATCTCTCAATCACCCGCCGTTTGACACTGTGCTGAAGAGCTGGGGGAAGCTGAACATAACATTGTTAAAAACAGTACGATTTAAAATATAATGGCTCAAATGTCTAGACATACTGTATACACCAACCAACTGGTACATAGTTCTCATTATTATTACCTGAACTCTTAATCAAATGAAAATCTAAAGTACATAGAGACTTACCTGAGTGATGTAAATGATCTTATGCAGTTGTACCAGGAGTCTTTGGACAGGGTCATCAATCTGCCTAACCTTCCTCTGAGATACACAGATTCCTGCTGACGCTATGAAACCCACATGTTTATCAGTTGAGTTGAACCCACTTAACCAAAGAGTTGAAGGAGGAAAAAAGAACATCCTTCAAAATGGCCCAATTTACCTGGTCGAGGTTTTGGCTTCGGAACAGCAAACTCACCACTAAGGAAAACAAGATGATTATTTTATCACCTGACTGACAAACTGTTGTCATCACACAAACAGTACCTCTTCAGATGAAATTATGATATGGGTAATATTCAACAGCATATAATATATTAGAGTATGATCGTATACAGACTCACCCAGCTATGTTTTTTTCATCTGCCACAGAGGCACTGACGCTGCGCTTTATCGGCCCTTTAAACAATTACAGATATCAACTGATTCCAATCCAAACATTACAATTGGAAATACTCCTAGTAGTTGAAAGATCTAAATTCAAGTGAGCATTTTGAATTCAAGTACTCACCAGCGTCTTTATACCCCGAGGCAGTGGAGATGATGGTATGAGAGGGATCTAGATCTTCATCTGAGCCATTATCTTATAAAACACATAGATCATAATCAACATGGTAGCAAATGTTTTATGAGAAACATGAATTATGGCCATACAATCCAGGGAAGATTTACCTTGGCTGTGCATTTGTTTGCTTTGGTTTGAGCTGTGGCCTAAAGAGAAGTATGGTACCATGGACTCATCAGTCCTACTAGTGGTTTTCTCCTGGTCTTTAGATGAGTGGCAGCAGCTGACCTTGCCCCGATGGCTCTCCAGGAAGTACTTCTGTGCTCGCTTCCTGTCTCGCTCCGCCCTCCTCTCCAAAGCATTCTGGGAGGTGTACAAGCTGTCCATGAACCTCATCATGATGTCAGAGATCTTGGAGCTGACTTCCACGATGTCTGGACGCAAGTCTGCATCAGTTGTCAGGCACCTGAGGGGTATTATGGGAGTTATTTAGGTAGTAATCAGATAATGTAGCATCTTATCAAGCACTGTCCATCATTGATTTGTGTAATGCAATGGGAGCCCTTTGCTATCCACATCAAAGATCTATAAGTGAAAAATAAATGAATTCACTTTATCATCTTACCATTTAATCATGTCTGTGACTCTCTCTGAGAAAAGGCCTTCCTCCACTGGTTCATAGACTGCCTCCACAATCTACCAACACAAACCCAGTTTAACAACAATAGCCTTAGATACACAGATAACCTATGTGAGTAGTGTGTGTGTATGTGTATTTGTGTGTGTTACCTTGGTGGCGAGGGAGAGCATGTTGCTGCTGTAGAATGGAGGCCTCAGTGTGGCCATCTGGTAGAGGATACATCCTATAGCCCAGACATCAGCCTTCTCCCCATACGGCTCACTCTTCACTATCTCTGGACTACACAAATACACACACACACACACACACACACACACACAGACACACAAAAAAGGGGCAGTTGTAGAGATCATTCAAATGATTGCTAAAGGAAGTCGTACCTTAGAGATGACCTACTTCATCATCAGAACAGATCTCCCTGAAATCTCCCCTGATTTTGAGTAACTATTAGAACTCACCAGGAGTACAGTATGGTCCCAACCACTGATGTTAGCTTGCTGTTCTCCTGTTTCTGTTTAGCCAGCCCAAAGTCAGCTGAAATGGATTCAGGTCACATGTTACCAAAGACAAATGTTTTACCGACACATATACCTTCAGACAAAAGGGCATGATGTAAGTAAAATGAATGATAAGTGGTTTGCTGAAGAATATGACTTATTCACATTTACAGTACGTGCGCTTCTAGTTTTAGTAGGAGATGACATGAGGAGAGAGAAATAGAGCATGAAAAGGACAACTGTAATTGACTGACTGATAGAGACTTTGTCCCTCTTTCCCAGCATGACGTTATTAGGAGTGAGGTCTCGGTGGACGATCCTCTTCTCCTTGTGCAGGTACCTTAAAGCCATACACATCTGAGGAATTTAATCGGGAGAAAGAAAACAAGGATATGCACTTTAGTAAACAACATCATAGCATTGATTGATTCATTCATAGTAATTATCCAAGAGAGTCACAGTAGGTTTCTTGTCAGTGCAATGCAATGGAGGCCGATACTTACCTGGATGAATATGTTCCAAAGTCGCTCCTCTGTGAATTGCTGCTCCTTCTCTTTCAGAGAGTTGAAATGGTCCCAGAGGGGAACTCCTTTTATCAACTCCATGACAATGTACAGCCTGTCACCTAAAACAGTGTTCATAGCCATTTATAAAGCTGATATCTTAATAATCTTAACTCAAAATAGTGGTGTGTGTCTGATACTTACCTTCCAAGAATGTCTTGTAATATTTCACAACATTTGGATGGGTCATCTTCAGGGAACAGAGAAAAAAGCATGAGTGCTTATCATTCAAAAATATGTACTGACTGGTGTGTTGTAGGTAATACTGTACAGTGAGGGAAAAAAGTATTTGATCCCCTGCTGATTTTGTACGTTTGCCCACTGACAAAGAAATGATCAGTCTATAATTTTAATGGTAGGTTTATTTGAACAGTGAGAGACAGAGGGATTTTGTCCCAATCCTCTTTGCAGATCTTCTCCAAGTCATTAAAGGTTTCGAGGCTGACATTTGGCAACTCGAACCTTCAGCTCCCTCCACAGATTTTCTATGGGATTAAGGTCTGGAGACTGGCTAGGCCACTCCAGGACCTTAATGTGCTTCTTCTTGAGCCACTCCTTTGTTGCCTTGGCCATGTGTTTTGGGTCATTGTCATGCTGGAATACCCATCCACAACCTATTTCAATGCCGTGGCTGAGGGAAGGAGGTTCTCACCCAAGATTTGATGGTACATGGCCCCATCCATCGTCCCTTTGATGCGGTGAAGTTGTCCTGTCCCCTTAGCAGAAAAACACCCCCAAAGCATAATGTTTCCACCTCCATGTTTGACAGTGGGGATGGTGTTCTTGGGGTCATAGGCAGCATTCCTCCTCCTCCAAACACGGCGAGTTGAGTTGATGCCAAATAGCTCCATTTTGGTCTCATCTGACCACAACACTTCCAGTTCTCTGAATCATTCAGATGTTCATTGGCAAACTTCAGACGGGCATGTATATGTGCTTTCTTGAGCAGGGGGACCTTGCAGGCGCTGCAGGATTTCAGTCCTTCATGGCGTAGTGTGTTACCAATTGTTTTCTTGGTGACTATGGTCCCAGCTGCCTTGAGATAATTGACAAGATCCTCCCATGTAGTTCTGGGCTGATTCCTCACCGTTCTCATGATCATTGCAACTCCACGAGGTGAGATCTTGCATGGAGCCCCAGGCCGAGGGAGATTGACAGTTATTTTGTGTTTCTTCCATTTGCGAATAATCGCACCAACTGTTGTCACCTTCTCACCAAGCTGCTTGGCAATGGTCTTGTAGCCCATTCCAGCCTTGTGTAGGTCTACAGTCTTGTCCCTGACATCCTTGGAGAGCTCTTTGGTCTTGGCCATGGTGGAGAGTTTGGAATCTGATTGATTGATTGCTTCTCTGGACAGGTGTCTTTTATACAGGTAACAAGCTGAGAAATTGGAGGACTCCCTTTAAGAGTGTGCTCCTAATCTCAGCTCGTTACCTGTATAAAAGACACCTGGGAGCCAGAAATCTTTCTGATTGAGAGGGGGTCAAATACTTATTTCCCTTATTAAAATGCAAATCAATTTATAACATTTTTGACATGCGTCTTTCTGGATTTTTTTGTTGTTATTCTGTCTCTCACTGTTCAAATAAATCTACCATTAAAATTATAGACTGATCATTTCTTTGTCAGTGGGCAAACGTACAAAATCAGCAGGGGTACAAATACTTTTTTCCCTCACTGTATATAACCACATGGTAGAATACCAACAAACAACAGCTACGTGTGAGACATGAGCTACTGTATCTGGCCGATAGTAAACCAATGCTAACCTGTTCCTTAATGATGGTGAGCTCAGACACTATCTTCTCCACGTTGCTGTCTCTGGACTTCTTATCTTTGCCAAAGGCAGGGTTGTGGAGATTCACTTCCTTCAGAGCCAGAAGGTTCTGACCACTCTGTTTCCTCACCTCTCCGCACAACCCCACACAACAACCAAAACCAAACAGGCAGAAAATATACCATAAAGAATGTTAATGACATGTGTGGAGTGATATTTGTGCCAAAATACATTTCAGATTCAATTTCTTTTGGCACTAAAATCACTCCATAGTCATGCCAAATTGTACAAATTCAAACTCAAGCATGTAGAGGTAGCTAAATTCTAGTGATTGCAATTCATGACCATGAGTTATTGAAATCAAAGCACAATCAGACATGCCACATAAATCACAACCACATTGTAATGGTTGTCATGTGTCCATTCTTACAGGCACATTAAGGTTGGCACTGATGAACGGCTCAGTGGGAGGCTCTACCTTGAACACACTGCCGAAGGCCCCAGTGCCTAGATGGTCCAGTATGGAGTAGCCATTGATCACTCTCAGAGGAGGGCGGTTCTGGTCGACAGCTTCAATGCTCTCCCTCAGGCTGTCCAATTCCTCCTGCTAAAGGCAAGCCAATACACGCCAGTAAACAATCCTCACTGAGTTGAGTGGGGTAGGCATGACCGCAGAGCATAGGTAATGAAAATGGTAAATTAATCATTATTATGATTATATGGGGCTTTACTTTACAATCTAAATGTATTTAACAGGTAAGAGGAGACAGGTGAGGGCTCTTGAATGTACAGATAACTGCCCAAATAAAGGAAACACTTGAGTAAATGAGGGATACAAAGTATATTGAAAGCAGGTGCTTCCACACAGTTGTCGTTCCTGAGTTAATTAAGCAATTAACATCCCATCATATTTAAGGTCATGTATAAAAATGTTGGGCAGGCCATTATTTTGGCTACTATGGGTATGCCACCATAGGATGACAATGCCCCCATCCACAGGGTACGAGTGGTCACTGAATGGTTTGATGAGCATGAAAACAATGTAAACCATATTGCATGGTCGTCTCAGTCACCAGATCTCAACCCAATTGAACCCTTCTGGGAGATTCTGGAGCGGCGCCTGAGACAGCGTTTTCCACCACCATCAACAAAACACCAAATTATAGAATTTATTGTGGAAGAATGATGTTGCATCCCTCCAATAGAGTTCCAGACACTTGTAGAATCTATGTCAAGATGCATTGAAGCTGTTCTGGCTCGTGGTGGCCCAACGCCCTATTAAGACACTTTATGTTGGTGTTTCCTTTATTTTGTCAGTTACCTGTATGTTACAGTATAGTCGTTTTTACAGTATATTAGTTCTCACAGTGTAGAGAGAAACTTTTGCTTGAAGTGCTTCATAGACAGTGATGTCTCTCACATAATGTCCAACATCAATGAACAGCTCAAATAAATCTGTAGGAAAGAGCCTGAAACAGAAAATCACTTTCACACATTTTCTGAAAGGAAAGAATATGTACATTGACTTTAAGAAACAATGTCTTATGTCATCACCTTTTAAACAAATGTCGGTTACGTTCCATGCTGAAGAGGAAACGCAGGGTCCGAAATGCATAGCACTGTCAACATCAACAATAACATAATTACTATCATTGTAGTGTAAGGACAGACATGACATGATAATTGTAATTACACCATTATGTAATGCATGTGTAATACCTGTAGGGATATTGCTTTTGGTCCATTGCGAGAGCTTTGTGGCAGAATCAATTTCGCTATTACATAGACTCCATTCTCCTGACGAAGCAAAGAGAACGCATTTCAAAATGTCCTTTCCACTAACACAATTCTGAATCAATATCACAGTCCTATATATTGTCCAGTTCATTGACCATTCTAATGGCAGCCAACACTCTGTTTCTGTTTGTGGGTAGGTGCCCTTACCTGAACCACCTGATGTGCAGTGATGTCATCCAAAACAAGCTCAGTCAGAGCCGCACAGCATGCTGCAATAGACAAGTCAGGAAAAGATCGACATTTACACAAGATCATGTTGGACATAGATCAATCTATATGATCTAGGTCCCCTGTAGCTCAGTTGGTAGAGCATGGCGCTTGCAACGCCAGGGTTGTGGGTTCGTTTCCCACGGGGGGCCAGTATGAAAATGTATGCACTCACTAACTGTAAGTCGCTCTGGATAAGAGCGTCTGCTAAATGACTAAAATGTAAAATTTTTAAATCTATAGCCAAAATGTCCAACATATCCAGTGTGTGTTCCTACCTGACTGTAGAGACATGGTGTCGTCCACATCCTCCTGTGGACTGAGCTCCTCACTGATGTGCTGTCTCTGGATGCGTCCCACTGCATTGGCGCTGTAGAGGGCCTCGATAGAGGAGCGGTCTGAAATATACGCCCGCTCACTGGAACAGACAACATACAGTACATTACGGAACCCTATTGGTCTGGGTTGCATACCGCTTTCTCATAATCTGAATTTTCTCATGGTCATAATGTGCACTAACCAATGCTTCAACCACTGTATTTGACCCACTAAACTCTTGAGTAACTCTTGATTAATCTATGCTCTAAAGTTTACGATACTATATTAGCCTAACCAGAGGTTGCATACCATTTTCTCATAATCATAATTTACTCAAGGTCATAATATGCACTAACCTCACCCAATTTACTGCATTTGACCCAGTGAACTCCTGAATAGTCTATGCTCTCCGTTAACTTTTATGATACTTCTTTAGTCTATCCAGAGGTAGCCTCTCACCTGTTGAGGATGCGGAGCACCTGTTGCACCCCTCCCCAGGTGCGTATCTCAGCACTGGTGTCTGGCTCCTCACACAGCTGGACCAGGACCCACACTATGCTCCACAGCAGCTTCAGGTGCTCCCCGTGCAGCAGGCTGAGCAGCACCGGCAGGCCCTCGCACTCCCTCAACTGCTCCCGCACCTGCCGTACCGTGGAAAGCAGACGCAACAACTCTGCACTCATCCTGAAAGGAATACAAAGAAAAATGGATATGCAAAACATATATCAAAGCAAGACATTGGAAGGTACATGTGATTGCTACTGATATAGTCATGCTGTTGATGGGGTGTAAGGCGAACTCTTTATTTTTAAGCAACTTTGTTGTGTAAAGATTAACGCAAAGAGTGTGACTGATTAGGAAGTTAGATACTGTACCTTTTGGACAGTAAGTCATACTCTTGTAGTATAACAAGAAGGTTCTCCACGATTGCCAACTCTCCTATCTTCTCCTTGCATTCTGAACTAGGGGATAGATCAAGTGATGTATTTAAGTGTTAGCTACAGTCTATACTTTTACTAAAAGTATGCATGATGTCCCAAGGTCCCTCTATAAGAGCAGTTACCTCTCAGACAATGAGGTGAGTGCTAGGAGGGCACCTAGTAACACACTGCTGTCACGCGTTGATAGGAGCTTTACCAGGGTCTGAGCATGAAATCTTATATCATTATATGCTCATTAGTTACTACTTTCCCAGACAGAAAAAACTAAAACCCATCCACAAGTAATAAGGATCAGACATTGCACTAATAGTCAGTTAGGAGCACAGCTCTTCATTTAACACAATCCTACAGTATATTGTATGAGGCAGTGCAATTTGTACAATTGTTTACCTTATGAGCTCCCCTCTCAATAACCCACTGCCTTTGGTCCTCCACTGCAGACAGTTTCTGAAACATATCTATTCAGGAATGAAGAGACAAGGAATGATAAGGAAGGACATTGAGGGAAATACAGGCTACTTTTGGGGGGGATTTGATAACTCACATGTCATAGTGACCAACTTCTCCATGGCAAATGTCTGCTCTCCACACTCCAGATAACTGCTGCACACCAACTCCATGTACTGAAGAGGGAGGGGAAGGGATAGAATGTGACAGCGATAAAAAGCATCACAGGACTGTCAGACTAGAAGGTTTTAAAAATAGATTTAAAGTACATTTACCCTTGCGAGAAGATCAACACCTTGGAGTTGATGAAAAACTCTCTGAAAAGAGAGGGTGTGAAGAGAATTTAAAATATACCTGAATTCAGTGTTGAATTGTCCTACTTGCTTGTCAGGTTTTTGTCAACAAGTCATAAGAGAAAGGCAGCACAAGTAATTTCTATTTTACAAGAAGCCACGCTGATGCATCATCTGAAGTTGAAGGAAGATAACGCCCACCATTAGTTTTACCTGATAAAGTGGTTCTCTTATAAGCAATCGTAAGCAGGTGAGCACTCTAAGGACAGACTCAGGTGGTGCATGGTTGACCCAGTTACTACAAAGGAAGTACACACACAACTGAGCACAAGACCTTTGTCAACAACATCACCTGCACAAAAATTGTTGAAACCATATGAGACTACCTGCACAGTCTGTTCTTGACCAAAGAGGTAAGGATCTCCAAAAATAGCTTATGTTGAGGATGACTGCTGAAACAATGTTGATTTTTGTATGTTGCACTGTTAGAACGGAAGATGTGTAAGAAAAGTTAATTATTTGATCAATCATATTTAAAGAATCCAAAATGCATTATTTAGGGTTATACCAGAATTTCTCCAGCTCAGGATCTTCAGAGGTTATGTGAATCTGACTATTTTTGCTGGCATTATTTAGCTGGAGAGTGGTCTGGGATCTTCCTCCACTGTTGCGGACCTTACATGACTGACTCAATGCTGCCACCTGGAATGTCAGGCAGACAAACCTGATCACATCATACTGTACAACACAAAATAGAGGGTTTTACATTCATGAATCATATGATTTCCTTACCTGGTGTCTTTGAGCATTAGTTGCAAGCAGGGACAGAAGTTTCCTGAGATCATGTGATTCCCTGAAAATGTTTCACTTTGGTCAATCATTTTATTCCAGTCAAAACAGGATATCAGTTGTGTGCTAATATTTTAGTTGAAAATGTCCAAAGAACGTAGGCCTATTTTGACATTATGCATGTGCAGTATCTGAATTGACTGAAACTGAAATTACTTCAATACAACTTACTTGTTGTCTGGTCCCTTCGACTTCTGGAGTAGTTTGTCTGCTCTTCTCACCTTTTTAACTGGGTTGGGCATTATACAAACTCCTCTCTGCTTCCATGGGTCATACCTGACGTTCAACTTCCGATAATTGACACAATATAACAATGCATTCAATATCATGGCATTTGGTACATTGTAACTGCTCTCAATATACAAATAAACATAGTCTGTTTTAGAAACATTAGCCTAGCAGTAACACTGAACAACAACAAATGCGACATAGTTCAGGCATAATGCAGCCATCCACTACAAGGGAACTCAAAACAAAGGAGAAACATTTGACCAATGAGCAGTCTCTTACCCTCCTTCACCATGGCAAATATGTAGGATACACCTGTTATTTTATTATTCTTTTTCAAGCTTGTTTTCTCCTTCATGGTTGCAATTTATTCATGGCCATATCATGGGAAAGTATGTGCCCGAATTGGAAAAGGTCATACTGAAATTGATGATAGTTTTAACCAATAGGAGGAAACAACATTATTATGTGTAGGTTTCTATGGATACAACTGACGCCTTTTCACATTCTGTCACCAGATCATTTTGTCTTTGGAATGTAGTTGTTTGTTGTTCCCCTGTTATTATAGCTCAGTAGTTGTTCCAGTTTCACCAAGTGCATAAATAAACACATTAATAGTAAATAACTGTAATTAACAAGTAGATTTACAGCTCTTATTTTTTATTAATATTTATTTTTCATAAACTGCTAACCTGTGTGCATCTATCTATATGCAAAATAAACTTCAGATTTTTGAAAGTTAAGTAGATGCAGAGTTTCTGTCAGGTATCTGTTGATGGAAAATAAATAAGATGAAAACAGAGATTCTCTACGTTTTTAGCGAAAATGTAATATTGTTGTCGCGATAGCATGTGGATAACTCAGGCAATGCACAAACTACCGCGAGATATTTGGTCCTTAATTTTTGCTATTCATAATCTCAGTACGCATTGTATCTGGCGTACTCTCCGTCGTTCAGGTGTGACATTACGTCGGCCATAGTACGTAGGTATACGCTAGTGGTAAGAAGGGGAATGTCGGGTTGTGAATGATCGGTTTCTGAGCGGTAGCGAACGTCAACATTATGGGTGAGCCTACTTACTGTATCAAACATTTCCGAAAACTTCTTTGGACATGACATTTATAGCTTGTTGTATCAGAATTGCTGTTTTAAAGTAATGGTTGTTCGTGGCTTTCTAGTTGTCTGAGTAACCAACGCCCAGTCGTCCCCCAACCAGTTGTTGGATGAGATGCTAGCCTAGCTAGCAGGTTAGCATTAGCTTAGGCATTTCCTGTGTAGTTATTTTGTCCCTCATCACGAATTACTTGACCCAATTTTACCTACCTAGTGGTTCATTCTAAAAGCTAATGTTTTATTTTATGTATCTGGTGTTTGTTAAGTAAACTCCATCGACGTAACGCTAGCTAGCTTTTTTAGTGTGGCGATAACGTCATTTTCACCGCCTAACGTTTGCCAGCTGGCTTGCTAGCCTACGATTCAGAAAATGCTAACGCCAAGTCCTTAGCCTTAAATTAAGTTATTGTCCCAGTAGTCACCAAGCAAGCCATTGTTTCTTGTTAATGGTTAACTAGCAAAACAATGTCAAGCAATTTATTTACTTCCAGCTATTTCATACATTTGATTCCCCATGAGTGCTACACTGAAAAATAGATTGAAGTGTGTGACACCATAGAGTGTAGAGGGAAACCGCAAAACAGAGTATGTAGGGAAGGGGACAGATGAGGATAAACACTCGCTCAAGCCAACACAGTTAGATTCTCAGACCTTGGATAGATCTAAGGACAAGTCAAGTGTTAAGATGGGTATCCTTGGGTGTCTGCCTTTTCAAATCGGTTTGGGGGTAGGACCAAGTGAAAGTGAGCCAGGTTTTTATTAAAGAAGCCCTATTAAATTGCGATGAAGATACTCTCATGACTGCATGAGAAAAATGTGTACACCTCTCACCACTTCCTTCAGTTGACCCGCTAACGGAAACTACACTCGCAGAATCATGAAGAAGGATTTGAATCAGTTGCCACATTTTTTTGCTTTGTAAAAGTGTATGCAGTGGAGGCTGGTAGGAGGAGCTATAGGAGGACGGGCTCAACGGTATCAAACATGGAAACCAAGTTGGACTCATTTCCTTTTATCCCATTCCAGCCATTACAATGAGCCCGTCCTCCTATAGCTCCTCCCACCAGCCTCCACTGGTGTACAGGTAGTGGTCTCACTCATACCATGCATTGAAAGTTTCTTGCATGGAGATAAAGAAGACATACAATTTTAACGATAATTTCGCACAGACATAGGCTTTCAATTGAAAACATTTGAACAACAGTCCAAGGCTAGGGGCATCAACAGAGATTGGACTCCTTTATAGCCCAGGGCGAAGCCAATAACAATGTATCATACTATCCAACTCTGTGATGTTATGCTTGCTAGCCTAAACACACATTATTTATCTGCAGGCTTTACAGTTTGTGAAATTGATTATGAAAACAGAATTCTTTGTTAGGATGATTGCTGATATTGATTGTTGTTGTCGCCTGTGTTCTCTCCTCTGGCTCTTCCCTCACTTTGGACCACATCGCATGATTATTTCCATAAAACAGCTGTAAGTATGGATGGATTGGTCAGTTAGGCCAATGTTTATTTGCTTGCTTATCAGAATGACTTTCCCCTAATTTTGAAGTAACCTAGGCCTGTTACATAACATTGCAAAAGCTGTGGTGATGATGTTGTGCTCGTATGTTACTTTGCAGCAACAAAAGAATCTGGAGGGATATGTGGGCTTTGCTAGCCTTCCCAACCAAGTGTACAGAAAGTCTGTGAAGAGAGGCTTTGAATTCACCCTGATGGTTGTGGGTAAGAAAATGCTATTCATATATTGAGGTCATGGTTCAACAGAGTCATTTTTTCAGTCATTTCAGTTTACACAATACAGTTTACCAGTTAAAGCTGTAAATGGTAAGTTAGATTTGGAGACAGGAATATATGTGTGTGACCACATTTGTGTACAAGCAAAGTGCGTGTGTGTGTCTGTGATTTTAACCTCCTCGAGTCAGGAGAGGGAAGATAACCTCTCTCGTTTACTTTTTTTCACATCCTGCTTATTAAAATAGCATTATTTTGATTGGATTTATTCAAAACTGTGCAGTATTATAAAAAATACAAGAGTGCTGTTGAAGTACTTGGATGTGGTCGTTGAACTCGGCAAGGACCTTCATTTGCTAATCAGTCACTGTTTGGAGGGAAAATGTTTCTTTGGGTCAAACCATTTCCTGTGGTCGGCATAGCAGAATTGGTCCCTCACTGCTAAAAATAGTTCGTATCGCATTTCATCTGAACAGCAGCCTCTTTCTGAGCCAGTCATGGGTTTATGATTGATCAATTTAAGAAGTTAGGCTACACTCCTCATTCTATCTAAACATGTCTGCCTTGCCAGGCACTCGCATGCAACTGGGTTCCTCTTAAACAAGTCATGATTTACCCTGCTGTATAAAATGTCCTTTAAAGGCAGTGTGTTGGATGGTGCCCAAGTTGGCTGTTGGGGCCCAAAAATGCCTTGAATAATTTGCCAGCCTGATTGCTGCAATAATAATAATATGATTTTAAAGTCCTATTTCTGGGAATGCAAACGCATCACAAACGATGCATACTGTGCATATGTGAAGTAGGTTAGTTTATATCAATACACCAGTGTTTTCCATGTAACATGACAGGTTGGAGTGCTGCGCTCAGCGAGGCATAGTGTGCTGTGTCAGTCACTGCTGATAACGCTAGCCCTTTCTCACACTACACCACCAGTGACCTAAACCAGCAGGGACATGTGGGCTCAAAGCTCCGCCTACTGCTGAGGCAATGTGTATGTAACAGTGTACGAGACTGATATTGCTGAATTAGTAAACAGTAAAACTATCAACCATTTTCTTTTTTGCTGTAGATGTTGTATTAAAATGTACATTAATGTATACAAAATCCACAGCAAAAAATAAAATGGAATTAGCAAACAGTCAAACTATCAACCATTTTATTTTTTGCTGTGGATTTTGTATACATTAATGTACACTTTAATACAACATCTACAGCAAAAAAGAAAATGGTTGATAGTTTTACTGTTTACTAATTCAGCAATATCACTCTCGTACACTGTTACATACACACTGCCTCAGCAGTAGGCGGAGCTAGCTCCTCTACTCAGTCCTGAAGAGCAGTGCCTGGCAGTGTGACTGGCACAGCAGTGACTGGCACAGCACACTATGCCTCGCTGAGCGCAGCACGCCAACCTGTCCCGTTACCTGGAAAACACTGGTGTATTGATAGAAACTAGCCATCCATATTCATAGGAGTATGAAGATGGGTATTGAAATGCACATTGTCAAGTGCAGTCACTCAACACAGAAATGATAGCTCTCAACTCCCAATACTGTAGCCTGTAAATGGCAGCTCGTTGACGATCGAGCCGTAGCCCCCAGCCAGTGAGGTCAGTGCCAGTGGTAATTTCCACTGCCCTAATGATTCCATTCACCAGGAGCATGGAGACCAGGAACACAATGGTTAGCCATACTGGAGAAACGGGACCACACAGCCAGCATAAGAGGCATTCTCTAGCCATGTTCAGACTAGAAGCTGTTGTCCTATCCCTTTACACAATCATTCAGATGGATGGTCGTCTTGGACAAATGTCAATGGCCCTCAATCAAAGACATGACCTTTGATGGGATTTATTGGCTGGTCTTTATTAGATGCTTCTACAGTACTATTGGATGCCTCTAAAGTTGCATGACTGGCTATCACACAGTGGGATGTACCCGTTTTCAACATGTATGGTTAGCTGTTTATAATGTCAGTGTTCCCCTATATCTTTAAATGTTGTTCTTGCTGATATAGCTACATTGTATACTGTGCACACTAGGCCTATATGTTGATTGAATTGCATTGATTCACTCATTTAAAATGACACTGATGGACAATGACCCTAATGTAGCAACACTGCCATTAGGCTATATGATCCATGATTTATATATATTTTTTTAAAGATTCAGTTTTATTGCAACAGTTTTTTTCTTTCTTCTAGGTGAATCAGGATTGGGCAAGTCCACGTTGATCAACTCTCTGTTCCTAACAGACTTGTACTCTTCAGAATACCCTGGGCCTTCACACAGAGTCAAAAAGACTGTACAGGTAGTTTAAAACACTTCTGCATAACAGTCCTGTATTCTCTTGTTGAATATCCTTCTTCCACTGATGACCATGTTAGTTTGCCTCAGTGTTGATACCTTGGCATTTGAAACACATTCTGCGATATAGAGCAGACTAAAGTATTCATACCCCTTGACTTATTCCACATTTTGTGTTACAGCCTGAATTCAAAATGGATGAAATCGATTTTTTTGTTTGTATTATCTTTTACCAGATCTAATGTGTTATATTCTCCTACATTAATTTCACATTTCCCCAAACTTCAAAGTGTTTCCTTTCAAATGGTATCAAGAATATGCATATTCTTGGTTCAGGTCCTGAGCTACAGGCAGTTAGATTTGGGTATGCCATTTAGGCAAAAATTTAAAAAAAAAAAAAAAAAAAAAAAAAAGGGTCTGATCCTTAAGAGGTTAAGTCAAAACTGTAACTCGGCCACTCCAGTGTAAGCAACTCCAGTGTAGAGTTGGCCTTGTGTTTTAGGTTATTGTCCTGCTGAAAGGTGAATTAATCTCTGTGTCTGGTGGAAAGCAGACTGAACCAGGTTTCCCTCTAGGATTTTGCCTGCACTTAGCTCTATTCCTTTTTTTTTTTATCCTGAAAAACTCCCCAGTCCTTAACAACTACAAGCATAGCCATAACATGATACAGCCACCACTATGCTTAAAAATATTGAGAGTGGTACTCAGTAATGTGTTGTATTGGATTTGCCCCAAACATAACACTTTGTATTCAAGACAAAAAGTTAATTGCTTTACCACATTTTTTGCAGTATTACTTTAGTGCCAGGATGCATGTTTTTGAATATCTTTATTCTGTACAGGCTTCCTTCTTTTCACTCTGTCATTTAGGTTAGTATTGTGGAGTAACTACAATGTTGTTGATCCATCCTCAGTTTTCTCCTATCACAGCCATTTAAATGCTGTAACTGTTTTAAAGTCACCTCTCTGGCAACTGAGTTAGGAAGGACGCCTGTATCTTTTTAGTGACTGGGTGTAATGAAACACCATCCAAAGAGCAATTAATAACTTCACCATGCTCAAATGGCTATTCAATGGCTGTTTTTTTATTTTTTACCCATCTACGAATAGGTGCCCTTTGCAAGGCATTGGAAAACCTCTTTGTGGTTGAATCTGTGTTTGAAATTCACTGCACGACTTGAGACGTTTCAGCTTTTCATTTATTTAATTAATTTGTAAAAAGTTCAAACAACATTGTTCCACTATGACATTAAGGGGTATTGTGTGTAGACTTCTGACAAAAATGTAATTCATTTTAAATTCAGGCTGTAACACAACAACATTTGGAAAATAGCAAGGGGTGTTAATACTTTCTGAAGGCACTGTATGTCATTTAGTCCAGAAACTTGCTCTACTCGGTCTCCAAAACATAACGTTATCTCGACACAGATGCTCGTCTGTTTTTCTGGTTCCTCTGCATTGTTAGGTAATAGTACAGTGTTGGGCTGCATGTTGATACATGCAGCTAGAATGAGAGTCACCCACTGGCCTCAATGTGTGATACACACATTTAGACTAGTAATTGGGGACAAGTTGTCTTCCTGAGAAGTTGTTTTGGTACTCTTCTTTCCCTTCATTCTCTTCTGTGTTGTTGCAAACACTCTTGTGGAGACAGGTGTTTGCTCAACACAGTGGGGCCTGCGTTGTTGTCCAAAAGTTAAACAACCAGAAGTGTAGTGAGTGCTTAATATTCTTACGACAATTCTTAGGAAAGTTGTATTGTTCACTGTCATACACCAAGTATGAACAGTAACAGTATGCATTTAGACAAGACAACTATTGAATGCTAATACAATTATCTATTTCCCAGGTAGAGCAATCCAAAGTGTTAGTAAAGGAAGGTGGTGTCCAGCTCCTGCTCACTATAGTTGACACCCCAGGATTCGGCGACGCTGTGGACAACAGCAACTGGTATGCAAAGCTTGACAACTCCTCCATTTTGGCTCCAATAAATGCATTGATCTTGACACATTTGACAGCCATTTCGGCTCATAGCTTGCAAACAGGTTTCCAGGAAGTAGCATCCATTCTGGCTCAATGTGTGTGGGTTTGTTTCCTCCCTGGGGCTGTGTTCCATGCAGCTGGCAGCCGGTCATCGACCACATAGACAGCAAGTTTGAGGATTACCTCAACTGTGAGTCGCGGGTGAACAGACGACTGATGCCCGACAGCAGAGTGCAGTGCTGCCTCTACTTCATCGCCCCCTCGGGACACGGGTGAGTCTGGGAGGGGGGAGAAAGAGAGGTTGGACAGTGTGAATGAAGGGGGAGGGCTTCTTATGATTTAATAAGATTTCACAAGTGTAAAGTAGAATACTCCATATTAGAAATTCCATTCATTTTTGGCTACTGCCTCTTATAGCCTTTCTCTCTTTAGGGTTGTTTTGCAATATACAGTGGGGAGAACAAGTATTTGATACACTGCCGATTTTGCAGGTTTTCCTACTTACAAAGCATGTAGAGGTCTATACTTTTTATCATAGGTACACTTCAACTGTGAGAGACGGAATCTAAAACAAAAATCCAGAAAATCACATTGTATGATTTCTAAGTAATTCATTTGCATTTTATTGCATGACATAAGTATTTCATACATCAGAAAAGCAGAACTTAATATTTGGTACAGAAACCTTTGTTTGCAATTACAGAGATCATACGTTTCCTGTAGGTCTTGACCAGGTTTGCACACACTGCAGCAGGGATTTTGGCCCACTCCTCCATACAGACCTTCTCCAGATCCTTCAGGTTTCGGGGCTGTCGCTGGGCAATACGGACTTTCAGCTCCCTCCAAAGATTTTCTATTGGGTTCAGGTCTGGAGACTGGCTAGGCCACTCCAGGACCTTGAGATGCTTCTTACGGAGCCACTCCTTAGTTGCCCTGGCTGTGTGTTTCGGGTCGTTGTCATGCTGGAAGACCCAGCCACGACCCATCTTCAATGCTCTTACTGAGGGAAGGAGGTTGTTGGCCAAGATCTCGCGATACATGGCCCCATCCATCCTCCCCTCAATAAGGTGCAGTCGTCCTGTCCCCTTTGCAGAAAAGCATCCCCAAAGAATGATGTTTCCACCTCCATGCTTCACGGTTGGGATGGTGTTCTTGGGGTTGTACTCATCCTTCTTCTTCCTCCAAACACGGCGAGTGGAGTTTAGACCAAAAAGCTATATTTTTGTCTCATCAGACCACATGACCTTCTCCCATTCCTCCTCTGGATCATCCAGATGGTCATTGGCAAACTTCAGACGGGCCTGGACATGCGCTGGCTTGAGCAGGGGGACCTTGCGTGCGCTGCAGGATTTTAATCCATGACGGCGTAGTGTGTTACTAATGGTTTTCTTTGAGACTGTGGTCCCAGCTCTCTTCAGGTCATTGACCAGGTCCTGCCGTGTAGTTCTGGGCTGATCCCTCACCTTCCTCATGATCATTGATGCCCCACGAGGTGAGATCTTGCATGGAGCCCCTGACCGAGGGTGATTGACCGTCATCTTGAACTTCTTCCATTTTCTAATAATTGCGCCAAGAGTTGTTGCCTTCTCACCAAGCTGCTTGCCTATTGTCCTGTAGCCCATCCCAGCCTTGTGCAGGTCTACAATTTTATCCCTGATGTCCTTACACAGCTCTCTGGTCTTGGCCATTGTGGAGAGGTTGGAGTCTGTTTGATTGAGTGTGTGGACAGGTGTCTTTTATACAGGTAACGAGTTCAAACAGGTGCAGTTAATACAGGTAATGAGTGGAGAACAGGAGGGCTTCTTAAAGAAAAACTAACAGGTCTGTGAGAGACGGAATTCTTACTGGTTGGTAGGTGATCAAATACTTATGTCATGCAATAAAATGCAAATTATTTACTTAAAAATCATACAACGTGATTTTCTGGACTTTTGTTTTAGATTCCGTCTCTCACAGTTGAAGTGTACCTATGATAAAAATTACAGACCTCTACATGCTTTGTAAGTAGGAAAACCTGCAAAATCGGCAGTGTATCAAATACTTGTTCTCCACACTGTACATACATAGTTGTGTTTCATATGACTGATAGTGCTAAAGGGCATTGGCTCTCTGTCAGAGAAGGCTGTGTGTATCGTGGCTGTGGGGTAAAGAGGGTGTGTGTGTGCGTTCACTGTTCATACTCTGTTCTATGAGGCATTGTGTCCATACAATCCCCCAGTCAGTGTTGAGACAGGCTCTTAGGATGAGAAGCTTATGCTGGCCTCACACACTGACCCCTAACACACACTCTCCTCACAGCACCAGCTGATATAGGTCACTCACGCTCTAGTGCCTTGCACAGTGACACTGCTAATGAGAAACAGCTGGGGAAAGTGTTCTGGACACACAGACCATACTGTTATTTGTGTTGTCATCGTTGATAAATTACTTGTTTGTTTACACTACTGGAGCTCCATTGCAAAAATGTTTTATTAGTTAATAGAATGAAGGAAAGAAATGTGAGCTTCGTGGTTTGCTATTCAAATACTGGAACTGTCAGGAATCTGTCCAAAACTACCCCTACCCCACCATTTATGGTATTAATAATAACATTATTATTATTTTGTCATGTCTCCCTCCAGACTGAAGCCTCTGGATATTGAGTTTATGAAACGGTTGCATGAGAAGGTGAACGTCATCCCACTGATCGCAAAAGCAGACACTCTCACCCCAGAGGAGTGCCAACAGTTCAAGAAGCAGGTCAGTGGGCTCTGTCTGGGGGCTGGGCATCAAGGGTTTACGCTGACGAAGACTTGAGTGTTGCAGATAGAAATGCACAGTTTGGCCAGAATGGTGGTTACCTATTCCACATACTGCTCTGACGATGCCCTCAAAGTTTCCCCTGGGTAGTACTTTGATACAGTCTGAATGGAGTTGATACCACATGATAAAGAACTGTCCTACATGTCTTGGATTGTCATTGGGGTCCTTCTTAATAAAACATACTGAACCTTCCCTCTCCTCAGATCATGCGGGAAATCCTGGAGCACAAAATCAAGATCTACGAGTTCCCAGAGACGGATGATGAGGAAGAGAACAAACTGGTGAAGAAGATCAAGGTATGAAACAAATGTACCGCATGTTGTTGTAAGCACCATGCATGCACCAACGAACTTAGCCATTTAAACCTTTAGGCACTTAGCTACATCAGTCCCGCCTGGATTTTGTTATATTGCGATCGCAATTGTTTTTGCTAAATCAACAATTCCTGCTTATTATGCGAGGGCTGCAAATGACCAATCACTGTACTATTACCCAATAAAACAGTAAATCATTGCAATATTACCGCATAGAACTCTCCAGTCATTTGCATTTTAATGAGGGAAATAAGTATTTGACCCCCTCTCAATCAGAAAGATTTCTGGCTCCCAGGTGTCTTTTATACAGGTAACGAGCTGAGATTAGGAGCACACTCTTAAAGGGAGTGCTCCTAATCTCAGCTTGTTACCTGTATAAAAGACACCTGTCCACAGAAGCAATCAATCAATCAGATTCCAAACTCTCCACCATGGCCAAGACCAAAGAGCTCTCCAAGGATGTCAGGGACAAGATTGTAGACCTACACAAGGCTGGAATGGGCTACAAGATCATCGCCAAGCAGCTCGGTGAGAAGGTGACAACAGTTGGTGCGATTATTCGCAAATGGAAGAAACACAAAATAACTGTCAATCTCCCTCGGCCTGGGGCTCCATGCAAGATCTCACCTCGTGGAGTTGCAATGATAATGAGAACGGTGAGGAATCAGCCCAGAACTACACGGGAGGATCTTGTCAATGATCTCAAGGCAGCTGGGACCATAGTCACCAAGAAAACAATTGGTAACACACTACGCCGTGAAGAACTGAAATCCTGCAGCGCCCGCAAGGTCCCCCTGCTCAAGAAAGCACATATACATGGCCGTCTGAAGTTTGCCAATGAACATCTGAATGATTCAGAGGAGAACTGGGTGAAAGTGTTGTGGTCAGATGAGACCAAAATCGAGCTCTTTGGCATCAACTCAACTTGCCGTGTTTGGAGGAGGAGGAATGCTGCCTATGACACCAAGAACACCATCCCCACCGTCAAACATGGAGGTGGAAACATTATGCTTTGGGGGTGTTTTTCTGCTAAGGGGACAGGACAACTTCACCGCATCAAAGGGACGATGGACGGGGCCATGTACCATCAAATCTTGAGTGAGAACCTCCTTCCCTCAGCCAGGGCATTGAAAATGGGTCGTGGATGGGTATTCCAGCATGACAATGACCCCAAAGACACGGCCAAGGCAACAAAGGAGTGGCTCAAGTAGAAGCACATTAAGACTAGCCAGTCTCCAGACCTTAATCCTATAGAAAATCTGTGGAGGGAGCTGAAGGTTCGAGTTGCCAAACGTCATCCTCGAAACCTTAATGACTTGGAGAAGATCTGCAAAGAGGAGTGGGACAAAATCCCTCCTGAGATGTGTGCAAACTTGGTGGCCAACTACAAGAAACGTCTGACCTCTGTGATTGCCAACAAGGGTTTTGCCACCAAGTACTAAGTCATGTTTTGCAGAGGGGTCAAATACTTATTTCCCTCATTAAAATGTAAATCAATTTATAACATTTTTGACATGTGTTTTTCAGGATTTTTTTGTTGTTATTCTGTCTCTCACTGTTCAAATAAACCTACCATTAAAATTATAGACTGATCATGTCTTTGTCAGTGGGCAAACGTACAAAATCAGCAGGGGATCAAATACTTTTTTCCCTCACTGTATATACATACAGTTGAAGTCGAAGTTTACATACACTTAGATTGGAGTCATTAAAACTTGTTTTTCAACCACTCCACACATTTCTTGTTAACAAGCTATAGGTTTGGCAAGTCGGTTAGGACATCTACTTTGTGCATGACACAAGTAATTTTTCCAACAATTGTTTACAGACAGATTATTTCACTTATAATTCACTGTATCACAATTCCAGTGGGTCAGAAGTTAACATCTAAGTTGACTGTGCCTTTAAACAGCTTGGAAAATTCCAGAAAATGATATCATGGCTTTAGAAGCTTCTGATAGGCTAATTGACATCATTTGAGTCAATTGGAGGTGTACCTGTGGATGTATTTCAAGGCCTACCTTCAAACTCAGTGCCTCTTTGCTTGACATCATGGGAAAATCAAAAGAAATCAGCCAGATTTGTAGACCTCCACAAGTCTGGTTCATCCTTGGGAGCAATTCCCAAACTCCTGAAGGTACCACGTTCATCTGTACAAACAATAGTACGCAAGTATAAACACCATGGAACCACGCAGCCGTCATACCGCTCAGGAAGGAGACGCGTTTTGTCTCCTAGAGATGAACATACTTTGGTGTGAAAAGTGCAAATCAATCCCAGAACAACAGCAAAGGACCTTGTGAAGATGCTGGAGGAAACTGGTACAAAAGTATCTATATTAACAATAAAACGAGTCCTATATCGACATAACCTGAAAGGCCGCTCAGCAATGAAGAAGCCACTGCTCCAAAACCGCCATAAAAAAGCCAGACTACGGTTTGCAACTGAACATGGGGACAAAGATCGTACTTTTTGGAGAAATGTCCTCTGGTCTGATGAAACAAAAATATAACTGTTTGGCCATAATGACCATCGTTATGTTTGGAGGAAAAAGGGGGTCGCTTGCAAGCCGAAGAACACCATCCCAACCGTGAAGCACGGGGCAGGCAGCATCATGCTGTGGGGGTGCTTTGCTGCAGGAGGGACTGGTGGACATCACAAAATAGATGGCATCATGAGGAAGGAAAATTACGTGGATATATTGAAGCAACATCTCAAGACATCAGTCAGGAAGTTAAAGCTTGGTCGCAAATGGGTCTTCTAAATGGACAATGACCCCAAGCATACTTCCAAAGTTGTGGAAAAATGGCTTAAGGACAACAAAGTCAAGGTATTGGAGTGGCCATCACAAAGTCCTGACCTCAATCCTATAGAAAATGTGTGGGCAGAACAGAAAAGGCGTGTGCGAGCAAGGAGGCCTACAAACCTGACTCAGTTACACAAGCTCTGTCAGGAGGAATGGGCCAAAATTCATCCCACTTATTGTGGGAAACTTGTGGAAGGCCACCCGAAACATTTGACCCAAGTTAAACAATTTAAAGGCAATGCTACCAAATACTAATTGAGTGTATGTACACTTCTGACCCACTGGGAATGCAATGAAATAAATCAGTCTCTCTACTACTATTCTGACATTTCACATTCTTAAAATAAAGTGGTGAATCCTAACTGACCTAAGACGGGGAATATTTACTAGGATTAAATGTCAGGAATTGTGAAAAACTGAGTTTAAATGTATTTGGCTAAGGTGTATGTAAACTTCTGACTTCAACTGTACATACACACATTCTCTCACACATCATTGTGTTATTTTGCTTGCAGGACCGTCTTCCCCTGGCCGTGGTGGGCAGTAACACCATCATCGAGGTGAATGGGAAAAGGACCAGAGGACGACAGTACCCCTGGGGAGTGGCAGAAGGTACCAGGCATGATGGGAGATGTAGTTTGATCAGGGAAAAGGACAATCTATAGAAAGAGGCTCCTTTAGGAGAGGGGTTTAAATATGTATTGATTTTCTTTCCTTGCAGTTGAGAACGGAGACCACTGTGATTTCACCATCCTACGAGACATGCTCATCAGGTACAGACCTTAAAACATGAAGTTACAAACATTTATAGAAAATGGGGAAATGACAATGCATTTTTTGTAGCATTGTCAACCACATTGACCTTAGCCTCAACTTTAAAGGTTTCTAATACTTGTTTTGTCTGTCTTTCTGTGTGCGTACAGAACCCACATGCAGGACCTGAAGGACGTGACCAATAACGTCCACTATGAAAACTATCGCAGCAGGAAGCTGGCGGCCGTCACCTACAACGGACAGGACAACAACAGGGTCAAGGGTCAACAGTCGACCAAGTGAGTCCAACAGCTACCAATGGTTCTCTATTTAACAAGGCATAGCCTAACTGTTTTTGTCATTGATCAAAGGCATATTTTACCTGACAGATAATCTACTGGACATCTGAGACTTTTGAAATGTTTTATCATATTGATGCGATTTTTAGGCTGTATAAATGGATGTTATTGTCGTAGTGTTCCTGGAGGTATTTTTGTCCAATATAGGTCCATCATTCCAAATGCAGGTATTACAGTTTAAAGGGATACTTCGGGATTTTGGCAATGAGGCCCTTTCCCTACTTCTCCAGAGTCCGATGAACTCGTGGATACCATTGTTATGTCTCTGTGTGGAGTTTGAATGAAGTTGCTAACTAGCGCTAGCGCAATTGCTAACTAGTTTCGCGAGCCAATGCTATCTCGAACTTCCTTCATACTGGACACAGATATACAAATGGTATCCACAAGTTCATCTGACTCAGGGGAAGTCGAAAAAGGGCCTAATTGCCAAAATCCTGAAGTATCCCTTTAAATTCCACACTGCTGCTCTCTCACACCTAAGACCCTCTTATGTACACCAACCACGCTCAGCATCTTAGCTCTTTACTGAGAAACACCATCACACACTGCGGTTCCTAACGCACAGCTACTCACCAAACACATGCTGCTAATGTAAGGCTGCTACACACACCGTTTCATGCCTCTTGAAAAGTAGTTTTGTTTATTTGTGAACTTTTCCTTGTTTACCGTGAGAAAGTAGATGTTTCGTTCTTAGTCCATGTTTTTGTTAGTGCGGTCAGTCCGTTTAGTTTTTCCGTTGTCGTAGTGCATGATTTCATCGCAGCATGCTAAGTGTGTGTGTTTCTGTTTTTTTAGACATGACACAGGTGAAGGCATGTAAGTGGTCAATTTATGTTTTCTTAGAACCTCCTGTAAGATCATTTTTTGAATATACCTTTTTCCTCCCCTGTTTGTGTTACTTTGTCTGGGTTCTCTCTTTCTCCCAGTTCAGGGAGTTTTCTTCTCCTTTCTTCCCCCCCTTATGTCAGACAAGGTCTCAAGGAACACTGTAGAGATGCCAACATTGTGAGAAAAGTTAACTGGGAATTGATAAATATGCATATTACATTGCAAATACTTCAAATGGAATTAGCGTAGTTGGACATGAGCGGAGTCTTAACCATTTAAATATTTTTTTGTTTGCTCAACTGGTGGCTTCTTCTCACTTTCAATTGAGTTTACTAACATTTAGCTAAGCTAACATCCCAAAGCACCACTATTTCACTACAGTTACTCACTAGCCTATGCTAACAGCTTAGCTAACTCAGCTCAGGGACTGGTTGGTGCTGAGTCCCTGCTCCAGAACCAATTGGGTTTCTTCTTCCCTCTGCTTTTCCACACTTCAGTCACCACACTGTTGGGTCCTACCATTCCTTTCATGCATAGCTCCTTGTATGTACCAATTCCCTGCAGAGAAATGGGGGTGACATTACTGTGCGGATTGTTCCACTGTGTTGGTGAGGGAGGGGGTCGGTGACGGTGCGCTGTAGGACAGGTCTGACTGTGTGTGTGTGACCCTGCAGGAGCCCCCTGGCTCAGATGGAGGAGGAGCGGAGGGAGCACGTGGCCAAGATGAAGAAGATGGAGATGGAAATGGAACAGGTGTTTGAGATGAAGGTCAAGGAGAAGATCCAGAAGCTGAAAGATTCCGAGGCTGAGGTAACATCAGTCACATTGCCTTACTACACTACTGTCCTCTACCGTATGGTTTGACTTCTTACTTCCTGATGCATAAACGCTGTGACTTTTCGGTGGGTGTTGATGTGCTGTGAGTTGGGTGTGTTTAATGGCTAGTTCTCGTGTGTGAAGTTCACTGCCCCTCTCTCTGAAGTGTTACATTTTCAAATGTACTCTTATTAAACCAGGATAGTCCTCTTAGTAACAATTGTCACTGTTTTTCAGTGAGTCATACAGTTGTGAGCATGTCTTTCACATTTTCTGACTCTCTCTTCTTCTGCAGCTCTCGAGGCGTCATGAGCAGATGAAGAAGAATCTGGAGGCCCAGCACAAGGAGCTGGAGGAGAAGAGACGCCAGTTTGAGGATGACCGGGCCAACTGGGAGACCAATCAGCGCCTGGAGCAACAGAGAATGGATGCCTCCAGGTAACACTGTCTGTCACGCACCTGATCTGTAGTGCTGACTTTGGTTGTTACTAATGTAGCTCTATTTGTCTGTTGGATAGAGAAAAAAGCTAAACTGGACACAAAATCAACGGTCTGTGCAGAATGTAATACCAGCGTGTCCCACTAGATGTCACTGTTGTATAATCATATCTCATCAATATATTGCCTCATGTATTACATTATCTCCTCTACAGGACTCTGGAAAAGAACAAAAAGAAGGGGAAGATATTTTAGAGACAGTTTGCAGAAACACCAAGTTGTACTTGTTGCCAATGTTGCCAGCCCGGACATCCGTGTGTGGCACCAAACCAACACCAAAGCTCTTGTACAGCCCAGCTGGGTCTGCATGTACTGTCACAATGACCGGAAGAGAGCTGCCTGTGGACTTCTCCAAGGAATGTGTTTACCTTAACGAAACTTACCGTCTTAGACAGGCCAAACCCATATATAACTGAATACTGTCGCCCCCCCCCCCCCCCCAAGGTTGCTATGTCTATTTAACAACTGATGTCTACAGTTTTATGCAGAGCAACAAAAAAAATGAACTGTTGTACAATCATGTTTCAGGGGTTTTATTCGTTTACATGCACAAAAGCTCTCCCATGATGTGAAAAGGAAATGGCATTAAAATCCTTTTGTTTAGTAAAGTGTAACAGATAAACCTCATACTGAACAGCTCCCCATGCAATGTAGCCTAACACGAAACAACTGTCTCAGTGTAGCCTAACACGAAACAACTGTCTCAGTGTAGCCTAACACGAAACAACTGTCTCAGTGTAGCCTAACACGAAACAACTGTCTCAGTGTAGCCTAACACGAAACAACTGTCTCAGTGTAGCCTAACACGAAACAACTGTCTCAGTGTAGCCTAACACGAAACAACTGTCTCAGTGTAGCCTAACACGAAACAACTGTCTCAGTGTAGCCTAACATGAAACAACTGTCTCAGTGTAGCCTAACACGAAACAACTGTCTCAGTGTAGCCTAACACGAAACAACTGTCTCAGTGTCTCAACAGGAGTAATGGGAAATCTAGAGGCTAAAATGCACCTTGGGCTTTTTTATGGCTAAAGCTTTTTCCAAAATGTAACGCTTTCTTCTGTTTTTAGCAAATTTCACTAGCCTCCTTGGACCACAATTAACTTCATAAATGTTATATTTCAGTTAGTTTATTTTTATATATACCGAGCCAGCTAAAGTAATACTTTTTTGTATGTTCGAGAATTCTTCTGAAGCTTTGACCAGTTTCTGAAGAGGATTGACTGTTTAAAATACATTCAGTAGTCGTGCAAAGAGCAACAAAAAAAATGAAAGGAATATTTCTGTAACTCCACATACGTGTGATCAGATTAAGTGGGAAAGGAAAGTCAACACCACAGTTTGCTTTGGCTATGTACTCCATCTGTATTTTTTATTTTATTTTTTATTTGTATTGTACAAAGTCACTTAATAAACATGTGATGATAGACTTGCAATGCAATAAATTCTGCTAAGAGATGCATGTTGATACTGCATTACTAAATTCAGAATACCTATTATGTAGGCCTACTGAAATTTAAACAGTTTTAAATGTGTTACTTATTTTGCTCTGTAGTTGTGTATTAATCTGCTTTGTCTACATATCTCCGCCAGAAGGCAACATGGGTTTCCTTTTTTCTGCATTTCTCAGTTGTTTTACTTTTGATGTAAGTATTCTGCCACATTGCATGCATAATATGAATGTTTTCAGAGGACTAACAGGTTATATGCCTGAATAGATTTGACATATTTCACACCACAGTAATATGGATATTCCTCAATTTTCTAAAGCAATTTTTGCAAGTACTGTTAATTTGCTGACGCAAAATGTTATCAAAATATTGGACATCACACTTGACTGAAACAATCATGCAAACACTTTCAGTGCATCCTGGTACACACTTGGTTCTTTTGATGCAAAGTTGTATGTAGCTGCTTTTGAGATCCATTAGAAGGAACCTGCAGGAATAACAGTTATCAACTGTATGTCCTAAGAGAAAAAACACTGTCACTCAGAGAATGAGTCATAGATGCACTCAATGCTGGTAGTTTACCTTGTTCCTCTGAGCTCCTTTTACCCATCAGTCCAACAAAAGACTCAAATTTCTGCCCTGGAAAAGAGGCGAGAGTAGGGCTATTTCAGACTGAAAAAAGTGAATCTCCCACAGTGATCCCATTTTGACATTACACACCAGAGAGTCTCTTGTAGGAAGTGTATATGGCATGAGAACAGTTCCACCTTAGTGGATTTCATACCTTATATCATAGAATTACATAATTTAATAGGATCTCTGCCTTATATCCCATTAATATCTTCATACGTGTAGCCTCAGTAAAATGGAATAGAAACGGTCATTGCCAACAGTGTCTAATGCATGCAACACTTACTTCTTGTTACCTGGGATTTCGCTGCAAAGAGTGGAAGGGACAAAGCAAAAATACAGATTAGCTTTTATAGAAATAGAATGTATATCCTTTAAAATATTGAATTATTACTAGAAAGTAGTTAGCCTACCAGAACCTATTTTCCCCATAAGACCAAAGAATTGGCGTGACTCAGGTTTTCGAGTCATTATTTTCAGGATTTCTTTATATGGCTCAGATTGTGGCCATTTGCTCTGAATAATAAAATACACAATTTAGCTTATTCATTTGATAGTAGCCTAGGCTAATCATGAGATGCTTATTATGAAGCCTATCACTGCTTGTGGCATCTTCTTAAATAGTCCACATTTCCGAATGTACAGGACAGTGCTGAAACATTTATCTTAATATCGACAATGACACTATAGGCCATTGTCAAAAATTTAAAACACATTTTTTTTAGAGAAGTATCCTACCGTTTCATTGTCTTCTCTCCAACTGTCATCAAAATGGATTTTTTGGCAGAGGACAGTTGCCAAAACGAGGGAAAATACCATAACGAGTAGAATTATCTTCATTGTGGTAGCAGATGTGCTGTGCGTAAAGTTGTTCCTCTTCATGCGTTTATTTTATTTGATGAGAGTAACTTCACTGATAAAATCAGACTATAACGGTCTGAATAAATACTGAATTCCTAGAATATCAAGAGTTTCAAAGATGCAGCCTGCTGGAATACCCTATGGAGCAAATTTTCACAGAGAGAAGTGCGTCTATCCATTGGCGCGACATTGCAATCGGCATACCTGTGCACGCCGGCGTTTTTATGCAGAGGCAGAGCTGAAGTGGATGTCAATGTCAAGAAATTTCGTTGTAACATAATTAGGTCATATTATGAGTCAGTAGGTTTGCCTTTGTGTTTTCATTTCTGAAGGGGCAAACCACTGTTGCATCTGTTCAACAGAGGCCTAAAATCTAAATGTCTGGAACAAGGCTAGCCTACTTTTGGCACTGTGCTGGGCTCTCAATCAATTCCATCCAGAAGTACAACATATACAAGTGAAGTCAAAACGTCATATTTAATACATGGCAGCCTATTTATAGCGCATTTTAAGTAGGGAGTAGGTTTCAATAAAAGGAAAGAGTGTGATGTGTCAGAGTGAGCGAGAAAGCAGGTGTGTGTGTGTGTGAGAGTGACAGCGAGAGAGAGAGACAGAGTGTTGGTGTGTGTGTACAGTGAAATACTTGAAACAAGCATAAACACACGTAAGGTAATAATCCATGAGTGTGTAAGACTTTTTAGCATTTATGGGCCACCGTACAAGTGCACGCGCCCACTTCATAAATCCCTTGAAATAAACAAGGAAGTATTCGTCCTTACCATCTGTCAACCCCCAGCACGATGCTGTCAGTTTAAATGTGTATTTTTAAATTCATATTTTGCATTCACACAGCAATGACCCAAGATACTGTTGTGCGCATATTGATTTAGAAAATTATCGACATACCGCCGCCGTTGTGAGAGGAACATGGCTTGGTTATCATCAACTCTGGCGCTGTGCTGCTTAACAGTAACGGTAGGCCTACATGTAAATGAAATTGATGCAACAGCGAAAATGAGAGTGATGAAGTCAACTCATAATTTAGACTACGACGAGCGTACATTTTCGCCATCTACATTTGCGCACAGCACCGTCAACTTCAGATCCAAAATAACTCCTCAACAAGTCACGGGATTGGAGCCAGGTAACACCGCTCCAGCTTTCAAAGTGCCAACCCTGGATGGAGAATTCGTTTACCCGCCACTTGCAGGGTTGAAAGGGCCATTGATAATTCATTCTTTTACCAACAAGTCTGCCTTTTTGGAGTGCCTGTGGAACTCCGAGTCGTCACTAACCGACTTGGTCCAGGACCTACCCGAGAGCACCCAAGTCCTCTTCGTGTCTCTGGATGACAGCTCTGTCAACGATGCCTTATGGATGAGAGATCAAGTCCTTCGTGTAGCATCGCATAGGTAACATTACAAAGGAGCAACACAAATGTTTACTGTTGCTTGTTAATATAGAGGAGACAGGTCATTGAACTGAACTGACATATTACAACTTTCCCTTTGTGTTTCTGTTCAACAGAAAGCAAGAGGTTTTGTCCAGATTGCACTTCTCCCCTGTTCCTGTATTTGACTTGGGGAACTGGATTCCCAGTGTGCTGTACTCTTGGGGTTGTTCGGGACACAACTGTGGCCTTTCTCAGGCAGTTTTTACCTCTACAGGTAGGGAATACTTGCTATGCACTGCAGGACTGGTGCACTCATCAAAGCACCAGTGGAAGTTTCATTGTCCCTTGCATTTACTGTTTGTGGTCCATTTTAACTTTTGTTTTTGACACTATTATTATTCTATCCTGGATGAACATATTATAGTTCATTGTTCTCAGGGTGTCATCAGAGTTATTTAATGACAGATAAGCCATGTATTTATTGATTTCTATGTCCATCTTCTGGAAGTGAGGTATTATTGCATTTTTATTACATACAGGGTGGAAGATGCCTGTGACTGTCAAGAGACTTGATGCGCGATACGATTGGCTGATGGGTTGCTGGAGCCAGAGGAAACACCAGTTGATTGATGCAGGCGATGGGTGTGAGCCCGCCCCCTCCGCTGCAGGTGCTGTTGCCTGGGTTTCCGAGGGCAACTGCTCCTTTTTCACCAAGGTCAGTTATGAGAGGGACAGCGACAGACAGAGAGGGAGAGGTGGAGAGATGCGGGGAAACATTTAACTGTCATTTTCCAGGTTTAACAGAAGAGTTGTTATACATTTGTCCATAATGTTGCCCATAGAGTTTGAGAGGTTGTGTAAAGACACACAAACAGACTTTCAATGTGCTTGAACTCGACATGAAGGAACACATTGACATTGTTTGTTTCCTTCCCCAGGTGAAGAACATGGCCAAGTCCAATGCCACAGGTGTCCTTGTCCATGCACTTCCTGGAAACCCGATCCAGGATATGAACTGTGTGGGAGATGAATGTTCTACACCACTAGGCATACCTGCTGCCATGGTGCATTGTGAGCCCTCTGTGGCCCAGGCCCTTAGGTAATGAACACTCTGACTGACTCATACAGTGTTAGGTCAAGTAGCTTTCTTCACTTAACTCACTAGAAGCCATGCTTCCTCTAAGGATAAAGTGTTCTCTCAGTAGTCTTAGATGGATTACTCATGGATATTATCTATTGACTCCTGACCTGATGAGATATGCGTGCAATGGTCAATAGAACATACTGTGTATGTTATTTTAAACTTGTTGATTGTCCAATTCTCAACCATGAATAAATATTGGACCAAATAAAGGGAATATATGGATGTTTATATTCTGTTCTATGTTTTGTAGATATGGGCACATGGTGAACGTGTCCTTTCAGAGTACCCCCTCTCCAAACTTCTTCATTGGCATTGACCAGCAGGGGGCACTGTCTGAGATGGGCTGGTTCCTCTACCCCTCCTTCAAGTTCATCAACTGGCAGGCCCAGTGGTAAGCAGTAAGCACACTATGGATTGCCCAGTTATTGCAGTATACTGAAGACATCAGGAATTCGTATGTCAGGAGTATGTGATGAAAGAGCAAGATTTTCAGCTATTGGGTAGCTGTAACCATTCCCTCCTAGGTTTGATTTCTATGAGGGGCTTCAGACTAGACTCCGTGACCCAGCCTGGGTGGTCCCTGTGTTTGAGAAGGTCCAGATGCAAGGACAGAGTGGAGCAGTAGCCACTGTGAACCTGCCTTCTGGTAAAGAAACCTAATTGTATCTCCACCAGTTAATTTACATATACACTGAGTGTACAAAACATTAGGAACACCTGCTCTTTCCATGACATAGACTGACCAGGTGAATCCAGGTGAAAGCTATGATCCCTTATTTATGTCACTTGTTAAATCCACTTCAATCAGTGTAGATGAAGGGGAGGAGATGGGTTAAAGAATGATTTTTAAGCCTTGAGACAATTGAGACATGGATTGTGTGTGTGCCATTCAGAGGGTGAATGTGCAAGACAAAAGATTTAGGTGCCTTTGAACGGGGTATGGTAGTAGGTGCCAAGCACGGTTTGAGTGTGTCAAGAACTGCAACGCTGCTGGGTTTTTCACGCTCAATTGTTTCCTGTGTATATCAAAGAATGGTCTACCACCCAAAGGACATCCAGCCAACTTGACACAACTATGGGAGGCATTGGAGTCAACATGGGCCAGCATCCCTGTGGAACGCTTTCGACACCGTGTAGTCCATGCCCCGACGAATTGAGGTGTCCCTAATGTTTTGTACACTCAGCATTTATGGTCGTGCCATACACTAAGTCAACCAGAAATGCATCAGCTTTGAATATAATTAGAATTTGATAGATATTTCAAAGGGATAGGAATATTGACTTTGCCATTTCACTGTGTCGGTAGACATGTTGGATTTTGACATGCTGGAGTTGGACGCGTCTCTGTCCTGTCCCAGCCAAAGGGATGACTCCTGCGCCCACTGGGACCACACTGTGCAGCTGTTTGTGTGCTGTGACCATTTCAGTCCCCACTGCAACATGGAGATGGGGCGCTGGATAACAGCCTTCCGCAGGTATAGTCTGTGCATTTGTTGTCACATGACATGGATACCATGTGACATGAGTCCCCAAAATGCATTTTGATATTCATTAAGATCACTCAAGAAGGGCAAAGCTGTTCCATTTCCATTGACTTAAAGGTCCAATGCAGCCTTTTTATCAAATCAAATCAAATTGTATTTGCCACATGCGCCGAATACAACAGGTGTAGACATTACAGTGAAATGCTTACTTACAAGCCCTTAACCAACAATGCAGTTTAAAAAAAATAAAATAAAAGCAAATAACTAAAGAGCAGCAGTAAAATAAAATAACTGTAGGAAGGCTATATACAGGGGGGTACCAGTACAGAGTCAATGTGCGGGGGTACCGGCTAGTCAAGGTAATATGTACATGTGGGTAGAGTTAAAGTGACTATGCATAAATAATAAACAGAGTAGCAGCAGCGTAAAAGAGGGGGATGGAGTGGGGGACAGTGCAAATAGTCCGGGTAGCTTAGCTGTTCAGGAGTCTTATGGCTTGGGGGTAGAAGCTGTTAAGAAGCCTTTTGGACATAGACTTGGCGCTCCGGTACCGCTTGCCGTGCGGTAGCAGAGAGAACAATCTATGACTAGGGTGGCTGGAGTCTTTGACAATTTTTAGGGCCTTCCTCTGACACCGCCTGGTACAGAGGTCCTGGATGGCAGGAAGTTTGGCCCCAGTGATGTACTGGGCCGTACGCACTACCCTCTGTAGTGCCTTGCGGTCGGAGGCCGAGCAGTTGCCATACCAGGCGGTGATGCAACCAGTCAGGATGCTCTTGATGGTGCAGCTGTATAACTTTTTGAGGATCTGAGGACCCATGCCAAATCTTTTCAGTCTCCTGAGGGGGAATAGGCTTTGTCGTGCCCTCTTACATTTTACATTTTAGTCATTTAGCAGACGCTCTTATCCAGAGCGACTTACAGTTAGTGATTGCATACATTTTCATACTGGCCCCCCCATGGGAAACGAACCCACAACCCTAGCGTTGCAAGTGCCATGCTCTACCAACTGAGCTACAGTGGACTCTTCACGACTGTCTTGGTGTGTTTGGACCATGATAGTTTGTTGGTGATGTGGACACCACGGAACTTGAAGCTCTCAACCTGTTCCACTACAGCCCCGTCGATGAGAATGGGGGCGTGCTCAGTCCTCTTTTTTTTTCTCCCCCTGTAGTCCACAATCATCTCCTTTGTCTTGATCACGTTGAGGGAGAGGTTGTTATCCTGGCACCACATGGCCAGGTCTCTGACCTCCTCCCTATAGGCTGTCTCATTGTTGTCGGTGATCAGGCCTACCACTGTTGCGTCGTCGGCAAACTTAATGATGGTGTTGGAGTCGTGCCTGGCCATGCAGTCATGGGTGAACAGGGAGTACAGGAGGGGACTGAGCACGCACCTCTGAGGGGCCCCCTTGTTGAGGATCAGCGTCGGCAGATGTGTTGTTACCTACCCTTACCATCTCCATATCAAATAATTTCTGGGTAGCAATGAAGTACCTTACTGTGATTATATTCAATTAAAATGGTCAAAAAGAAACCCAAATAGCTTCTTATTAAAGAGCAATTTCTCAAACAATAATTTTGCTAGGACTTTCTGGGAGTGGTCTCAGTGAGGGGCCTAATTGGAGGAGCCTAATGGGAGGGATATGTAACCTGAAAACTAGCGGTAATTGGCAGAGAGGTTTGAAACGCTCTTTGTTATTGGTCTATTAACTTATACCGCATGATGATGTTGCCAGGCAGGTCAAAACTCCACCCGTGCAAAACAAGCAGAAATTCCAGGCAGTCTTTTCAAACAGCTCTTACACTAAAAGGGTATTATCATCATTTTCACAATTTTACAGTATTATTCCAACTTCATCGTGTGGAAATATATACTGAACAAAAATATAAACGCAACATGCAACAATTTCAACGATTTTACTGAGTTACAGTTCATACAGTGGGTAAAAAAAGTATTTAGTCAGCCACCAATTGTGCAAGTTCTCCCACTTAAAAAGATGAGATAGGCCTGTAATTTTCATCATAGGTACACGTCAACTATGACAGACAAAATGAGAAAAGAAATCAGGAAAATCACATTGTAGGATTTTTAATGAATTTATTTGCAAATTATGGTGGAAAATAAGTATTTGGTCAATAACAAAAGTTTCTCAATACTTTGTTATATACCCTTTGTTGCAATCACAGGTCAAACGTTTCTGAAGTCTTCACAGGTTTCACACTGTTGCTGTATTTTGGCCCATTCTCCATGCAGATCTCCTCTAGAGCAGTGATGTTTTGGGGCTGTCGCTGGGCAACACAGACTTTCAACTCCCTCCAAAGATTTTCTATGGGGTTGAGATCTGGAGACTGGCTAGGCCACTCCAGGACCTTGAAATGCTTCTTACGAAGCCACTCCTTCGTTGCCCGGGCGGTGTGTTTGGGATCATTGTCATGCTGAAAGACCCAGCCACGTTTCATCTTCAATGCCCTTGCTGTTGGAAGGAGGTTTTCACTCAAAATCTCACGATACATGGCCCCATTCATTCTTTCCTTTACACGGATCAGTCGTCCTGGTCCCTTTGCAGAAAAACAGCCCCAAAGCATGATGTTTCCACCCCCATGCTTCACAGTAGGTATGGTGTTCTTTGGATGCAACTCAGCATTCTTTGTCCTCCAAACACGACGAGTTGAGTTTTTACCAAAAAGTTATATTTTGGTTTCATCTGACCATATGACATTCTCCCAATCCTCTTCTGGATCATCCAAATGCACTCTAACAAACTTCAGACGGGCCTGGACTTCAGACGGGCCTGGACATTTTTGCTCACCGTTCTTGTGATCATTTTGACCCCACAGGGTGAGATCTTGCGTGGAGCCCCAGATCGAGGGAGATTATCAGTGGTCTTGTATGTCTTCCATTTCCTAATAATTGCTCCCACAGTTGATTTCTTAAAAACCAAGCTGCTTACCTATTGCAGATTCAGTCTTCCCAGCCTGGTGCAGGTCTACAATTTTGTTTCTGGTGTCCTTTGACAGCTCTTTGGTCTTGGCCATAGTGGAGTTTGGAGTGTGACTGTTTGAGGTTGTGGACAGGTGTCTTTTATACTGATAACAAGTTCAAACAGGTGCCATTAATACAGGTAACGAGTGGAGGACAGAGGAGCCTCTTAAAGAAGTTGTTACAGGTCTGTGAGAGCCAGAAATCTTGCTTGTTTGTAGGTGACATAAGGAAATCAGTCAATTGAAATAAATTCATTAGGCCCACCCACTGGGGAGCCAGGCCCAGCCAATCAGAATGAGTTTTTCACCACAAAAGGGCTTTATTATAGACAGAAATACTCCTCAGTTTCATCAGCTGTCCAGGTGGCTGGTCTCAGACGATCCCACAGGTGAAGAAGCCGGATGTGGAGGTCCTGGGCTGGCGTGGTTACACGTGGTCTGCGGTTGGAAGGCCGGTTGGACGTACTGCCAAATTCTCTAAAACGACGTTGGAGGTGGCTTATGGTAAATAAATTAACTTTCAATTCTCTGGCAACAGCTCTGGTGGACATCCCTGCAGTCAGCATGCCAATTGCCAGCTTTCTCAAAACTTGAGACATCTGTGGCATTGTGTTGTGTGACAAAACTGCACATTTTAGAGTGGCCTTTTATTGTCCCCAGCACAAGGTTAACCTGTGAAATGATAATGCTGTTTTATCAGCTTCTTGATATGCCACACATGTCAGGTGGATGGATTATCTTGGCAAAGGAGAAATGTTCACTAACAGGGATGTAAACAAAGTTGTGCACAACATTTGAGAGAAATAAGCTTTTTGTGTGTATAGAAAAATTCTGGGATCTTTTATCTGAGCTCATGAAACATGGGACCAACACTGTTGCGTTTTATATTTTTGTTCAGTGTATATATAAACCACAGGAAAATCACATTTTTGACTGCACTGGGCCTTTTACCTCTGTGCTCATGGCCTTTACCACTTCAAAGCCATCCCCTTTGGCTTAGAAAAATGCTCCTGCAATTTTTTTAAAACAATGTTAATGTTCCTCCCCCAGAGGTATTGGGCGCTGGCTCACTGATGTTTCTCCCCTGGTGCCTCTGTTGAACAATGGGAGATGTACCTTCACCATGAAGACTGTGCCTTGGGCCATGCCCTGGGTGGTGTCTCTGAGTCTGAGATTCAGTCCACACAAATCACTCAGGTAAGTTATAATGCCTACATAACACGGTCACAGGTGTTATAAAGCCTACATAACACTGTCATTAGACATTCAAAACTCTACACTTTTTAATTAGTATTTTACTGTTCATTGTGTATCCGAATTCTTCTCTAAAATATGTATATTTTTTTACAGTATAAAAAAATGCTAAGTGATGGGTTAGGCAATAGGACAGATTATTTCACAAAAATAAAAATAAACATTAAATAGGTTTCCAGTAGGTGAGTATGCCGTCCTGTTGTGTATAGTTACTACTAGTGACAAAGCAATGGACAGAAATTACTTGTCTTGAGCAATTTAGACAATTTTATCCCTCGTTCATCATGTGTAGAAAAAGATGAGCACTTCCATCCTAGGCAAAGTGGAGTGTCATGCAAAATAACAGGATGTCTGCAAATTGTTGCTAGGAAGTTGTCCTGGCAAAGGACAACCCCCCTATGTGTCTCAGTCACGGCAGAGTAGTCATGGGAAAAAGTACTCCAGTATCAGCCTTTTCTCACTACACCAATGCAATACCGTCTAAAGACAGTATCATACTGTATTCTTATATGGCAATGAGTAACAGAATGAACTCTTCAAACAGATGTTATAACTAGATTTTGCTCTTGTTACAGCCAATCACACAGACATGCTTTACCCCTTTAAGCTGATGTCATTGTACAGTGGAGGCACCTTTGACAAGGAATACAACAAGAGATACCAACCAATCAAATTCACTGTCCCAGCCTCAACAAAAAAGGTATGATGCAGAATTGATATTACTTCTGTTTATATTTACTCATAATAAATTAAGTGAAATAAAGGGCAGTTATCATATGTTCTTTTATTTTTTAATATGCCTTTGTTTTAGTTGGTGCTTTGGCCATAATGTGTGTAGAAAGCTGCTTACAAATAGAGGTATTATTGTAATCAGTCATTTTATGTACCATATTGTGTCTTAGGTGGAGTTGTATGCTGTGATCACAGGCCACGGGAGCGACGAGAACGGTTGCGGCGAGTTCTGCGTGACATCACACCACTTCCTAGTCAACGGAGCGTTCAATAACACCCGTATTTTTGACTCGGCAGGTGAGAAATGACTAACGTTAGAGTATGGTCATGCAGATTCATATAATCTTCCCATAGTCTGGGCCATAGTTACATTAGCATGATGAGGTTGTATTCCTCCTAGGGCAATTAGATTTAACCGTGGGCCAATTTTTTTCTAATTGGATGGACTGGGGGGGTGGAACATTATTGTTATCATTTTTACACCGCAAGTAAGCCCAAATAGATATTGTATTTCACAATAACATAATCATTTCATACCTTGATTACATTGAGACACGGTCACATATGTCTCTGTATGTATTTGTGGTAATACTTGGGAACAGATTTCCTACATTTGCTAAATTCCTGGAAATGTGTATTTTTTGCCCAAGAACAAAAATGATAATTTGTAAAAATGTATTTTGGGGCCAAATAAAATCACTTTCAGCTGAATGTGGCCTGCAAGCTGCCTGTTGCTGACCCGTCCTAGGGCATTTGCCTGTTGCTGACCCGTCCTAGGGCATTTGCCTGTTGCTGACCCGTCCTAGGGCATTTGCCTGTTGCTGACCCGTCCTAGGGCATTTGCCTGTTGCTGACCCGTCCTAGGGCATTTGCCTGTTGCTGATCCGTCCTAGGGCATTTGCCTGTTGCTGACCCGTCCTAGGGCATTTGCCTGCTTGTGTCCCTATTCTATTATTGTTTGAGTGAGTCAGGTGTGGGTCTGTTGTCATGCATTCTGTTCCAAATGAATGTAGATACTACCATATCAATGTATTTTACTGCATTTACCATGCTTTTAATACAGCGTTCTTTAATGATCCCATTGTCCTGACTGTTTCCTGGTGTTGTGTTATTCTCCAGGTTCAGCCCTGGGGTGTGCCATGCGGGTGGGAGAGGGGGCGGTGCCCAACGAGCATGGCACCTGGCTGTACGGGCGTGGAGGCTGGTGTGATGGGCTACAGGTCAACCCCTGGAGGACTGACATCACCACACAGGTATAGAACCATTGCCAGGCCACGTCAGGAGAAGTTGCGCCTGCGATTCGTCATCAGAAAACTCTTTATTTACCTAGCAGTAGATACGATCACATGCAACTTCAAATGCAGCTCACGCAAGTTAACAAACATAGAATCAGATGGTTATCATCTACAACGTCGCAGATGTCATCAGAGGATTGATTAAATCACAAATAGAGCTAGTTAAAGTGTACTTGTTGAACATAGCTATAGCCATCAGTCTTGCATGTTTCCATGGTCATCACTCAGTCACTGTTAAGTTTGTCAGGGTCCTGACTTTAGCGTTGGCTATCCTGCTACAGAGCTTTTTGGTGTGGGGATGCGTGTGCATCGCTCGAACGTGACGTTTAGTTGTAAACAAAAATTGGCTCTATACGTCCTTTCCATAGAAATATAATGTATCATTAGATCTATCATAATTTTATTTATATGGTTCTTTCATCCTCACCTCATACTGGATTGATATTGAACTATGAAATGATGCAACATATTTATATTTTCCAATTTCAGAGTACAATGTTGCCACCTTCAAATGCATACTAAAGAGGCAGTCTTTCACCATGTAAACACTACCATAACAGAGTCTTTGTAAATTTGAAAGCCTTTTTTGGTGTTTTAGATGTTATTTCTGACATTTGAAAGAGTTTCAAGACAACAATTTTGCTCATCTTCTATCACACACATTGCAGGTTTTTTGACGAAAAGGTTAAGCATTCAATTTCTCAAAATGTTTGCTACAGTTGGCATTTGTGTCCAGTAGTTTGCAGTGGAGTGCCCTTCATGAAATTAGCCTATTAGATGAGTACAGCACTTGATCACCCATGAGTCCTTGGGAAGGCACACATGACCCTCTCTTTCCAAAGCTTCAGTTACATTTTATTCATTTGATACACACGCATAATTTTCATGACCATTTCATTACCACAAGCTTAATTTGTAATCCATAGATATTACAGTATTGGGGCTGTTGTTTATGGTTGTTTGATTACTATAGTGTTTCTCCTGAGGCCTTGATGTGTTCTTTCTTGTTGTCTTCTTTCTCAGCTGGACATGAGTGGGATTGAAGCCAATACTCTGCTCTACTTTGGCCTTTACAGTGGACAGGACCCCAATCCGTCTCACGACCCTGGCTATATTGTCATGTTCTCTTATCTGGTGTTCTACAAGTAAAGTCTCCCTGACAACCTGATTGTCTTGAATGTGAATTATAATGACTGTGATTGATGCGAATGAAAACCAATCATGATAAAATATGTATTTTCTAATCAGACCGGCACTTCTTTTTATCCAGTAATATTGTAGCCTATTCTATGTTTGGGTGTGTCACAATTTTCCCACTCGAGTTTTCACTCAAGTTCGATACAAAGAAGATGTAATCTCATCTTGAGTAGCTAATTTTGCTCTTCAGAAAAGTTGAAGAAGGTGCTATTGTTATCTTGGCTACTACCTGGTCAATTATGTGTAATTACACAAACTTAGCTTTTAGTGTCAAACTTCAACTTTCAGGCGATGACAAGATGCTTTTCCTGACGCAAAATCAACCACTTTCTGCTTCTTCAATTATTCAAGTGTGTATTTCTGAACGGTTTACTTGCAAAGGTTGGGGGAGTGGGGGTTGGTTACAATTGCTAACACAGACACGAATGCATTAAACAGTGTAATATTTCATAAAATGTTTAAAAATATAATATCTGGATGTTCAAATTAACATTCTCTTTGTTCATTTAATTAACTTTAATGAAATTGTGCAGTATTATAAACATTAATATCCAGAAGTCAGTTTTCATACAAATGAGTTACTTATAGAAAAGTTAATCACGGATAAAGGTTAGTGTTAAGACATTCTACCATGTTTGCAACATTACTATTTACTGCTCAACAGTGTTTTTAGAAATCAATAAGGTTAGCACTGCCCTTATTACTCCATCTTGAACATGAATAAATGGAATGGTTCCCTCACTGTATACTTCTTTCAAAAGCCCTAAGTCTCATTCACTTACAGTTACCTCCAAGAAATGAGTGAGCTTATGTTATACCAAAGACACAGATATACAGAGTTATGTAAATTGCTTATTGCCCCTGAGGGGATAAATGAAGTTGAATTGAATTAAATTGAATTGGTGCGATGTTACCACCAACAGTTCCAAGACAAGGGAATACGAATCCAAAATAATTGTGATTGAACATTTGGTCTCAACATCACCTAGTACTCTCTTCGACAAGTTTTCTATCCCCATGTCAAAGTACTGGTGAAGAGGTAAGGCACTGATATTGAAATTGACCCACCTTTGACCCAAATACATCATCTGTCTCATCAATACAATCGATTTGTAAGCGTTCAAAACGAGTCAACAAACGTGTGTATGTTAGACCTTCACACAGGTTTTTCTGCAGCTCTTCTCCGACTCAAACTGGTTTTGGTTCCCCTGACAGCCTCCGAACCAGAACTGGGCACAGGCATTCGCCGTAGTGTCATAGTACCACTTCACAACGTAATCCCAGCAAGGCCCGGGGTCCAGAATCTGTCCACATCTCTCATCTGGGGAAAAGGAAGAGAAATGGACGACATTGCTTTTACTTCTACTGTCTAGCGTTCTATGAAATTACAAGAATAGGAAATGGGGAAATATCAGCAAAGGTGATACACAGTAGTTTGAGCTCTGGAAAAGTGCAATATCCTATCAATCAAATTACCTGGTATTAAAGCATCCTGGGGCAGAGGTAGAGAGGTTGGGGGGAGCCTGGGTAGCTTTACTACGGGAAGGGGCCTCTGGGTGGGGGCCTGGGTGCCCGTCATGACCACACTGTGGGTGGGATTCTTCACCTCTGACGGAAGAAGGAACTCTGGTAGGCGCTTGAAGGGTTCCCTGTCAAAGGATGGGACCCTGTAGGTCTCTGAGATATCTTGGTCCCCTGTCTGGGGGCCCTGTGGGATAAAGACTCTGTCTGACTCTCCTGGTGGACCTGGCTGTTTAACAAAGGGTAAAGAAATGGTTAAATGGATATATGTATTCTGTACATCTGCTATAGTATGTGATTGCAATTGCATAGGTTTGAATCTGGGTTATTGTCTATAGTATGTGATTGCAATCAAAATCTTCACACACTCAATTCATGGCTGATTTAGCGGAAATACGATTTTGGGCCCAAGTTCAGACACTCTCCTTATGTGGGGCCTTTTTAGCAATCTTTTGATTATGGTGAGTTCTCTCCTAATTTTCTTGACAATATAATATTTTACAATGACATGATATATTGTACTGCACTTTTCAAAGCTTAGTGAGCTCAGTAAACACGCAGCCCTATTCTGATCATGACAGAACCACTATGGAAAGTGGAAGTGTTGTTTTGTTCTTCTCACCACCATCTGTGTTTTCTTGAAGTCTCCATTGAAAGTGGGCGTGTCAGTATCAGTCCTCTCTGGGGTTTCCCTTACAATCCCGGCTTGTCCAGGGGTTCTGGGGGAGTATCTGGAGCTGGGGACGGAGCTGAACTGGGCCCCGCCATTACTCTCACAGATCCGACTCAGCAGCTTGCTCTCAAGGGCTGGATGATCCAAGACAAGACAGTACCCAGATATTATTGGGACTAGGTAATAAGAACCAGCTATTTAAAACGGACAGACATTTAGGACTTTGTTTTTTCTTTGGCTAGTTTTAACAGCACAGGTGTTTCTATGGCTTTAGAAGTATTTAGGCCTACATTGACTACTCAGATATAACTGTGGCTTTACAAGATGTTCCTTCCTCATAGTAAAAGGTACTTCCTGCTTACCAGGAAGTGTCCTGAAGTCATCAATCAGGTAGACGTGTTCCCTGTCTGGGTCAGAGGCCATGAGGTGGAGCTCTTTCTTAAACTCCTCGTACAGCGGATCACTCTGGTTCACCACCCCGATGACAAACATCTCAATGTTACTGCCATTGGCCTCTTTCACCGCCTCCTCCAGCCTCACAGAGTCCCTCTCGTCCGCCTGTCCATCTGTGATCACTATGGCCACTTTCCTCACCCCGGGCCTGGCCGCCCTGAACACCTGGTTGGCCTGATGGATGGCGCTGCCCGTGAAGGTGCCCTCGCCCAGGTAGGTCATAGTGCGGACCGCCCTCTTCACCTGGTGGTGATAATTATTGAAAAAATCTCTGATGTAGCCTGGTCCCAGATCTGTTTGTGAGGTCTTATGTGACAATGACCATAGGAGTTGGCAAGACAGCACCAACAGATCTGGGATCAGGCTACTGATGATGCTTTGTTCAAACGACTTTTAACCATGATACTGTACTAGAGAGTAAGCCTTTTTTATTTGATATGCTCACAGTGGACAGGACCCCAATCTGTTTCACGACCCTGGCTACATTGTCATGTTCTCTTATCTGGTGTTCTACAAGTAAAGTCTCCCTGACAACCTGAAAACCAATCATGATAAAATATGTATTTTCTTATCAGACCGGCACTTCTTTTTATCCAGTAATATTGTAGCCTATTCTATGTTTGGGTGTGTCACCATCTTGCACTGTTTTTCCACTCACCTTGCGTTGTACTGTTATGTCATATGAATTGAATGTAATCATTACAGAGGCCTCAATAAAGTTTTTAAAAATGTAAAACTGAGATAGTCTTGACCTGGTCCCGGCTGGCCTGCTGGTGCAGACTGACCACCACCATGTTGATGTGGCTGTAGAGAACCACCCCGACGCGAGTGGTCTCTCGGCTCACGGAGGCGCGGTCGACCAGAGCGTTCACAAAGTCCTTGACCACGTTGAAGTTGTCGGGGCCCACGCTCTCTGAGCTGTCAATCACAAAGACCAACTCCAGTGGGCTCTCACGGCACTTCACCCCACAACCTGGGGAAAGAGAAAGATTCATTGAAAGTCTCTGCCAACAGCCATTATAGGTATGGTATTGTACCTGGTGTGTGAATTACCACACTTACCACATATAGATCTGACCAGTTTGATGACCTCCTCTCTCTGTAACAGATGGTAAAACACTTTAGTGTCTAGTAATTGTAATACTACAGTAAGGAAGGTACAGTGTACAAAACAAACTCTACTTACTGTTAGGCCAGGTTCCCCTTTTTCTCCCAGTCTGCCCTGTAATTCAGGAGATCACTTAATAACAAATATATACATCTGATAATGTCCATGCTTTTTCCAGATTTCTAGTAAGACTAGTACCAAAGGTCCAGCCGCTCCTGTCTCTCCAGTCTCTCCCTTGTCCCCCTTTCTGCCTCGTTCACCCACAAACCCCCTGTCACCCTGTAGGAACGGTAAAACTGCATCATTTTTCTATAACCTGGAAAGCAATATAATTTTGTCAAGTTCAAGACCATTTGTGAGACTGGATTTGGGTCTAGGTGCCTAGATTAGAGATTGGATAACATCTATTTATTTATAAAGCTACATTTTTATGTTGTTTGTGTGGAGGTTCTTACCTTATTCCCTTGAATACCCTGTCCTGGGGGGCCCCCTGGGGCCCGTGATCCCCTGGAATCCTGACTCCCCCTATCAGACAAACTCAATTCAGCAATTTGACCTGTGGAAACACAGCACTAGTATATGCCTGGCTGTACCATGACCTAACATGGCGTACTAAATGGTCCTTTAACTGTACCTTTGGTCCTTGAATGCCCTCTCCAGGCAGTCCCTGGGGACCCGGTGCTCCAATCTGACCAGCAGACCCCTGCAGAAAGAATGATGTGATCTTGATGCTCCGCCAGTCATATGGTTCATATCAATCTTGCTCAATCATTGATATCCTGTGTACTCTAATCATGACGGCTAATTTTCTCCTCCGACACATTGATAAAATGATTATTATTGGTCTGAATAGGATTTATGACCTTGGGACCCATTAGCCCGACTCCTGGTGCTCCAGCTGGTCCTGTGGGGCCTGGAGTTCCCCGGTCTCCCTGAGCAGAAAGATCCTCAGGTTAAATACTCACATATAGATCACAAAACAAAAAAGTTGACCCTATAATTGGGTTGGTTTTTTGTGACCTAAATCGAGTTTATGCAATCATTACACTGGAAAACTCACCTTAGGACCAGGTAAACCTTTTCCTTCTGGTCCAATCTCGCCTGCCAGTCCTGGTATCCCAGGGGGTCCCTAATAAGCATGACAGACCATGCATTCATACAGTATACATACTGAATAGTCAGCATAGATCAATGAATATGATCATAATATTAGAGAAAATGGGGATACTTACTGGAGTTCCAGGAAGGCCTTCCCCTTCAAGCCCAGGTGGACCAATGGGCCCTGGTAGCCCTCTCTCACCCTAAAAAGTGAGAGTGGTTTCACACCAATGGTCTTATGTGGTTCATTGGACATTGAAGAAATACTTGCACCTCTCAAATCAAACTGAAAGAAGCTGAATCAAATTACCTTAGGTCCAGTGATCCCTATTCCTGGTTCACCGACATGTCCGGGTGGGCCTACTGCACCAGGATCCCCCTGTAAACAAAACAACCGAACATAGAATAGAACATAGAACACTGACATCATCCTTAAGATACGGTAACCCTCCTAATAAAGTGGTAACCAACAGTGTTGTTAATGTTCCTTCTCACCAGAACTTACCTTGATACCGGGTAAACCCCGCCCAGGTGGTCCATTTGTACCTGCTCGTCCAGGACTTCCTGGTTCACCCTGAAACAGGAAACACTTTTTAACAGCACAACAAACCATGCTTTGGGTCAGTAGTGTTGAGCATGACTGTTGTGCATGTGCTTACCTTGGCCCCCATTGTCCCCACAGGCCCTACTGCTCCTAGCTGGCCTCTGGAGCCCCGCTCCCCTCGGTCCCCCTGAGAGAATAGTCACAGCTTGATTTCAGACACTCTTTTCCATACATCCGTTGAAATAGTGAAAATGCTTTAATACAACTGATTTGTACCTTTTCTCCAGGGACACCTTTTCCGGGTGCCCCATCAGGTCCCCTGGGCCCCTGTGAACCAATGTCACCCTGATACCATGTGAAATAAATACACAATACTGTCAACAATGAATGCTGTCAGTTGACAGACTGGCATGAATGTACTGTCCTAGTGATAATGACATTGCATCACAGCACACTGTGCCCACCTTCTGTCCTATGGCCCCATCCTCTCCAGAGAGGCCCGGAATACCAGGTAACCCCTCCGATCCTGGGTCTCCCTAAAGGAGCAGGGGGTCAAATTGTTATCAATGAATGATTCATTACACATTTACAAATCTCTATTTACACAGTTTTACTTGATCTGGTGTAAATACTGTCTTACTGAACCATCAGACTTACTTTAGGTCCTGGCTCCCCAACACCTCTCTCCCCTGGGATTCCAGGCTCACCTGAGAAGCCTTGGCTTCCCTGCAGAACAAACAGTATATGGGACATCATATTTACTAAATTAATATACTGTACGGTTGCGTCTTGCATTCAGATCTAAGATTTTAGTTTTTGTCTGACATTAGACTCCCTTTGATCGTGTGACCTTCGACCTTACCTTTTGGCCCAATAAGTCCCACACCTGGATTCCCTCTGGGGCCTGGAGGGCCAACTGGCCCTTGGTTCCCCTGAACAGAAGGGGACATTAGAAGAAAAGGAATATGAGTATAAGTATGTGTGAGTATATAGTATGTGTGAGAATAGACTAATTGACATTACACAAAAGGATCTGACTGCAGTTTAATCAGAATGTACCTTTTCTCCTTGAATCCCTGCCCCTGGCATTCCCACCGGTCCTTGTGATCCAAGCTGTCCAGGATTTCCCTAAGAGAAACATAAGACCTCCCATCAATTATCATTTCACTGAAGGAATATGGGATCATTCTCAATGGATCATTGATCACTTATCATCATACGGACCATCTTTATAATATTTTTGAGACCTCAACATAGCAATGTCCAATAGTCTTGAACTTGCTTTACCTTATCACCTTTGACCCCAACACCTGTGAGACCACGCTCACCTCTGGGGCCCTCGTAGCCTCGATCCCCCTGAAAAAGAAATACTTGAGTCCACATTGAGTTTTTAAAATATTAAATATCCATGACCCATTGTACTTATGTGTACAATTATACATAACAGTATACATGAAACAGGATAATACTCAGACACTCAAATATTTGCCCACCTTTGGGCCAGGGAGCCCCTCCCCAACAGCTCCCTGGTTACCCTGTGCTCCAGCAAGTCCTGGGGGTCCCTGAAATAAACAAACAGTCTCATCACTTTTGACACTCAAACAGTTTCAACATTTACTGTCCAGTAAATGGCAACATTTAGTTTTGTCTTTAGATTACCATTGTCAGATCTGATCATATGAATCAGAGGTAGAAGGATAGGGTCATGTATAACTTTCCCATAGCGATCACTGTTTGGGTATCCAAAGCTGGTATCTAATACTTACTGGCTGTCCTGGCTCTCCTATTCCAATGGGACCAAGGGGTCCTGGTCTTCCCTGAATTCCTTTGGCCCCCTGGGAACAATGACACATTTCAACATTTATGTGTTTTACATAAACTGTAAATGTATAGCATAATCACTGTATTGGTTATTATTAGGGTTACCTTTGGACCTGGGAACCCAATGCCAATTTCACCTGCTGGTCCAGATGCACCGGTGGGTCCTTGGTCCCCCTGTGTTAGAGGTGTATGGTCACTGTGTGAATACGTCAAAACACCTACTACTTGAAACCAACACCACCAACAAGTTAGTCATAAAACACTTCTATTCCAAGTTCATACTGTGAGAGAAAACTCATCCACAGTGCTTCTCCACAGAGGAACTCTATCCATTCCAACAGAAGTCTACGAGGATGGAAAATGGCAATAAAATGCAGACAAAGGATCTTCATGGGATTCAATAATGCATCTCAGAGTGAGTGGCATTTACGAAGAATACAGCAGTCACTTGTTCCTGCTATACTTTATGCAATTGCTAAATGGCTCTAAATCACTCTTGATTCCAAGGCCTTCCTTGTTTAAGAGTTCTGGTTGGTGTGACAGAAAGTGAAGGATCCGTATTTAAATAGACTTGGACAGAAAGGTCAACTCAGCTCTCATGGCTCCTCTGGCCATGCAACACACTTTGACAATAGAGATGCTGTGTGAAAATGTGTTTCCATGTAGGAAAGTGTCATACAGTAGCACCCATGAATGTAATAGGCTGATTTCCTAGCACCCATGAATGTCATTGGCTGAGAATCAGTGTGCCTACTTTAGGTCCTGTTTGGCCCTCCGGACCCTGGTCCCCAGGTGGTCCGTTAACACCCTGTGGAAGAAACAAAAAAATATCCAGAAATGGCCTTAATGAATAAAAGTACAATGAATAAAAGTACAATGAAGTTGAATTACATAATGCACTAGTTACATTGCAGTATCCTAACAGGTCCATGTGAAATGGTTTTGAAATGGCGCCTACACAGCCATTTTTCTCACTGTACATTATGTAGTTACTCTTTGTATAGAATTGATAGCCCAGAAAATCTAACTCAGCCCTGATATCTGCCAAAACTATGTTGTGAGGAGGGGTATTTTATATTTTACAATGTACCAGTTGGTAGTCAATTCTTACAACTGAACTAATGCAATAAAGATTAACAGAACAGTAGTTTCCTTCCATTCTCAGGGCCTGGTGTCAAAACAACACAACCACTGATACATTTACATTTTAGTTATTTAGCAGACGCTCTTATCCAGAGCGACTTACAGTTAGTGAGTGCGTACATTTTGATACCATGCCAGACGAGGGGCTGATAGTGAGGAGGAATAGTGGCACTGTACTGGCAACCCTGTCCTAGCAGCTAATCCTACGACACAAAGTCTGCTCCTCGAAAAGAATAATATCCTGCAAGCCTGGATTCACTGCTTTAGATACTCACATTAGCATCAGGATTAGGCGTAATCCAAAATTCACATTCCATAAGTGCATGGGTGGGAAAACGACAAACTCAACTTCCATTTTCCATGTTTGAGAATGAAATGGAAAAAGGGATCTCTCTGACTGGTGATGATTGTTACTATACTTATATGTAGTCTGTTCTCAATGTCTGTACTCAGGATTCTGGGTATTTTTAAACTTGTTTCATCCCTGTCATCAAACAACATTTCAGTGAAAGAAGTACTCAGCCTTTGCTCTAAAGTGCATCATTCATTGAGAATCAATTAACCTATTCCATATGATCATACTGTATCATATGCGATCATGATTAAGACAAGGTCCTAAATAGGTAGCGAAAGATACCTATTAATGTATTGAAGTAGTAGTGTTCTTATAAAAACAACAATTTTACATTGTACCTGGTCTCCTCTGGGTCCCCGTGGGCCAGGAGGTCCTCCAGGGCCCTGTAAGATGACAAGATGACATCATGCTTCAGTTGGCACACATACTGTAGAATAGATCACAATGATGATTGATCCAAAATGGCACAGTAATCAGTGAACTTACTTCATCTCCTTTTTCCCCAGGAGTGCCACAGTCTCCTATCTCCCCCTGAAATACAGCACAGGTTCAACCAATCATTGGCAAGACACTTTAAGCAAGACAGTTGTATTCTGAAATGTCTTGAAAACAGATGTCCCACCTTGTCACCTTTATAACCAGGACTGCCCTGTAAAGTAAGAATAACAGTGTTCAACGCCCTGTACTGAAAGGTATCTCAGTCAACTATGGAAATATGGTGGCTAGATGGAAGTTAATTAGAATAGAATGCCTCAGAAAATAATTACAGAATAAAGAAATACATAGTATACCTCAAGACCTTCACTTCCTGGTCGGCCACTGACTCCAGGTTCTCCCTTGTAGAATTGAGACAGTGTTATAAATGTGAGATCAGGATTGTATGTAAATCACTGAGGCCATTAAAATAGTGAAATTCACTATCTTCTTAATACTTACCCTTGATCCTTTTGGACCAGATGGTCCTTCATATCCTGGATCTCCTTTTTTACCCTTGACGAAACACACAATTAAAAAGTTAGTTTATGGAGTCATTATTGAATGAGAGTATTCAGTATTTCTTACAATGTTTTTGTGTGGTGTGTCAGTCATACTGGGATACTGCATAATCCTTACTGTTGACGTACATGTTCTGTTGAAAAACATCTAGTGTACTCACTGGGTTTCCAGGAGGGCCTCTCTCCCCTCTTTCACACAAACACACTTTAGCCTGTGGACACTGATACAATGAAAATAATACAAAATCAATCGTATCACTCCACCTGCTACTTCCAGTGCCATTGTAGTGTTTATTGTTTTGAAGTACTTACCGCCTCAAGCGCTACTGCACCCTGGATGGGAAAAAATACAAGATGATTGTGTGAGATTTTTTACCTAGAAACAATTCCAACAGTACCACTATTGACTGAACATTGTATTGTACCTGAGCAAGCCTTACTGTACATGAACAATGGTACAGATGGTCAATACATTGTTCTATGGAAGAATAAAACAACAGAGAGGATAGATAGCTAGATCACTTCCTGTCAGTTTTGCTTAATAAAGTTGTTCTCTTTTAAACCTCCGCTAATGATGAATATGAATTTGAAAAACTTTGATGGATTTTTGGGAAATGTATAATTCATGCTATTGTCTGCCCATAGACAGGTCTTGACCTATAGACAAATCTCTGTGTTTATGGAAAATGCATATTAGGGGAAGAATTCCCCACACAGGAAAATTCTGCCATTGAGGTTTGAGCCCGCGCTTAGGACTCAGTCATGATAACAAGACAAGTTTATCTGAGGAGCTCAGTACTGTTGGACAGTGATGTTGTGTGGCAACTAACTCAAACGTAGTTTTCGCCACTTCTTACCCTCACAAACCTCAGGAAAAAGGTGTGAAGACAGTGTGGTGGTACTATCATACCCTTTTCAACAATAATGATCCCAAGCCATACCATGCTGGCCTGGTTCAGCATACCAATCATCTTCAACTTGAGTGTATGGTGACTTTGATGACAGAACACTCACCAACCATTTCAGTAACTTCTCCTCTAGCTGGGGGTCAGTGAGACTGTGGACGAACTGCTGGGCCGGCGTGCTGGCGATAGCCCGGAGCTTGGCACTGTTCTGGCGGGCTAGGTCTGACAACCCTACAGAAAAGAGCTTCACACCACTACCCTTAGCCTCTGCCGCTGCTCCGATCACATCAGGGTTCCTCGGATGATCAGCACCGTCAGTCATGAGCACCGCCACCCTGACGCTGTCCTCCTTGGTCTCCTGGGTGAAGAGCTGTGTGGCGTTGGTGATGGCGTAGGTGGAGTAGGTGCCGTGGCCAATGTAGGCCATGGAGCTGACTCTGCTGTGGAACACATCCAGGTCCTGCCAGGCAGTAAAGCTGTGCTCTACAGACACGGAGCTGCTGTACTGCAGAGCAGCCATCCTCAGCCTCAGTGTCCATCCAGACACCTGGAGCATGGTGAGACCAGTGCTGAAATGCAGAACAAAGGACTTCTGCTTCTCGAACAGGAAGGTCTTGGCACCCTCCGAGCTGTCCAGAATGAAGGCCACCTCCATGGAGCATGTTGCCATGTCTGGGAGAGGGATACATACATGTGTTTCACATGGAGATTGATTGGATAAACTTCAGGCTAATGTCAAAAGCAAATGAACATCGTACAATGAACAAAAATATAAACGCAACATGCAACAATTTCAAAGATCTTTGCTGAGTTACAGTTCATATAAGGAAATCAGTCAATATAAATAAATTAATTAGGCCCTAATCTATGAATTTCATATGACTGGGAATACAGATACCTTTTATTTATTTATCTGAAAACCAGTCAGTATCTGGTGTGACCACCATTTGCCTCATGCAGCGCGACAGATTTATTTCGCATAGAGTTGATCAAATTTGACATTGTTCCATGTTGCGTTTATATTTTTGTTCTGTATACATCTACTTAGAATAAATCGCTGTTACAATGATTTAGACTATGCACCATCAGACATTGATAAATTAAATCTTCCTGTTAAGTGAGACACCTTAAAGAGCAACTGAATGTAATAAGCAACTTCTCCTTTTGAAAACGGACTATGTGACTATATGAGTCAGAAAAAAATATTTGAGTGTCAAAGTTTACTAAAAAGTGTAAATTTGATAATTTTCTTCATAAAGTCAGTCCAAACTGAGATTTGCGAGATAATTAGGAAAAAACGGTAACTGTTATTCTCAGTTTCCTAATGAGGAGGATTGAAACAGAGGCTAAATCAGGTAAGTTCAGCCCCCCTTTAACATATATGGGTTATTTCAGATGTAATGTAGCCATATAGATCAAATAATCATGCATAAGCCACAGTGACTGACCATCATCACTAACGTGGACTTAATGACTTCATTTACCATTTCCTCCATCTCTGAGGACGCTGTACTTTCCTTTTCTTCTTCTCTGGCCTCTGGCCTCATGTAGAACTGCCAACAGTAAAAGGAACAGTGCCACTCCTTTCCCCATGTTGTCCTTTCTCAACATTCACACCCTATACATAAAAAAACAAACATATGTCTTATTCAAGTGTGACATAATTCTATATGTCAGGTGTGGATGCGCTCTCCTCCTCAATCACGATCATTCTTGATTCTCACCCCAATTGTTGGTTCACAGAATCAATCAGTAGGCTACATGAGCCATCTGCAGTCACTGTATCAACTATGGGCTGAAGCTGGCAAAATAAATGTACTTTATGAATTCCTTTAATGTTGTCAAATATTTATACAGAGCACACCTCCTTGGCACGTAAAAAAAAACCCCAACTAAAACAACATGCCACATCATTCATGTTTTGTTTTTTTGCCTAGAAAACAAAGTCATCAGTGTAAAGTAATCTATTTTTTATCTTTTACATTGCACAAGAGAAAATAATTGGCCAACTACTCAAAAAGTTGTCATTTGATTTGAAAATGTGGATTTTTATAATCTTACCTTAGTTCTCATTTAAATACAGCCACCGGTTTTGGCATAATCATCTGGAGTGGTTTAGGAAGCAGCATCTCGTCCTGATCACTGGTTCGGACTAGTCCACGACGTGAAGTGTGGTTCGCATAGGGATGGACAGCGCTCTGTTCCTCTGGAAGAATGTGTAGATTATTGTGCGCTACATGTCAATATGTATTATCTTCATGTATCTTAATGAAATTTCACAGTTTTACAGACTCACAGACACTGAATAAATTGTAGTCACCCATAGTAGCGCGCGTAATACTGTAGCTTTGGGCAGTGTACACACGACTTTCATGAATTCCTTATAACGTATTATGCTTAATTAAGCATTATAGATCCGTAATAAGCTAAGGATAAAAAGTTAAAACACGTTGTGGTTTATTTAAACATTTCACTTTCCCCACAGTCTATGTTTGAATCCTGTTATTTGCAATTTAGAACTGTTTGTAACCTTTCTGCATGGTGATTGTTTGGATGTTGTACATAAAGGTCCCAACTGATACATAATATGACGATTTTCCTCTTCTTCTCCACTTGCACGCCTACTAACTTGAAAAACAGGCATGATGTTTTTTCAATAGATAGAAGCAGTCAGAACCGGAACCCAGGCTCCACGTGGAATGAGACTTAATTTGATTTAGTAGGATAAGGCCAACCTGCCAGTGCTATGGTAAACTAGGGTTAACTTGTTATGTCCCAACTCATGTTCTGCTGGTATAATAAAACAAATATATAATTTAGTGAAAAATATGAGGGCTGAATTTTCTTCTCTTTCTCCAACTTTTCCGGGGACCCATGGCGCTTCCCTGCGGACCCTGTTTGAAAACCCTTGATCATCTAACAGATGTAAAAGCCTACTAAACATGCATATCCACTATTACAGTATTGTAACGACCCTGGGTTTATAAACGCGGATATCGACTCTGCCACGGGAGCATGCTTTTGGGGCACAGTCGGAAGGTTGAGGGTTCGAGACCTGCTCCCTGCCGTTTCATTGCAGTATAATACAAACGTAGTAGTATCCCAATATCATACATCTTTGGTTGTAGCGCCACCTTTAGGAATTGACAGTGACGTGTTCCCCAAAATTCTAACTTGTTTGTGCGTAACCGGACCCCTCGAATAGCAATCTGCTTTTCCGGGGAAATATTCTGGTGTAACACAAAAACAAGCACGGCATAGGTTTGTGGTCGTCACTAGTTACCACAGCCACAAAGCCCGCCTATTTCTACAATTTATCTTCTTAAAATGTGATTTTAAACCTGACCCTAGCTTTAAATTAAGACCAAAAAGTAAATGTTTGTTTTCATGAAATTTTACGATAATAGCCAATTTTGACTTTGTGGCTGTGGTAACTAGTGGAAACTCTGGTTTGTCAATCTGTTGACATGTCTGTAGCAATTTGTAAGTTTCTTTCAATAATTGTTGTATCTTTATTATTAGAAACACAATTTATGAATGTTTATTTGCGGTACATCTGTTTCCTTGATACTGGTACTTCAGGAAGCTAATCTTGCAATGTCAACAAAATTGTAGCTAGCCAGATAACGTTAGTTAACTACTGTAGCTAGCTAATTTAGCATACGTTCAGATTTTTTGCTAACAAATCTGCTGCAAAGTATCTTATATCCACATGTTTTTGTTTAATTAACTAGTTAGTTAACTACAATGTTGCAGTAACACCGTTATTTTACGCCTAGGGATTGCTAGCTAAGTCGTGAGTTTCTAACGTTAGGTAACTAGTTAGCTGTGCCACTTGTCACATGTCACTAGCTAGCAGTTAGCGACCTAATGTGTTGCTCCCGTGCTACACATAATGGTAGCTAACTACATTGGTGACAACATTTGTACAATATCTTAAGCTAAGTTTATAGAAAGTAGGCTAAACATGTTAATTTGCTCACTACTAGTCTACATGGTAGATACCAGTTGGTAACTTTCAGCTGTAAATGCTGTTTTCCCCCAGTATACCAAGTTGTAACCAGCAAGACAATTCTCCTGGACAGAAGCTTTTCCATTTGAACAATGAGTGGTTCAAAGCCAGACATCCTGTGGTCTCCCCACCACGCTGACCGCTATGTCATCTGTGACTCAGAGCTTGGACTGTACCGCATTGGACCTGTGGGGTGCGGCGAGACCAAACCCGGAGCCCTCCCCCTCTCTGAGGAGACCGCTGCTACCCTATTAGCTATCAACTCTGACACCCCATACATGAAATGTGTGGCCTGGTACCCAAAGCACGAGCCTGAGTGTCTGCTAGCGGTTGGACAGGCTAATGGCAGGGTAGTCCTCACTAGCCTAGGGCAGAGCCACAACTCCAAGTGCAAGGAGCTGATGGGGAAGGAGTTTGTGCCCAAGCATGCACGTCAATGCAACACCCTAGCCTGGAACCCTTTGGACAGCAACTGGCTAGCCGCAGGGCTGGACAAGCACAGAGCAGACTTCTCAGTGCTCATATGGGACATTAGCAGTAAGTTCTCCCCAGAGGCTAGTGTAGCCGCTGAAAAGATCCGTCTCTCGTCAGGAGACACAGACTCTGGCCTAGTGGTGACCAAGCCCCTGTATGAGCTAGGCCAGAACGATGCCTGCCTGTCCCTCTGCTGGCTGCCCCGTGACCAGAAGCTGCTCCTGGCTGGCATGCACCGCAACCTGGCCATCTTTGACCTGCGCAACACCAGCCAGAAGACCTTTGTCAACACCAAGGCCATCCAGGGTGTGACAGTGGACCCCCACTTCCCCGACCGCGTGGCCTCCTTCTTCGAGGGCCAGGTGGCCATCTGGGACCTGCGCAAGTTTGAGAAGCCAGTGCTCACGCTCACCGAGCAGCCCAAGCCGCTCACCAAGGTAACTTACTGGTATGCTTGTTTGTTTGTGAAATTCTGTTATCCCCTGCCATCCAATGTACAATCGACTTGCACATATCAGGAGTGTACTTTTTGTGTGATAGCCTACATGTTTTGGATGTAACTCACTGTCCTTCCATTCCCAGGTGGCCTGGTGCCCCACGCGTATGGGCCTGTTGGCCACGCTAACGCGCGACAGCAACATCATCCGCCTTTACGACATGCAGCACACGCCCACGCCCATCGGCGACGAGACAGAGCCCACGATCATCGAGCGCAGCGTGCAGCCCAGCAACAGCCTCATCGGCAGCTTCGCCTGGCACCCAACTTCCCAGAACCGCATGGTGGTGGTTTCGGCCGCCAACCGTGCCATGACCGACTTCACAGTGTTCGAACGTATCTCTTTAGCCTGGAGCTCCACCACTTCGCTCATGTGGGCCTGCGGCAGGCACCTGTATGAGTGTGCCGAGGAGGGGGGCGTGGGAGGGGAGGGTACAGTAGAGAAGGACATAGCCACTAAGATGAGGCAGAGGGCCCAGTCCAGGTACGGTCATGATACGGTCCAGGTGTGGAAGAACCATCTGCTGGCCGGAGGGGACGACCCCCAGCTCAAGTCCCTGTGGTACACTCTATTCTATATCCTTTATTACCCTCAAACTCAACTGGACCTCGAAGCCAGTTCCACTGCATTTTTTAAATTGTTCCCCTCTAATCAGGGACTGATTTAGATCTGGGACACTAGGTGGGTACAATTAATTATCAGGTAGAATAGAGACCCAGCAGGCTCCGGACCTCGTTGGGTAAGAGTTGAATACCCCTGCTTTATTATATTAGTGGTGCATACTCATTTCTAAACATATCTGGCTTTGCGTGAGTAATTATGTGCTGTTTGTTCTGTTTATTTTAGATAAAGTAGACACAATGTCCTTGTGTGAGAGACATGCCTGGCGTTCTGCTTGCACTGTAGTGATTCATTGAATGATCATTTGTCTTTGTTCTTACACCTGACAAACTGGATACAAACTAAGTTGCTATATTGTATGTCACTGTTTGCACTGTGGTTGTTATGATGTCCCAGCGTTCCATTTCCTATGTAAGTATCACTCATGAAGCAGTACACTGAAGACATGGAGCAGAAACAGCAGGCGAACAAACAGGCCCTGGTCTATTCAGGCATCAAGAACATAGTGAAGTCCAGCTCAGGTAAGCAACCTAAAGATATAGATCATCTTTAGGCCTATGTTTAGGCTAAATATACAGGCTGAACCCTTGAAAGTACTATATAACACTTTTTCAGTGTTTCCCCTAGGTTTTTCTTCACATTGGAGCAAAAAAGACACTGAAGTAACATTTGTATATTTGTTGATCTCTACTCCACCAGGCACTACGGAGAACCGGCGGTGCTGGAGCGGCTCGGACCTCCAGACGGACGTACCCAGGTTCCACAGCGAGGAGCGCAGCCTTGCCCTGCGTCTATGCGGCTGGATCAGTCGGGGGCCCGACATCAACGTGGAGCCCTTCCTGCGCTCCCTGGAGGGGGAGGGCGCGTGGGAGCGTGCGGCCGCCGTGGCCCTCTTCAACCTGGACATTCGCAGGGCCATCCAGATCCTCAACAAGGGAGCCTCCGCTGAGAGAGGTACTGGAGTGGAGTCATCTGTGATAGGGCTATGTAATGCATTTTTAAAGATTCTTTGTAAGGGCTCAAAAACTTGTTTGCAATATACACAGCATAAAGTGTGCTACTAATTACTGCCTGGTCACATGACTGACAGGGAGACTAATTAGATATAGAGTGTTAACAGCACATGCATTGTCCTCCTGTGCCTGAGGTGTCACTTCCATCACAGCAAAAGTACCATAACATACTGCTAGGATTTCACCACTGTAAACAAAAGCAGTATACAGTCAGAAAGTATACCCACTAATATTAGGTTAGGATTTGGCTATAGTGTACAGTGGAAGCTCATAAACCAAGATAATAAACTACTAATGAACCAGGCTAATAAACCAAGCTATCCAAGCTAAATAAACCAAACATCCCCACCCTTCCTTCCTCGCAGGGGACCTGAACCTAAACGTGGTTGCCATGGCTTTGTCAGGCTACACGGACGAGAAGAGTTCCCTGTGGAGGGAGATGTGCAGCTCTCTGAGGCTGCAGCTCAAGAACCCCTACCTGTGTGTCATGTTTGCCTTCCTCACAAGTGAGCCTGGCAGCTACGATGGAGTACTGGTACGCAGGGAAGGGGGTAAACCATTGATATAGACTGGGTTGACAGATTTTTATATGCATTATCCAACCCTTTATAACATTCATTATTATGTTAGGCAAAAGTACAAAGGCTATAGTACAGTCGTGGTCAAAAGTTTTGAGAATGACACAAGTATTGGTCTTCACAAAGTTCGCTGCTTCAGTGTTATGAGATATTTTTGTCAGATGTTACTATGGTATACTGAAGTATAATTACAAGCATTCCATAAGTGTCAAAGGCTTTTATTGACAATTACATTAACTTTATGCAAAGAGTCAATATTTGCAGTGTTGACCCTTCTTTTTCAAGACCTCTGCAATCCGCCCTGGCATACTGTCAATTAACTTCTGGGCCACATCCTGACTGATGGCAGCCCATTCTTGCATAATCAATGCTTGGAGTTTGTCAGAATTTGTGGGTTTTTGTTTGTCCACCCGCCTCTTGTGGATCGACCACAAGTTCTCAATGGGATTAAGGTCTGGGGAGTTTCCTGGCCATGGACCCAAAATGTCGAAGTTTTGTTCCCCGAGCCACTTAGTTATCACTTTTGCCTTATGGCAAGGTGCTCCATCATGCTGGAAAAGGCATTGGTTGTCACCAAACTGTTCTTGGATGGTTGGGAGAAGTTGCTCTCGGAGGATGTGTTGGTACCATTCTTTATTCATGGCTGTGTTCTTAGGCAAAATTGTGTGAGCCCACTCCCTTGGCTGAGAAGCAACCCCACACATGAATGGTCTCAGGGTGCTTTACTGTTGGCATGACACAGGACTGATGGTAGCGCTCACCTTGTCTTCTCCAGACAAGGTGTTTTCCGGATGCCCCAAACAATCGGAAAGGGGATTCATCAGAGAAAATGACTTTACCCCAGTCCTCAGCAGTCCAATCCCTGTACCTTTTGCAGAATATCAGTCTGTCCCTGATGTTTTTCCTGGAGAGAAGTGTCTTCTTTGCTGCCCTTCTTGACACCAGGCCATCCTCCAAAAGTCTTTGCCTCACTGTGCGTGCAGATGCACTCACACCTGCCTGCTGCCATTCCTGAGCAAGCTCTGCACTGGTGGTGCCCCGATCCCGCAACTGAATCAACTTTAGGAGACGGTCCTGGTGCTTGCTGGACTTTCTTGGGCGCCCTGACGCCGCCTTCACAACAATTGAACCTCTCTCCTTGAAGTTCTTGATGATCCGATAAATGGTTCATTTAGGTGCAATCTTACTAGCAGCAATATCCTTGCCTGTGAAGCCCTTTTTGTGCAAAGCAATGATGACGGCACGTGTTTCCTTGCAGGTAACCATGGTTAACAGAGGAAGAACAATGATTTCAAGCACCACCCTCCTTTTAAAGCTTCCAGTCTGTTATTCTAACTCAATCAGCATGACAGAGTGATCTCCAGCCTTGTCCTCATCAACACTCTCACCTGTGTTAACAAGAGAATCACTGACATGATGGCAGCTTGTTCTTTTGTGGCAGGGCTGAAATGCAGTGGAAATGTTTTTTGGGGGATTAAGTTCATTTTCATGGCAAAGAGAGACTTTGCAATTAATTGCAATTCATCTGATCACTCTACATGACATTCTGGAGTATATGCAAATTGCCATCATCAAAACTGAGGCAGCAGACTTTGTAAAAATGAATATTTGTGTCATTCTCAAAACTTTTGACCACGACTGTACAGGAATTGTCAAACGGGGCTAGGGACCACCAGGGGGCCTCAGTGAGTTTTCATGGGATCCACAAAAAGAAGGGAAACTACAAATGAATCCTAAATATCAGCAGCAGCATGAAGAGGGCAGTGTTTGACATAGTAGTTTGAAGATTCCAACATAAAAAAAAGTACAACTTAGTCATACAAACCTTGTTGTGTTTCCCTCCTTAGTATGAGAGTAGTGTGGCCGTAACTGACCGAGTGGCCTTCGCATGCATGTTCCTTAACGACGCACAGGTAAGACTTCCTCCAGCAAACACACAACAACATATACTAAATAGAAAATCATCGTTTTTTTCACTGATTACCCCGTTTCTATCTATTGAAAGGAATGTGTTTCCTTTTCTATGTGTGTTGTTATGTAGCTGCCTCGCTACATGGAGAAGCTGACCAGTGAGATGAAGGAGGTGGGGAACCTGGAGGGGATCCTGCTGACGGGGCTGACCAAAGACGGAGTGGACCTGATGGAGAGCTACGTGGACCGGACCGGAGACGTCCAGACCGCCAGCTTCTGCATGCTCAAGGTATGGTCAGAGCAGGGGCTGAATAGTCTTGCACTGCCCGACATCACACCGTAGAACGGTTGTAGTCGAGGCAACAGGCTGACTGACCTTGTGGTTCATACTAACTATGATCACCTGTCCCATGTTGGCTAGAATTAGACAGTTTCGCTCAAGATCGATTGTTGGATCTTTTACCCAAGGTTTTTTCCCACATTCAGGCTTATAGATTTGTTGAATTTGTAAGATTTGCTGGGGTTCAAATGCTTACTGATAGAATGAAAAACAACTGTAAAAGTGACATCACAATACACATTTCATAGAAGCTATGCTGATGATGTGAGACTGACACAGTTATGGGAGCCCACTTCCATTCTGATTCAAACTCAAATAACTTTGTCACCGTAAGGGGAGCTTCATGACCTAGTGTTCTTCCCTCCCAGGGTTCCCCAGGGGAGGTGGTGAAGGACCCGCGTGTCCAGTGCTGGATCGAGAACTACCGCAACCTGCTGGACGCATGGAGGTTCTGGCACAAACGGGCTGAGTTTGACATCCACAGGAGCAAGCTGGACCCCAGCTCCAAACCACTGGCACAGGCAAGGAAAGGGAACACTGCACTAAGAGATGGACAGTTGTTCATAGTTATTCATTTCTCTGTATTTTGGTCTATCTGTTCATAAATCTGCACATGGAGGATGTGACTGAGTGACCAACTTGCTTGCAGGTTTTACATAAACTTAAAAGACAATAATGAATATGAATATCCTGATTAATAAGTGATGCTAGTTATTTATTTGTTATTGGTCAGTTAGATAATGAAACACTATATTGGACCCGTACATTAATTTCTAGCTTCATAATCTTAACAATGATCTCGATGCTATAACCTATTAATGTGGCTTCTGCTTGCTCTAATTTAACCTGCCAGTCCTTATCACACTTGACTGTTGTGTTGTTGCCTGCTACAGGTGTTTGTGAGCTGTAACTTCTGTGGGAAATCCATATCGTACAGCTGCTCGGCCATGCCCCACCAGGGCCGCGGCTTCAGCCAGTACGGGGTCAGCGGCTCGCCCACCAAGTCAAAGGTCACCAGCTGCCCCGGCTGCAGGAAGCCCCTCCCCCGCTGTGCCCTCTGCCTCATGAACATGGGCACGCCTGTGTCCAACTGCCCAGGTACTGGACATGGTATGCTCCACAGATAGGCTCTGGGTGGAAGTTGCCTGTAGCCACAGATCTAGGATCTGTTTACCTTCCCCTAAACCTAACCATAACCATTATGGGGAGAGAATGAAAAACTGATCATGGATCAGTGTCAAAGGTCCACTTTACCCTACTCTCACAGTTCTGCAGCCAGCCTAACTTCCTCATTACACACCCTATTATGCAAATAGGAATGCAAGTGCGTACACACACTTCAGGGTAATTGAGCGAGAGAAATGCATACAGTGCATTCGGGAAGTATTCAGACCCCTTCCCTTTTCCCACATTTTGTTATGTTACAGCCTTGTTCTAAAATAGATTTAATAAAATGTGTTCCTCATCAATCTACACACAATACCCCATAATGACAAAGCGAAAACAGGTTTTTAGAAATTGTTTGCAAATGTATAAAAAAACTAAACAAATACAGAAATACCTTATTTACATAAGTATTCAGACCCTTTGCGATGAGACTAAAAATTGAGCTCATGTGCATTGTGTTTCCATTGAACATCCTTGAGATGTTTCTACAACTTGATTGGAGTCCACCTGTGGTAAATTCAATTGATTGGACTTGATTCCACTGTTGTTTTTTCCAGGCACGGGGAAGTCAGACGAGAAGGTGGATCTGACCAGGGAGAACAAACTGGCCCAGTTCAACAACTGGTTCACCTGGTGCCACAACTGCCGCCATGGTGGCCACGCAGGTCACATACTCAGCTGGTTTAGGTAAGAACATTACCGGAACGTTCTGATAATATTTTCTGTATCGGAGTAGTTTTGTGAACAGAATGAATCATAGGTCTTGTACGATGTCAGGCAATGTGGTAGCTTTGTGAGAAGTGTCACATTTTCAGTGGTTTGTGCATTTGAATGGTTATCTATTGGTTGTTTATTGATTAACCTTTGGTTGTCTTCTCTGTTCCCCATAGGGACCATACAGAGTGTCCAGTGTCGGCCTGCACCTGTAAGTGCATGCAGCTGGACACCACAGGAAACCTGGTGCCTTCAGACAGCCACTAGAGGGGCCTCTGGTAGGGGCCACAGCCTAACCACCAGCCTAAAACCTGCCTGTGCACTCTCACTACACTACAGCACCCACCAGTCGACACACCCCAGACTAAGTCAGGTTGCTGGGTACTGTTCTGGACAGGCCGCTTGAATAGTGTTAACACTGGGTGATAGCTTGAGTTGAATAAAAACATAACATCTTTTCATAATCTTATGGTAAGAGAGGCTAGATGTGTTACTGATGAATCAATGAATGTCTTGAAGGATTGTGGCTTGATGCTTACTAATGACATTAAGGAGATCCTTAAAGGGATATATTATAAAGGTTGTGTTATAAACGGCCTCCTCTAACCAAACCTGAATCAGGATGATCCTTTAATTCCTAGCTTTCGCTTATAGCCTTAATTTCCCCTATGCCTCAAATCAGCCAGCAGGTAAAGGATGTGATTGTGTGCCAATATATTGTAGCTATGTTTTAAGACTTATATTCCTAGTTATTTTCAAACTTTTTTTTCTGGTTCACAATCAGACAGATATCTCGAAAAACATTGACAAAGTGATGAAGGAAGAAAGTTAGTTACCCCAGGCAACTGAAAGAGAACACATTGACAATGCTCTCTCTCTTCTGGTTACACTGGCCTGTGCCACTCTTCATCTCACATTGTATGTTAGGGCTTACAGTGCAGGGGCAGGGAGGGGGGAAGTTGTCTGTGTATTCACCTCCCCACTCCCGGCCTGTGGCTGGTGAAAAGAGGCAGAGAAAAAACAGCAGCTGCTCGGCACTCCGACAAGACCCTCCAGATTGTTCTCCTCATAAAGAACTTCAGCTGCCGGAACACCACTGAACACCATTGACTCAAAGAAGGCGAGAGCTGGAGAGCGAGAAGGCCCTCGGTTCTCTCTTCCCCGGGCTAAAATCGCGCACAAAATATGCATACCACACATCAATCCGGGATGGGTGTCCAGACGTACTCCACAGGGACGGCTATGTGTAAGCTGCATTGTAAATGAGTTTTTCTTTCTCTGCCACCAACCCCCTTGGACTCTACTGATTCGACTCGGGGAACCATTGTAAGTGAGAGGAGCCTGCACCGAGCTGGCTAAATCACTTAGTCATGGCGTAGGGAGGGGGCATGCGAGCTACTGTATTCTGTTTTTCAACACTGTCCGTCTGCGTCGGATGTTTTATGGTGTACACTTTTGTGACCCATAATGGAGTGGGGTTGACAAATTCGGTAGGCGTGTACCATTCTGAATAAAAAGTTACTTGAACTTAAGTCTCCTAAAAGCGTTTTTGCATTTGCCTTTTGAAAACGGAATCAAAGTAACAAATTGCTTCAATCTTTGGTGGAAACGAATGCTCTTTTAATTACAACTTTAGGCCTACGTCTTTGGTATTCTCTATCATGTATGATGCAACCGTTACCATTTTGTCTCACATTTACATTTGCCTGTCTAGAGGAAATAAAATACACAATGACTCCAGTAAATACAGTGGGGGAAAAAAGTATTTAGTCAGCCACCAATTGTGCAAGTTCTCCCACTTAAAAAGATGAGAGAGGCCTGTAATTTTCATCATAGGTACACGTCAACTATGACAGACAAATTGAGGAAACAAAATCCAGAAAATCACATTGTAGGATTTTTAATGAATTTATTTGCAAATTATGGTGGAAAATAAGTATTTGGTCACCTACAAACAAGCAAGATTTCTGGCTCTCACAGACCTGTAACTTCTTCTTTAAGAGGCTCCTCTGTCCTCCACTCGTTACCTGTATTAATGGCACCTGTTTGAACTTATCAGTATAAAAGACACCTGTCCACAACCTCAAACAGTCACACTCCAAACTCCACTATGGCCAAGACCAAAGAGCTGTCAAAGGACACCAGAAACAAAATTGTAGACCTGCACCAGGCTGGGAAGACTGAATCTGCAATAGGTAAGCAGCTTGGTTTGAAGAAATCAACTGTGGGAGCAATTATTAGGAAATGGAAGACATACAAGACCACTGATAATCTCCCTCGATCTGGGGCTCCACGCAAGATCTCACCCTGTGGGGTCAAAATGATCACAAGAACGGTGAGCAAAAATCCCAGAACCACACGGGGGGACCTAGTGAATGACCTGCAGAGAGCTGGGACCAAAGTAACAAAGCCTACCATCAGTAACACACTACGCCGCCAGGGACTCAAATCCTGCAGTGCCAGACGTGTCCTGCTTAAGCCAGTACATGTCCAGGCCCGTCTGAAGTTTGCTAGAGTGCATTTGGATGATCCAGAAGAGGATTGGGAGAATGTCATATGGTCAGATGAAACCAAAATAGAACTTTTTGGTAAAAACTCAACTCGTCGTGTTTGGAGGACAAAGAATGCTGAGTTGCATCCAAAGAACACCATACCTACTGTGAAGCATGGGGGTGGAAACATCATGCTTTGGGGCTGTTTTTATGCAAAGGGACCAGGACGACTGATCCGTGTAAAGGAAAGAATGAATGGGGCCATGTATCGTGAGATTTTGAGTGAAAACCTCCTTCCATCAGCAAGGGCATTGAAGATGAAACGTGGCTGGGTCTTTCAGCATGACAATGATCCCAAACACACCGCCCGGGCAACGATGGAGTGGCTTCGTAAGAAGCATTTCAAGGTCCTGGAGTGGCCTAGCCAGTCTCCAAATCTCAACCCCATAGAAAATCTTTGGAGGGAGTTGAAAGTCTGTGTTGCCCAGCGACAGCCCCAAAACATCACTGCTCTAGAGGAGATCTGCATGGAGGAATGGGCCAAAATACCAGCAACAGTGTGTGAAAACCTTGTGAAGACTTACAGAAAACGTTTGACCTGTGTCATTGCCAACAAAGGGTATATAACAAAGTATTGAGAAACTTTTATTATTGACCAAATACTTATTTTCCACCATAATTTGCAAATAAATTCATTAAAAATCCTACAATGTGATTTTCTGGATTTTTTTTCTCATTTTGTCTGTCATAGTTGACGTGTACCTATGATGAAAATTACAGGCCTCTCATCTTTTTAAGTGGGAGAACTTGCACAATTGGTGGCTGACTAAATACTTTTTTCCCCCACTGTATCAGGGGATATAGGTATACACATATAGCTTAGTCCTGGGACTATGCAAATTTGATTTAAAAACTGAGGATCATATTTAATCAAATCATGTCTTTGTCCTAGAATCAGGTTTGTCCAACAACATTTCGTCCATATTGTCATTACATCACAAATTATGTATTTAATTGTACAGGTAATTACACAAATATTCTTAAGTTAATTTTTAAAACGAAGGTTTTGAGAAAGAAATTGGTCCAATTCTTATTATACATCGATGAAGTTATTGGCTGAAAGTACAGTCGATAGACATCATTGGACCAATGACTAATGTTACTGTATAATTTAGCTGTCCAACCACATGATCAGAATCAAAGAGTGCAGCCCGCCCACGTTTATCAGCCAGTAGTCTTGTCGATACAACTGTCATTTACAGTGGACGTGGGGAAGGTAGGGAAGAACCAAAGAATAGTAAATATGTTTAGCTAACTGTACAAATTAAGTTTTTAAACAACATATATTTAAAGTTCTCGACAGACATGCACAAAGAAGACTTGTTTTAGTGTTGTTCAGGTAAGTTATTGCAGTAGAATTCGCCTTTTTGAGATGCAAGATAACTGCGAGATAGCTGCTAAATGAGCTCGAGCAGCATACGAGCTAAAATTAAAGGAAGTTTATCCTCTGTTTTCCAGAAGCGGATATCTTGGCGATATTTTTCCTGAATGTGATACGAAGCAGCAGAATGTCAGCTCCCACCAACTCGCTTCAACAGCAGTCCACAGTCAGACGTAGCAATGCAGGGTCCCCCAGTTTATCCAACAGCTGCCGTTTGCACCCCATCCGTGCTACTGTGCCCTACCAGCTCCTACGCGGGGGCCAGAGCAGCCCGACACGCTCTCCGTCTCACTCTGTTGGAGGCAACAATGGACCGACAAATAGCCGTGGGTCATCTCCCCCAAATGCGACACTGAATCTTGGAGTAAATTGCACTACTGCCACGAGACAGAGACTGTCTCCTGAAAATAGGGTCTCGCACTCACCTGACCGGGGTCCAAACTCACCCGTTTGTAGAGGTAAAATATTGTTATATTAACCATCTACCACATGCTACGATATCGATGTATTCAGGACAAATGCACCCTTTAGCTTGCTCTTGGTGATGGTCAAGAGATTGTAGGCCTTTTGTATTCCTGTAATACAGTGTTTGCTATGCATTTTATAGATGAATTAATTTGTACAATATTGATGGATTAATGAGACTCACTGGGCCCTATTCAGTCACCCTGACAGGGAATAGGTCCCTAGGTTTATAAGGTAAGTGAAAAACGTAATTTGTCTTGTGCTGATTAGGATTCATGTAATATATAATTTGTAAAAAACCTCACCAGCATATTAGTTTTGATTGAATATATGGCCCCAGAGTTACACAAAAGGGGAAGTAGGCCCATACGTAGGCCTACTACTACAGTATGTCACTAATAAGGAAGCTTATAGTGTCCTCTCCTCTTACACTCCTGCTGCTTATGGACTATTGACAGAAAAGGGGAGGAGATCATTGGCAGCAAAACATGCTTATGGGTTGAAAAGGGACGTAGAACCTGAGAATCGTTGTTGAACAAACAGTCAGGTTACAGGTATATGACCTACTCCCTTTCAACTGTATTGTACACATCGAGAACATATTGTGAGCCCTATGTTATGGAGAATGGAAGTGAGTGGTGTGACATTTCATGGCTCTATTGGTTCAACCTGAGCCATTGTTCCTTTCAGGTGATAAGGAGATGGAGGGTGGACTGAAGGGCGAGATGGGAGGCTAGACTACTCTAAATCCTGTTTCTGAGACAGGCTCTCCTGCCAAATATTGATGTTGCCTCTGGTATTGAGACTGATTATATTTATCTTCCCCAACACAATATTTTCTGGAACACTTTAGTTGTATTTCTCAGCAAACCCTCTATGCAGTAAAACGCAAGACACACAAAGCATCCAGTTAATGTCTGCTTGCCTTTGTGAAGCAGAAATCTCTGAATACCATTAGATTTTTCTGTCACAGCTTGGAGACTGCGTCGAACCTGTTCTGTGACTCCAAATCTGCATCCAGGACTATGTTGTACTCACTATGCAACAAGGTATTTTTACTACAATGACCTCCGGCACTTTACGAGGGCAGGTCATTAATCACCATGGTTCAACCAGTGACAGCCATGACACTCCAGCTGTCTTGACGCTCTCCTACATCAGTGGAGTATAATGGCGTCCGCCTTACCTTTCCCCAAGATGGCAGCCTCCTTGTCTCTGAGCTGCATTGCGGTTATTGTGGGGTTGGTAACTCTATGTTCGGGAAAATGGCATGACATGCCTTGCATTCGCTGGTCCTCAGAATGAGATGACCTTCAACCCTGAGCAGTGTCCAGTCACATAGGTCGTGATGGAGACTTGATCCGCTGTTGGATGGCAGTGACCTCCCAGTCGAAACAAGGCTAGTTTGTTTCATGTGATGTCATCTGCTAGCTAGGGGTAGGAGGTGCATTGCATTGCGACAAGTGGAATTGGGATAGCACTGGGAAGTGCACAGGGATGGAAATGGACATTTGTACATGTATTGTTCATCTTTCATTGTCAAACGGAAATATGGAGCTATTTTTATTTGAGCGTTTCCTCAGAATTGTATGCTATTTGCAGTGAACACTGAAGGGAATTTGTGGTGAATTTGTGGTTTTGTCTTTTGAGGCATCTGACTAATTAAGGTTAAACATTAAAGTGGACAATACATTGTGTCCTTGTCAGCCATGCAGCTCTGTGATTGGAACATTGGAGAAGTTAACTAGTGGGCATCTTCCTTTCAGTCAGTCAGCATGTTAATTCGCTTCACTCATCTCATCTGAGCTAGGTGGTGGTGAAAGGGTCGCCAGGACAACGGGCCAGGGTGAAGGCCATGGAGAAGGGTGACATTCCACCGCATGACCTTTAGGTTCACACTATGACATCATCCCCACACTAGGCCATCCCAATGGCCACAACAAAGAAACTCCCCTTCACTGTCAAAGTGCCAGCTGTGCTGAAATGGCCTTCCTCATTGTCACACATCCCCAAACTGCAGAGTAAGAGTAAATTGGAAAACAAGCATGTTGTTAAACCTAGAACCCAGCCTAAAATCTATCAACTTTGGTAGAAAGTTCACTATTTTTGAAAAGGTTGATTTGAAAATTGTGAAAGGGACCGTATGCATACTAAAAGCCATAAAATGATCTGACTTTATTTTGTTCTTGAGAGCCTAAATTTAGCAAAGTGGAGAGACGGTGGAAAATCACTTGGGCTAAATTTGCATGCTGTGTTTGGAGAACTTTGGCTGTAACAATATTGATGGAAATCCACTCCCTTTTCCTCAGATAGTTTACCCTAGGTCATTGGGTTTACTTACTTAGCCAATGTCTTTTGGTTGATATGCTCAGACTTGGCTGATCATCTAGACCCTAGAGCCTAGGTGGTGTGTAGTGGTATCGAAAAGGAACACTGTGCACCTAGACAAGGAACTGATTGAATGAATAATGTGTACCCTGGTCACCTGCTTCACCCTTCAGAAGCTCTTTGAATGGAAAGCAAGGAGCTCCCATTGACTTTCAACAATCACAAAGCATAATACTGCCTACTAGCCTATGCTTTCACCCATTTCCCCCTCCATGTCTCCCTGCTTTAGAAAAACAGCGCATTTCTGTGTTTGGGTTTTTACTGTGAGTTACTGCAGGAGGAATGTTGAGTGAATGCAGGCTGTATTGATGTTAATTGTGGTGTGGTTGTTTATGAGTTCTTATGTGGGTGATGTGTGTTTTAACTACTTTGGCTTCGAGAAGGCAGCTCCCATAACATCAGACCTAGCTTCAACACAACCAGATTAGTTAGGCCTAGTATATATCACTGTAGAGCACTGATACTCAATAAGGTTAGCAATAGAGCCGTTTATGGAAAACAACAAGACATTGTTCAGTATGACAGTGTGGGTGTGTCCTGTCCTGACCCTTGCTCTCCCCTCGCTCCTGTAGGAGAGAGGTCCAAACTGCAGGCGCGTAGCTCCAGTGCTATCCGGCGGACATCTTCCCTGGACGCCATTATGGGGCCGTACCTCACAGGCCAGTGGCCTCGTGACTCCCACGGACCCTACCCTTCCTGCATGAAAGACAAAGCCACACAGGTAACTTTAGGCCAAAGGACCCATAAAAGCTAATGGTGCACATCATAATAATTTCTTTAAAAGCATATGTTTTCTAAATCAAGTTTCTCTTTAGGAAAACACGTACTGGGTTTATTTTGACCACAATTTTCCTGGGTAGCATTCCACACATCAGCACTCACTATTCTGGTCAACGTGATTGACCGTTCAATGCAGTTTGAGAATGGGCAGATTTTTGTGGTTATGAACCCACATTGAATATGTATGATGATGGCAGGGCCATTGACCATGGCCGCGCTGTCCGTCCTAATAGAATCCTTTCATGTGGCTGAATGAGCGCCGCCCAGCCTCATTTACATGGCTTCATCCCTTTAACCCTTCATTCACCTTGGGGCTCTTTGTTTAGTCTTCGGAAGTGGTGAGGGGGTCTCCAGGTTCAAGTTGCTACATATAGAATCAACGTTCCCCTAATGATGGTGTGGACTGCTTCACTTAAACCACTTGGATTAGGAAAAGCACAAGCTCCCCAAGTACAGTCACAGACTAGCTTCTTCCTGTTAACAAAATATCCCATTACCCCAAATCGCCTGTAACACTGCAACAGCAAAAAAAACCTGGGACAAAAAGTCCCAGCTCTTTGTTGTAGCACACAATCTAGAGACGGAGGTGAAGTTGTTTGCACCTGTCCCTCAGGCGATGGTTGGGGCGAGGAGAGGAATCCCACTGCTTACCACCTGGCCCTCGTGGCTGGCCCGTCTGCCTTTGTGTGGGAGTGAGGAGCGGAGGGCCATACATATGCTAATCACTGTTCCGGGATAGATCTATCTGCCCTAGGCCCTGTGGTTACAGAACACAGAGAATGTCTGTATGAAGATTAAACAGACACACACACACACACAGGCAGACAGACAGAGTGCAATGATTGCATGTGTGCGCACACACACACCAGACTAAAGACTGTCTTAATCTTTGTTTTTAGAATTGTGTTACACAGGCAGGATGTGGACAGTCTATTATCGATGACAATCAACTCAGCATGTTTTACTTATGAGTTGTCTAAAGTAAGCAGTTATACATTACTGCTCATTCCATGTTCTTCAAGCAGCTTGAATCCATAATAAGCGTTTTGTCAAAGATATTTATCTATTCTCTAAAATGTTCCTCATGTTTTAGAGACGTGCATACTGTAAGATACAGTGCATTCAGAAAGTATTCAGACTTCATGACTTTTTGTTACGTTACAGCCTTGTTCTAAAATGGATTCAATTGTTTTTTTCCTTCATCAATCTACACACAATACCCCATAATGACAAAGCAAAAACAGGTTTTTAGACATTTTTGCAAATAAAAAACTGAAACATCACATTTTACATAAGTATTCAAACCCTTTACTCAGTACTTAATTGAAGCACCTTTGGCAGCGATTAAATCCTAGAGTCTTCTTGGGTATAACGCTACAAGCTTGGCACACCTGTATTTGGGGAGTTTCTCCCATTCTTCTCTGCAGATCCTCTCAAGCTCTGTCAGGTTGGATGGGGAGCATCGCTGCACAGTTATTTTCAGGTCTCTCCAGAGATGTTCGATCGGGTTCAAGTCCGGGCTCTGGCTGGGCCACTCAAGGACATTCAGAGACTTGCCCCGAAGCCACTCCTGCATTGTCTTGGCTGTTTGCTTAGGGTCGTTGTCCTTTTGGAATGTGAACCTTTGCCCCAGTCTGAGGTCCTGAGCGCTCTGGAGCAGGTTGTCATCAAGGATCTCTCTGTACTTTGCTCCGTTCATCTTTCCCTCGATCCTGACCAGTCTCCCAGTCCCTGCCACTGAAAAACATCCCCACAGCATGATGCTGCCACCACCATGCTTCACCGTAGGGATGGTGCCAGGTTTCCTCCAGATGTGACACTTGGCATTCAGGTCAAAGAGTTCAATCTTGGTTTCATCAGACCAGACAATCTTGTTTCTCATGGTCTGAGAGTCCTTTAGGTGCCTTTTGGCAAACTTCAAGTGGGCTGTCATGTGCCTTTTACTGAGGAGTGGCTTCCGTCTGGCCACTCTACCATAAAGGCCTGATTGGTGGAGTGCTGCAGAGGTGGTTGTCCTTATGAAAGGTTCTCCCATCTCCACAGAGGAACTCTGGAGCTGTGTCAAAGTGACCATCGGGTTCTTGGTCACTTCCCTGACCAAGGCCCTTCTCCCCCGATTTCTCAGTTTGGCCGGGCGGCCAGCTCTTTGTGGTTCCAGACTTTGTGGTTCCATTTTAAGAATGATGGAAGCCACTGTGTTCTTGGGGACCTTTAATGCTGCAGACATTTTTTGGTACCCTTCCCCAGATCTGTGCCTCGACACAATCCTGTCACGGAGCTCTATGGACAATTCCTTCGACCTCATGACTTGGTTTTTGCTCTGACATGCACTGTTAACTGTGGGACCTTATATAGACAGGTGTGTGCCTTTCCAAATCATGTTCAATCAATTGAATTTGCCACAGGTGGACTCCAATGACATTGTAGAAACATCTCAAGGATGATCAATGGAAACAGGATGCACCTGAGCTCAATTTTGAGTCTCATAGCAAAGGGTCTGAATACTTATGTAAATAAGGTATTTCTGTTTTATTTTTTTAGAAATTTGCTAAAATGTCTAAATTGGCATTATGGGGTATTGTGTGTAGATTGATGAGGAAAACGTTTATTTAATCCATTTTAGAATAAGGCTGTAACGTAACAAAATGTGGAAAAGGGAAGAGGTCTGAATACTTTCAGAATACGCTGTAGATGAGAAGACCAAGAAGCTCACAGAACCAGAACTTAATGCCCTCATCAACTCAAATCAGACCAAATGATAGCAGTGGCATTCTATACTCTTGCCTCAGTATGTAAACTAAACAAACCAACTTGAATTCCATTGTAAATCCATTGATGTTCAGTATCCCTGCTGGGGAATCAAACAGGATTTTAAGTGGGGTGAGAATCATTTAACATGACCCGTACGCTGTGAAAGTAAAGTACGCTAACTTTATTTCACCAGAGCATTATCTGGCATAACACCTGGCACACAAACCCACAAGGCAGGCTGGAAGTGCAAAAATTACCTTGATACAAGTGTCTTGAAGTAAACAAAGCTGGGAGCTCTGTGAACAGACACTTCATTTGTTGTTAAAAATAAACATTTAAATTGTTATTCAAATGATGATAAGTAGCCTATGGCAATGCTATGTTCTTGTACCATTTTATCTATTTGCTGAAGGGTAGGCTTTAGTAGTACTGGAGAACTAGGCTAGTTAATAACTAATAAAGTTAATAATATCCATATTCTTAACATCTCAATATAACTTTTTGCAAAGTTAACACTTAGCAGTGGAAACTTTCCTTTCACTATTCATTCAGCCCTCAATGTTTGGCTCTAGCATCAAACACCACAGCAATACCATAGCCATGTACAAAATGTTACTCTAAACGGTAGCACATCTGTCATCCAGCATAGTGGCCTCTTTATTGGAGCACAAGCACCCGTTTAAACCGTTTGTCCTTTCTGAAGAGCAATGTGCCAGTAGCCAGCCCTAACGCTTCACTGGTGTTCTTCATATTGCATATCATAGAGTGGGTCTTTTGTGTAACGTTGTGCGTTATAGAGGATGTTTTGTTTTTCGACAAGGGTCAAACGTAAGGCAGTACGAGGACATTGACATTTAAGATGCTTCACTCTACTGTATTGACCACGACTCCTTGGAGGACCAATGTCACTGTTGATATGCATAATCAAAGGGAAGTGCATCATGGTTGCTAACATGCTTTTGAAACATCCCGTCTCTTTTTTGCATGTATTTTACATAAGTTAACCGTTTCCTTATTTATGTAAAGGTTGCATTCTTGTAGACACTAGAGCACTTTTCTCTATCTGCTGTAGTGGAGAAAGAGCAGACATTTCCCACAGAATTACCAGCTAGTAGTTAGTATGTAGTATGTCAGTCACCAACCACAAATTAGCCTTTGGCAATCTGTCCCAATGTGGATTGTCGTTACAACTGTAAGGATACTACTTTAAGTAGTAGCTATCACACATGTTATTACTGTTTTGTGCTTCTGGTGAGCTGCATCCATCTTTATCCCGCAAATACCATTTTTGACTCATTTGATTGTTTCCAGATGTGTGCATCTCTAGCGGAAGGCACAGGGGTCATGATTGCTTTCACCCACCTCTCTCTCATCTGTTAATCTCAATGAACTCCAGAGTCTTGTCTCAGTCTTCCTGAATTCCATACAAATGAAGGGGATGATGTGGGTGTATTTGTTTATCCACTGCTTAGAGTGTGTGTGTGTGTGTGTGTGTGTGTGTGTGTGTGTGTGTGTTTCAGACTCCTGGTCTGTGGATAGAGGATGCTGGAGGGGAGCAGGGAAGCCCACACCAGCGGTCAGCCTCCTGGGGTAGCGCAGACCATCTGAAAGAGGTAGGTGCCACACTCAAATTTCCTAGCATATATAGGCTAGCCTACACACTCTCTGCATGACCTGTGTCTCTAGCCAAAACAACTGTAAGGAGCGCTATCCTATTATTTGTAATCCAATACTGTAACCAATGTCAACACCATAACTCTCTGAGGAGTTTAACGTTAGACCAGAATAGCTGGTCTGTCACAAAACATCCAGCAAGAGTTGTATTGTTGACATTATTGGAGCTGCACTGTATGTGCACAGTCAAATATACTTCCAACATGTTTTTGTCAGGGCTTTGAGGTTCAGCCATTACTTGAAATGTGTTTTATTTGTCAGGATATGAGGTTCAGTTAAATATTATGCTCCTGAAGGTCGGTTTCCATGCGCGTTGCCTGGCTGAATTAGTGGCTAGCTGGAGACCACATTGAGCTATTAGTTCTCTAGCTCTTCCAGACCACACTCTTTATTTAACCTTCCTTTCCCTCTGTAGCCTAGTCCGTCGCATCTCATTGTGGCTGGTTGTTTTGAGAGGGGGAGCAGGCACTGAACTTGTCTGCAGGGTGTAACAGCCATATCATTTCCCCCTCAGCTTGGCCCTGTTGATACTCTAGTGCAGGGGTGTCAAACTCATTTTAGCTCAGGGGCCACATGGAGGAAAATCTATTCCCGAGTGGGCCGGACCGGAAAAATCATGGTATATATAACTTAAAAACAACAACTTCAGATTGTTTTCTTTGTTTTAATACGATCAACATAAAGCTGGAGCCTGAGGACAGTGTGTCCAAAATAGTACAAGCACAACATCACTATTAATCATAAAACACGTCAAGTTTATTTGAAAATTCTAAAGAAAAAGAACACACAAACACACAATGCCTCAGTGATTAACAGAACTGTTTCACAGATCACAGAACTATATCAGGGTGTCATTTCTCAGGCAGAAATGTAGATAAAAATAATGAAATCCTGTTCCCCAAACAAGTGCAAGAACCACAGAGTCAAGAATAGGTTAAATATACAAATAAAATAAAAACAATTAAAAACAATAGCACATCAACATAAAAACATATAAACATAAAGCTGGAGCCTGAGGACAGTGTGTCCAAAAGCACAACATCACTATTAATCATAAAACACCTCAAGCTATTTGAAAGTTCTGAGGACAAAGAACACACAAACACACAATGCCTCAGTGATTCACAGAAGTATATCACAGATCACAGAACTATATCAGGGTGTCATTTCTCAGGCAGAAATGTAGATAGATATAGTGAAATCCTGTTCCCCAAACAAGTGCAAGAACCACAGAGTCAAGAATAGGTTAAATATACAAATAAAATAAAAACAATTAAAAACAATAGCACATCAACATAAAAACATATAAACATAAAGCTGGAGCCTGAGGACAGTGTGTCCAAAAGCACAACATCACTATTAATCATAAAACACCTCAAGCTATTTGAAAGTTCTGAGGACAAAGAACACACAAACACACAATGCCTCAGTGATTCACAGAAGTATATCACAGATCACAGAACTATATCAGGGTGTCTCATGCAGCACTTTAAGTGGGGTTGCATAGTTTATTTGACTCCTGATACCTGGCATCTTTTAGCTTTCACCAGCGCATCAATATCAGGCGTCACATCCTGAGTGGCAGCCAACTTCAGGATGTGATTCAAGTGCTTGTGCGTGAGCCTTGAGCGCAGCTTTGTTTTATTTATGCTCATTACACAGAACTTGCTCACAAAGATATGTGGTTCCAAACATGCACAACAGTTTTGCAGCGAGGGCTGTCAAGTTGGGGTAACCTGGCAAGAGATTCTGATAAAAATGTGTCCAAGCCAGCTGCGGCAAATTTGCCCTTCAAATCCGAGTCACACTGCAAGTCTATTATTTCAAGTTGGATGCTGACGGGCAGATCAGAGGGATTCACGGTGAATGGCGAGCAAAAAACGTTGAAGTCTTTCTCCAGTTCACCAAAAATCTGAAAGTGTTGCTCAAACTCCCGTAACAGTCCCGTTATTTTATCTTTGAACCGCTTCATGTCTGCCACATGTTGGGTCGCGCACACATTTTTCAGACAGGGGAAGTGAGCTGCATCACCACCGGCGAGTTGCGTCTCCCACAATGACAGCTTCAACTTGAAAGAACGTATGCTGTCATAAAACTGCGTGACAACTTTGTTGCGCCCATGCAGCTGTTTGTTCAAGTTATTCAGGTGCTCTGTAACATCCACCATAAATGCAAGGTCCTGCATCCATTCTGCGGAATTAAATTCTAACACTGGTTTGCCCTTTTCTTCCATGAACTGTTCCATTTCTTCTCGTAAATCAAAGAAACGCCTCAGCCCAGCACCTCGGCTTAACCATCTTACCTCAGTGTGGTATGGCAGGCCATAGATGTGGTCTTTCTCTCTGAGAAGGCTGTCAAACTGACGGTGATTCAGGCTTCTGGATCGGATGAAATTAACAGTTTGGATGACCACCTTCATGACGTTATCCATCTTTAATGACTTGCAACACAAAGCCTCCTGGTGCAAAATACAGTGAAAAGTCAAAAAATCACGTCCTCCAGATTGACAAGATTGTCATATTTGTCGGCATGAAGACTCACATAGTGGCGACGAAGGTTATATTCTTTCAGCACTGCAACATGCTGTGAACACACCAAACATACAGCTTTCCCATTCAATTCCGTGAATAAATAGGAGGATGACCATTTTTCTTGGAACACTCTACACTCTGTGTCCACTTTTCTCTTTTTTGACAGAGACTTATTGGGGCAATGAGGGTGCCAAAGCACATAATGTTAAAAGTAGAAGCCGTAATAAATATCGCGGGCAAAACAAAGTAGCTCATCCGGACTGGCTGCACGTGCTTGACCTACTTGCTCTGCCCCGGTATAAACAGTTTGCTTGCTTAACACAATTGCTATTGCGCCATCCAGTGGACGCAATTGGAACAGCAGTTTATTTTATTGAAAAATTGCAGGGCATTTTTATACTTTACAAAATCATTTCGCGGGCCGGATTAAACCCGTTTGCGGGCCTGATCCGGCCCGCGGGCCGGACGTTTGACACCCCTGCTCTAGTGACAAGGATGAACCTTATCTAACTCCATAAAGGCCTACTCCTCCTGCAAACAACACATATATAAGCTTGTTACAGTCTGCTGGCTTTTGCTCAAGAGCAACATAGCAAAACAATGGTATTGAGGCTTTTGAAATGGGCTGACTTACATAAGATAGGCCTGTTAGATGACCGATAAACACTAAATGGATGCAATGTTCTCTCACTATGTTGAGATGTTTCTTTTTGTTCTTGACATGATTATGATGATATACTGTACTGTATGTACATGTAGTAACATACAGTATAGCAACATGTACATGTTTCTAAAGATACTAATGATTAAGTTTATCTAAGTCGCCCATTGTAGCGTATAAAAGTAGCAATAGGTACATTTGGATTTGGCATGTAGTCTTACATATTGTCAATGAAATGTATTATTTTAGCTGACACTTATCCTGAGAGACCCAGTCATATATAGCCAAAGGCCAAATCCTCCCACCCAACAGTGAGTGGTACTATACAGTAGAGATGGGGGAGGGGGATCAATACAGTAAGCAGGGGTGTTCAAATCTTACCCTACGAGGTCCGGATTTTCTGTTCTACCTGATAATTAATTGCACCCACCTGGTGTGCCAGGTCTAAATCAGTCCCTGATTAGAGGGGAACAAAAAAAAACGCAGTGTAACTGGCTTCGAGGTCCAGAGTTGAGTTTCAAGGCAGTAGAGTATCGCAATATTGTTTTGGTCGATTATATATCGATACTGTTGACTCCAAGTATTGATTTGTAAAAAATAAAATACAAGATAACGTTAGCTAGCGCTAGTCAGGTGTACCTGCGCCAGAACTCAGGTATTTATCATCCTATAGCTAGTTCTCCAACTCATTTTGTCATGGCTTTCTCTTCTCCGTCTGCAGCAGACATATAGTGAGCAATATGTTTGGAACATCAAATCGCAATAAAATCGCAGTATCCAATCGCAATACATACAGAATCGTGATACGTATAGAATTGCAATACATATCGTATCGCTCACCTAAGTATTGTGATCATATTGTGAGGTCCAGCCCTTTAATACAATGAGCTTTACACTGCTTTGTTCTTGCTCATCTTCAGAAACCTCATATGGATTGCCTTGTCATTATTGACTCCTATCATGTACTCTCTCAATGCAAGTCAATCCAGATGAACCACACTGTACTGTACTATAATAACCTCTATGGATGACATGGGACTGTTTTATAATAACCTCTATGGATGACATGGTACTGTACTATAATAACATCTATGGATGACATGTTACTGTACTATAATAACCTCTATGGATGACAGGGTACTGTTTTATAATAACCTCTATAGATGACATGGTACTGTACTATAATAACCTCTATGGATGACATGGTACTGTTCTATAATAACCTCTATGGATGACATGGTACTGTTCTATAATAACCTGTATGGATGACATGGTGCTGTTGTATAATAACCTCTATGGATGACAGGGTACTGTTTTATAATAACCTCTATAGATGACATGGTACTGTACTATAATAACCTCTGTGGATGACATGGTACTGTTCTATAATAACCTCTGTGGATGACATGGTACTGTTCTATAATAACCTGTATGGATGACATGGTACTGTACTATAATAACCTCTATGGATGACATGGTACTGTAGTATAATAACCTCTATGAGTGACTTGGTACTGTACTATAATAACCTCTATGGATGACATGGTACTGTAGTATAATAACCTCTATGGATGACATGGTACTGTTCTATAATAACCTCTATGGATGACATGGTACTGTAGTATAATAACCTCTATGGATGACATGGTACTGTAGTATAATAACCTCTATAGATGACTTGGTACTGTACTATAATAACCTCTATGGATGACATGGTACTGTAGTATAATAACCTCTATGGATGACATGGTACTGTACTATAATAACCTCTATGGATGACATGGTACTGTAGTATAATAACCTCTATGAGTGACTTGGTACTGTACTATAATAACCTCTATGGGTGACATGGTACTGTACTATAATAACCTCTATGAGTGACTTGGTACTGTACTATAATAACCTCTATGGATGACATGGTACTGTAGTATAATAACCTCTATGAGTGACTTGGTACTGTACTATAATAACCTCTATGGATGACATGGTACTGTAGTATAATAACCTCTGTGGATGACATGGTGCTGTAGTATAATAACCTCTATGAGTGACTTGGTACTGTACTATAATAACCTCTGTGGATGACATGGTACTGTACTATAATAACCTCTGTGGATGACATGGTACTGTACTATAATAACCTCTATGAGTGACTTGGTACTGTACTATAATAACCTCTATGGATGACATGGTACTGTTCTATAATAACCTGTATGGATGACATGGTGCTGTTGTATAATAACCTCTATGGATGACAGGGTACTGTTTTATAATAACCTCTATAGATGACATGGTACTGTACTATAATAACCTCTGTGGATGACATGGTACTGTTCTATAATAACCTCTGTGGATGACATGGTACTGTTCTATAATAACCTGTATGGATGACATGGTACTGTACTATAATAACCTCTATGGATGACATGGTACTGTAGTATAATAACCTCTATGAGTGACTTGGTACTGTACTATAATAACCTCCATGGGTGACATGGTACTGTACTATAATAACCTCTATGAGTGACTTGGTACTGTACTATAATAACCTCTATGGATGACATGGTACTGTAGTATAATAACCTCTATGAGTGACTTGGTACTGTACTATAATAACCTCTATGGATGACATGGTACTGTAGTATAATAACCTCTATGGATGACATGGTACTGTACTATAATAACCTCTGGATGACATGGTACTGTAGTATAATAACCTCTATGAGTGACTTGGTACTGTACTATAATAACCTCTATGGGTGACATGGTACTGTACTATAATAACCTCTATGAGTGACTTGGTACTGTACTATAATAACCTCTATGGATGACATGGTACTGTAGTATAATAACCTCTATGAGTGACTTGGTACTGTACTATAATAACCTCTATGGATGACATGGTACTGTAGTATAATAACCTCTGTGGATGACATGGTGCTGTAGTATAATAACCTCTATGAGTGACTTGGTACTGTACTATAATAACCTCTGTGGATGACATGGTACTGTACTATAATAACCTCTGTGGATGACATGGTACTGTACTATAATAACCTCTATGAGTGACTTGGTACTGTACTATAATAACCTCTATGGATGACATGGTACTGTTCTATAATAACCTCTGTGGATGACATGGTACTGTAGTATAATAACCTCTATGAGTGACTTGGTACTGTACTATAATAACCTCTATGGATGACATGGTACTGTAGTATAATAACCTCTGTGGATGACATGGTACTGCACTATAATAACCTCTATGGATGACATGGTACTGTACTATAATAACCTCTGTGGATGACATGGTACTGTACTATAATAACCTCTGTGGATGACATGGTACTGTACTATAATAACCTCTATGGGTGACATGGTACTGTACTATAATAACCTCTATGAGTGACTTGGTACTGTACTATAATAACCTCTATGGATGACATGGTACTGTAGTATAATAACCTCTATGAGTGACTTGGTACTGTACTATAATAACCTTTATGGATGACATGGTACTGTAGTATAATAACCTCTGTGGATGACAGGGTACTGTTTTATAATAACCTCTATAGATGACATGGTACTGTACTATAATAACCTCTATGGATGACATGGTACTGTTCTATAATAACCTCTATGGATGACATGGTACTGTTCTATAATAACCTGTATGGATGACATGGTGCTGTAGTATAATAACCTCTATGGATGACAGGGTACTGTTTTATAATAACCTCTATAGATGACATGGTACTGTACTATAATAACCTCTGTGGATGACATGGTACTGTTCTATAATAACCTCTGTGGATGACATGGTACTGTTCTATAATAACCTGTATGGATGACATGGTACTGTACTATAATAACCTCTATGGATGACATGGTACTGTAGTATAATAACCTCTATGAGTGACTTGGTACTGTACTATAATAACCTCTATGGATGACATGGTACTGTAGTATAATAACCTCTATGGATGACATGGTACTGTTCTATAATAACCTCTATGGATGACATGGTACTGTAGTATAATAACCTCTATGGATGACATGGTACTGTTCTATAATAACCTCTATGGATGACATGGTACTGTAGTATAATAACCTCTATGGATGACATGGTACTGTAGTATAATAACCTCTATAGATGACATGGTACTGTACTATAATAACCTCTATGGATGACATGGTACTGTAGTATAATAACCTCTATGGATGACATGGTACTGTACTATAATAACCTCTATGGATGACATGGTACTGTAGTATAATAACCTCTATGAGTGACTTGGTACTGTACTATAATAACCTCCATGGGTGACATGGTACTGTACTATAATAACCTCTATGAGTGACTTGGTACTGTACTATAATAACCTCTATGGATGACATGGTACTGTAGTATAATAACCTCTATGAGTGACTTGGTACTGTACTATAATAACCTCTATGGATGACATGGTACTGTAGTATAATAACCTCTATGGATGACATGGTACTGTACTATAATAACCTCTATGGATGACATGGTACTGTAGTATAATAACCTCTATGAGTGACTTGGTACTGTACTATAATAACCTCTATGGGTGACATGGTACTGTACTATAATAACCTCTATGAGTGACTTGGTACTGTACTATAATAACCTCTATGGATGACATGGTACTGTAGTATAATAACCTCTATGAGTGACTTGGTACTGTACTATAATAACCTCTATGGATGACATGGTACTGTAGTATAATAACCTCTGTGGATGACATGGTGCTGTAGTATAATAACCTCTATGAGTGACTTGGTACTGTACTATAATAACCTCTGTGGATGACATGGTACTGTACTATAATAACCTCTGTGGATGACATGGTACTGTACTATAATAACCTCTATGAGTGACTTGGTACTGTACTATAATAACCTCTATGGATGACATGGTACTGTTCTATAATAACCTCTGTGGATGACATGGTACTGTAGTATAATAACCTCTATGAGTGACTTGGTACTGTACTATAATAACCTCTATGGATGACATGGTACTGTAGTATAATAACCTCTGTGGATGACATGGTACTGCACTATAATAACCTCTATGGATGACATGGTACTGTACTATAATAACCTCTGTGGATGACATGGTACTGTACTATAATAACCTCTGTGGATGACATGGTACTGTACTATAATAACCTCTATGGGTGACATGGTACTGTACTATAATAACCTCTATGAGTGACTTGGTACTGTACTATAATAACCTCTATGGATGACATGGTACTGTAGTATAATAACCTCTATGAGTGACTTGGTACTGTACTATAATAACCTTTATGGATGACATGGTACTGTAGTATAATAACCTCTGTGGATGACATGGTGCTGTAGTATAATAACCTCTATGAGTGACTTGGTACTGTACTATAATAACCTCTGTGGATGACATGGTACTGTACTATAATAACCTCTGTGGATGACATGGTACTGTACTATAATAACCTCTGAGTGACTTGGTACTGTACTATAATAACCTCTATGGATGACATGGTACTGTTCTATAATAACCTCTGTGGATGACATGGTACTGTAGTATAATAACCTCTATGAGTGACTTGGTACTGTACTATAATAACCTCTATGGATGACATGGTACTGTAGTATAATAACCTCTGTGGATGACATGGTACTGCACTATAATAACCTCTATGGATGACATGGTACTGTACTATAATAACCTCTGTGGATGACATGGTACTGTACTATAATAACCTCTGTGGATGACATGGTACTGTACTATAATAACCTCTGTGGATGACATGCAGGGAAGGGCATCCTATAGAGTAGACATACTCTTTCTGTGTACTGTATAGCCAGGATTATAAGAATCAGCATTAAAAGACCTCGCCTTAGTCTGCATTATATTACTGATGATGTTATGATTATATAACCAGTACAGAAACAAAATAACCCTTTGACTTCACTTATGTTTGATCATAGCTACATCCATAAAAGCCCTCTCTTTACAGCATTTTTCAAGTTCATTCTGAATCTGTGGACAAATTACTCGAATGCTGGAGAAATGCTGTTCTGAGGAAAACCAAAAAAAACAATGCAACTCCGAGGAAGCTTAGTGGCACTCCGCTGCGCATCGTGGCACACCTTCCACATCGTGCATTATTTTCCATCGAACGCATTGCCCCTCATTGATTATCCCTTACCTACAGCTTTGTACCTTTGCTAAAGGCATATTCTATTGAATTATACCTCAAGTATAGCCTGGTGGTCCAGTCTGTTTGTGCTTTAGCCAACTCCTCTCTGCCATGTATGACATGAAACAATAGAAGTGTTGGCTACACAGCACATACAGTATGGGGCCACCAGGCTACCTTGAATGTCCATTGAGAACCATTCATTTTTCTCTGAGATAAACCCCCTGTCTTTCTCCAGCAGATTGCTAAACTCAGGCTGCAGCTCCAGCGCAGTAAACAGGTCAGCCGCCAGAGCAAAGACCGGGATCAGCAGCCGGGTCTACACACCAGCACCACATGCCAACCCCAGGTGAGTTATACCCTACTGCTGCCTCCCTGTGTCTGCCACCCAGATCACAGGGCATGGTAGCATTGTACTAGTATGGCGTCTGCCCCAATGCTATATTCACAGTGGGAGTGTCACCGTACCATGTACAACCTAAAATAAATACATTTACATTTACATTTTAGTCATTTAGCTGACGCTCTTATCCAGAGCGACTTACAAATACAGTACTTATTATGGATAATACTTGATTGTAAATTTATAGACTAGGGTTTTGGTAGCCTGGGTGCCAGGCTGTTTCTGCTTCAGGCAACTTGTCCTTCCAAAACAACAATGTGGCTTTGCTGTAGTGCAGAATTGTTCAGGCAGTTGTTCAGGCATGTTATATATATATATATATATATATATACTACCGTTCAAAGTTTGGGGTCACTTACAAATGTCCTTGTTTTTGAAAGAAAAGCAATTTTTTTTGTCCATTAAAATAACATCAAATTGATTAGAAATACAGTGTAGACATTGTTAATGTTGTAAATGGCTGTTGTAGCTGGAAACGGCTGATAAAAAAAAAAAAAGGAATATCTACATAGGCGTACAGAGGCCCATTATCAGCAACCATCAGTCGTGTTCCAATGGCATGTTGTGTTTGCTAATCCAAGTTGATCATTTAAAAGGCTAATTGATCATTAGAAAACCATTTTGCAATTATGTTAGCACAGCTGAAAACTGTTGTGCTGATTAAAGAAGCAATAAAACTGGCCTTCTTGAGACTAGTTGAGTATCTGGAGCATCAGCAATTGTGGGTTCGATTACAGGATCAAAATGGCCAGAAACAAATAATTTTCTTCTGAAACTCGTCAGTCTATTCTTGTTCTGAGAAATTAAGGCTATTCCATGCGAGAAATTGCCAAGAAACTGAAGATCTCGTACAACGCTGTGTACTACTCCCTTCACAGAACAGCGCAAACTGGCTCTAACCAGAATAGAAAGAGGAGTGGGAGGCCCCAGTGCACAACTGAGCAAGAGGACAAATACATTAGAGTGTCTAGTTTGAGAAACAGACGCCTCACAGGTCCTCAACTGGCAGCTTCATTAAATAATACCCGCAAAACCCCAGTCTCAATGTCAACAGTGAAGAGGTGACTCCGTGATGCTGACCTTCTAGGGTTGCACAGAAAAAGCCATATCTCAGACTGGCCAATAAAAATAAAATGTTAAGATGGGCAGACTGAGATATGGCTTTTTCTTTGCAACTCTGCCTAGAAGGTCAACATCCTGGTTAATTGGCCTCTGTATGCCTATGTAGATATTCCATTAACAATCAGCCGTTTCCAGCTACAATAGCCATTTACAACATTAACAATGTCTACACTGTATTTCTGATCAATTTGATGTTATTTTAATGGAAGAAAAAAAATGCTTTTCTTTTGAAAACAAGGACATTTCTAAGTGACCCCAAACTTTTGAACTGTGGTGTATATGTCAATAGATGTTTATACGTCAATATATGTTTTATGGAGTGTTATATTTTATTTAGTTCACAAGTCCCTATTCTGACATTCTGACAAGACAGAGAGGGAGAGGAGGAGGAGATGTCTGGGCATGCCAAGTTCCCTGTAGTCTCTGTGTTTGTGGTGAATTCATTAACGGATACTGAGCAACTGTAAACAAAGCACTGGGAAAAAGAACATTAACTAAATTAGCCATGGTATGACTTTCACTTGTGATTGATCAATCTGTATTATCCTATATTATCGTTGACCTCACTTTAATATCATTTAACCTTATATTTTACCTCACATAAATCACAATCTATAGCAATATCATACACTGAAATACTGGGGAGAGCAGACAATTGACTAGATGTCTGTTTTAAAATTATCATCGAAAAGCTACAAAACATTTCCACCACCTAACAAAATGTCATTTAACCCTTGGTTTGCCATATTTTCCAGAATAAGGTGGTTTCCACAGCCCTGTTGAATATCCCAGTGCCAAAGTCCCTCATATCGAGAGTGCCTAGCAGCGTGGAGGGCATCAACCACGAGCTGGAGAATGTGTTCATCAGAGAGGACTGGAAGCAGGGAATACAGGTGGGGACACACACACACACACTATATTCTCACTCACACTGATTTAAATTGCTGAGAGTTGAGTAGAGCTGTAAATTGTGTGTGAAGTAGGGAAGTAAACCTTGACAGGTTAACAACATTTCTCTCCCTGAAGCATGTGCATGCATGTGGGCACTCGTGCACACACACATATTTATGACCTGTAACGCAGCAAGCCTTCCTCAGCTCAGAATCAGCTGTACCTTACAGCACAAGCAGAAGGGCTCTGAACGTTTTCATACAGTATCAAGCATTATCATCTGCACTGGTATTCGCTTTTCTGCTTGTCATTCTAATACCTCCACACAAACTGGAGTTTACATGCAGTGTGATAATACTGAAATTAACTGAATGCATTGAATTTACTGCTGTATGATGATCAATAATAACTTTAAATGATATAGTGTCCTGCTGTGGTTCTTGCACTCCTTCATCCTTCCCTCCATCTCCACCTCTGACCTCTCAGGCTTTGGACGTGTTGGACGGCCACCGCGCCCCCTTTCAGCCTCATCGCTACGGCAATGGCGGTGACACACGCGACACGGATACCCAGGCCCCCTCTAGTGGCGGTTCCAGCCCCTGGCCCTGCCCCTTCACCCCTGACCCCCTCCACTCCCCAGAAGGCAGCCCCTGCTCTGCAGAAGAGCTTGACAAAGGTATTCCATTCAGATGCATTTTTTGGCTTGCATGATCTATTGCATATCTCAGGAGCAGAGTTTGTGAGCATAGTTGAGCGGTTGGAAATCCTGCTCATCACTCCATGTCCTTTCCTACCACTCTGTTAAAAACCGCTCTACGCTCACAGGAAAAAAAACTCCCACTCCAAATTCGCTCCATTAATTAAAATCACAATTTAACAATTTTTGTGAATACCTGGACCTACCAATTTGGTTTTTAAGTATTGATACCAAACCATATGGATTTCAATGAAAAGTATTTGAATAAACATGAGAAGGTGAATGTAAGAAGCGAACATCATTTCTAATAGGCTACATGTCATATTAAACAGCATATAAACACTCTAAATAGGTCAGGAGCCAGACAGGGAGCCTAAGAAGGAACGAAAATGGATTATTTCGGCTGTATTATTTATATTATTTCAAGGCTGTAGCCTACAAAGAAATACATTGTAAAGCATTTGCGAATTGGACACAATAGGCTTGTAGGGACAAAAAGCGCTCAGCATTTAAACAATATTTTGTTGTATTAAATCGTTATAGTCTATAAAGTGTGCATATAGGCTGTGACTTTTTAATTAATTACAAATTAAACGAAAAATGACTTGTTAGTGACTTTGAATTCATTTTTAGAAACACGAGTTTGGCCAGTCTGTGGCTTCAGGCTCATGTGATGGTGCCTGGAGAGCCGGCCAGCAGCGGAGAATATCCTCTCCATAAACACCCTTTTGGCCAATCTTGCCAGGCTGGGCAGAAATGCAGAGTTTTTTGTATTATTCTATAGGTAGGCCTAAAGGTTTTTTGGCAAAATAACCCAATCAATACAAGTAGACTACAAATGCATGCTGGGGCGGGCATGCCCTGAGCTCGTGAAGTAAGCCCTACTTTGGGGCGAAATAGGAGCGAGTGAGAAGGTAGACGCTCCAGCCTTTGGGAATCGCGCTCCACGCTCCAATCAAATTGGGCACGTTCCGCTCATATACTCTGCTCAGGAGTCTAGTGATTAGGATTTGGTTAATGATAAATGGCTCATGCTATATTAATACTGTGCCGTATTATATGAATCACCTCATTGTCTTCTATAGACAACAGATCGCTAACACATGTTCCTTTAAAGGGACATAAGATCACCACAATGACCTGCTTACATGTTTCATTCTGTTTTCAGACAGCGGATGCAGCTCTCCCCTTCCCAAGTTTGCCACCTCTCCCAAACCCAACAACAGCTACATGTTCAAACGGGAGCCTCCGGAGGGGTGTGAGAGGGTCAAAGTGTTTGAAGAGATGGTGTAAGTCTTCTCTCTCCTTTCATGTTGCCATCTTCACTACTTTGAGGGGTATTTCTAATTGTAATGCTTCTCAACTTCATAGTGCTACATGTTTTAGTTTCTTTTTTTAATTGGTCTGATAGTGTATGTCCTTATGCCACTGTACAGATGTAGGATCTTCATTTAGTTCTCCTGCAACAGTGTGATCAAATTAAGATCCTACATATGTAGGGCTCTCCTACTGTAGGTGTTTCATATACACACTTTGGTATGTGATGATAAAAAGATGAAGACATCTCCCTCTCTTTTCCTCCCCAGGTCTGGTGTCTCCAAAGGCTTCCCTCTTTTTTCATGCCCAGACAAAAACAAGGTGAACTTCATCCCCAGGGGCTCCGCCTTCTGTCCCGTCAAACTCCTCTGCTCCTCCCTCTTCACCACAACCTCTTCCAGCCCTGGTCTCCATGGAAAAGGCAGCACATGGCCCGAGGACGCCATGACACCCACTAGTTCCACCACTCTAGCCTCCACTAACTGGAGCTCGTCTATAGGCACAGACATGGTCAGTAGCTCAGACACAGGCGTAGGCACCGACACAAGCACAGAGAACAGCACAGACAGTCTGAGCCGAGACACAGGCCCTAACACAGACACTAATCAACTGACAAGCACAGCAATGGTCTCAGACGGCCTGTCTACAGATCCCTGCTCCACTACACACATCCTTCTTACCAGCTAGTTCTCAGGGACAGTCCAGCTGCTGAGCATTAGCCTGGTCCCAGATCAGTTTGTGCTGTCTTGCTAACTCCTATGGTCGCAATGACCATAGGAGGTGGCAAAACAGCACAAACAGATCTGGGACCAGGCTAGCTGAGTATGGCTCTTTAATGCAACATTAGCCAGCAAGGAGGGCCTATTCTTACTAACCTAGCCTTCTCTTCTGCAAGGTGTGGCAGGCAACATCCTCCAGAAAGACTTGTTTTCTTTTCAGAGGGTAGATTCGATTGTTTCATGTATTGTGTTCTGTAGCAATCAGCTTTATCAAAGTCAATTCAATAAATTGAGAAGAAATTAAATGGGCAAGAGAAGAACATATATTTTATTGAATTTTGAAAATGTTTATCTAACCAGCTTATTTAGCTGTTCTGTGTTGCTAGCTAATATTACAGCATGGATAAGCTTTTTAATGGAAAAAAAATAACATGCCTGTTTATATTGAAAACCCTATTGGGATGTCCTACAGTTACAATACAATGCTCCACTTTTCCCCGAATGTTTCTACTTATTTCAGGTCTCAGTCCAGTTTGTAAACTCATGACAAAAAGCTAAAGAAAGACTATCTGAAAGTGACCCAACAGCCAGCTACAAAGCACAGTGTTCCCACATTGCCTTGTTTCAGGTCCCCTGAAGAACCAATGAACTCAGGTCATTTGGAATGTACTACTCATGCATGAACTTCAACGTTGCCTTTTATGGTTCATTCATGACATTACTCCTAAGACATTCCATAGTCTTTAAACAAGTGCTGATTCTAATCTTTCAACATGACTTATTAAAGGATTGCCATCGATAGAAATGATAACCTGGTGTACGGGAAAATCCGTAAAGATAGTTTCAAGTGCTTAAGACATTCCAGAGGTTATTATATTGTAGCTCCAAGATATCAACAGTATTAGCAGATTTAGTATTGTCAAAATAAGGCCTAGATTCAATTGGATTAAGCGTTAACCAGTGGTGTCTGAGTTTTGGCGGTGTCAGAGGTGTTATTGCGTTGGAGCTGTCAAATCGGTGAACAGCTGCTCCTGTGATCATTGTCACGAAGCCACACCCGTCCCACTCGCGATAGAAATTCAGAAAGAGAAAGTGTAGGCTATATAGAAATAATGACGCTCAAATTGAAAATCATTCAACAAAATAATGAGAACTTCTATCGAGGTATAGATTACATCTCACGTTACAGTGTTCAAACTTGTAAACAAGGCTGCATGGGATTTCTCTTAATGCGTCTCCATGCAGCCAATGGCAATGTCCGCTTTAGGTATAATGCCGGGAGCCGCTTGTGGATTTGACAGCTCTAATGCGGTTGTTGGCTAGTGCAGATCTGATAGAATCTACCCCTAAAAACAATATTTTAAGCAACAACAAAAAAAGAAATTAGGAAAAAAAGCAAAGCAGAAAGTTAAATTGTACGAAATAGATAAGCAATCAACAAACACTTATAATTCTGTCAATGTCTGACTTAACATTGAGGCTAATGATATTTTCAAAGCACTTAATTCCAGGCGGGATAATAATCACTATTTAATAGTAATATTACACAGTACTATATAAAATGTAAAGCAAATCAGATAATGTTAAGTGTGCAATTACAGATCTGTTAAAAAAATACAAACTAGTGTTGATTTGACGTTCAGTATGGAGTAAAATATTTCATGAAACTGTACAAGGGCTGGATTCAATCCGTGTTGCGGAAGTACCGCGAGAACATTGCCTTTAAATTTAAATTGTGCTATAACGTGGATCTCCCTCGATACTTCTGCGATACGAATTGAATCCAGTGCCTAAGTGTATTATGTATCTTCAATACATTACGTTAAAACCCCTTGGCAATAATATTTACAAATAATAAAGAAAATGCTTTTTCAAATAAAAATAGCCAAAACCATTTGCAAAACGAACAAACATATGCAACACAATCCACTCAAACCTAGATGTATATTTTGTCGGTAAAGATGACCGCTGCTCCGTGACTAGTTTGAATCATACTAACACATTATTTTCAAAGTTCAGCAAGGCTTGCCATGTTCGGCACTAATATATCATGCCTGTGTATTCCATGTTTTATATGTAGACCTTGTGTGTTTTTACAATAAAGTAAGCAATAAAATCACACTTGCTGTTTGTCTAAATTATTTTTTTAAGGCACTAGCTTCACATTATTTTAATGTTATTATTAGAACCCCTTTAGCTTATGAAGCCCAGGCTTCCAACGAGACAGGATTTTGTTAGGCTGGCCACACGGGACTAGGGGCTCGATTCAATCCGTATCGCCAAGTTCAGCGCTATAGCACACATTTAATTTAAAAGGCAACGTTCCTGCATTCACGGTAAACGCTGCATATGTTGTCTGAATCTGACATTTTATTTCAAGCGTGCTGTGGCGCTGAACTTGAGAAGGTTTGAATCGTGCCCTAGAACTCCTTAAACCTGGCTTATTAGTTTAGTTTCATGGTTCAGAGGAAGCCTACAGTGACAGCATATGATTCAGGAATTCATAGTGAGATAGTAGAAATGCTGTCAGTTGAGAGAATGCACACATCCCACTATCTATTCAAAGCTAATAAACCTAAGAGGAAGGATACAGTCTTGTGGTAGTTGTAACCTGACAAGAGGAACAACAGCATAGCTTTACAGCATTCAAATAAAGCAACAATACATAAGATAATACAGGAATAAACAAGGCTTTAATGTAAATCATGGCAATAGTTTAATTCTAATAAGTTAGTCTCATTTAGCAAAGATTAACTGAAAATCAAAATGCACACGTCAGCACTACACAATTAATAAAAGTAATGTAAATATTCTCTAAATTTCTTGTTTACACGCTTAAAACCAGTCACCAATTACGGCATATCTATTTTATGCAGGTTAGAATGTGTTTTATGCACATTTCTCACTCTTCCACAGGTTGCTCTCCAAGCAATATAATACAGATTGTGTACTTGAAAGTACAGCTAGTTAATATATGTACACCTAGGCTGGGATTCAATCTGAGGCGTGCTATAGAACAGCGCACTAGAACAGACTTTTAAAGGTAATTTACGCTTTAGTCGACATGTGCAGCTGTTACTGTGAATATGATTTCTGCAAACGTCTGAGAAAATGCCTTTAAAAAGGTGCATTGTCTGCTGTGCTGCTCTAATGCACCTTGAATTTATTCCCGGCCCTAAAGACAGGGTATCTCAAATAAATCAAATGTTAGATATGTTATTGTCAACAATAACAAATTGTGAGTGAAATCACATCTAAATATGGAATACACAAAACATGCAATAAATGTATGATCTATCAGCCAAAACTGATACTGATTTTACTCTTTCATACTGTATACTGATTTTCCTATTGTTGAGATGGGTCTCATCATTGTCACCACCAGAAAGCTTACAGGTATACCCGAATGACAAGGCAATAATTCTGAAAAAGTTAATCATGAATCCTTCGTACATCCTTTGGTTGTTGAAAGCATCTACCCTCTCTGATAACTTACAAACATTGATAAATCATGTCAAACAGACACAAATAACATTTTTCTTTTGGCATTCATGATTTCAAGCTCAAACGATTGATATCATTGAATACATGTACAGTAAATGCATCCGTAACAGCTGGTCAAGGGTCAAATTGTTGTTCAACTCATAATGGTAAGGAGTAGGACAGGGGTCGAGAGAGATGACCCTAGAACAGCTGTTAACAGCAAAATAACCATAGGCTTGTTCTGCATTATGCTAACTTATACTGGAGATTTTGCCCTAGACGTGAAGCAGGTCGCAGGTCTATGCGTTGTGGAGCTCATGCTCCGGACCACTCCTGCCTACTGCATCTGGGTTCGACAGAGGGTCCAAGTCGGCAAACAGGTTAAACCAGGCTGAGAGGTCTTTGGAGGTCTCTGGCATCTCTGTAAAATCAGAACCAGGGGTAAACTATTTCACACAAGTTTACTATCTCACACAGTAAACTTGGATGTCTTGTTTAATACAGGGCTTCATCTGACTCAGACGTGCTATTCCTGGAAATATTTATACCCCACAAGTATTCCGAAAAGCACTCAAACACAGGTTATTGCTGGAAACACCAGCTTTTTTATGAGTTAAACCCTTTCTTTCAATTCTATTCATATGTTTTACTCGTTTGGCCCAATCCTACCTCTCGCTGCTGCTGGCCTAGAGGGGTTCTGATTGGCTCCAGATGATTGCTCTGTTGTCTGGGAGATGGGCTGTGGAATGCTCATGGCCCAATCTGGAAGGGAGATGCAGATTTAGACCTATCTTGAGGGGATACACATTGTTGCTTGATCCAGGAGACAATAAATTACTTTCACACAGAGCTTTTGTATTGACTTTGTGCAATAGACATGAATATTGTAATTATTGAACAATGCATGTCTTTACCAAATCTATGTATGTTCTCCAAAATACTATTTTGTCAGTCCATAACCATTTCAAAGGTCAAATAAGGGTTGCTTATATTTGTACTGTTTCACACATGTACACGTATGTATGTACCCTGTACAAGTGTGGTGTGAAATGGAAATGTGTGTTTAATAATACATTTAGATCCACATGAGGTTAAAAGATTATATTTCAGTGTGACTGTTCACTTCACTAGCCCCCCTCGATAAATATAGACACAAACACAAAAACAGATGAGGGACTAGTAGTCGCTGCCCAGACCCAGAGAGAAATGGAATGGAAAGAGATTAGCAATTAGCTATGGGTAAGCAAATCAAATAGCCACTGTCTATTACTTACACAGCTGTAGCTTTCAAAACTCATTTTAGGGCCACTTTTCTCTCAGTGTGGAAATTGTTACGCAAGGTTTATTTGTTGAAGTACTTATTCAGAGAGAAGAAAAACTGTCAAGGCCGACTGCACAGCCCTAATTATGTCATTTCTGGGCTCATTCATAAAATCTAACCAACCACAGGGTTGAATTTAATTACGCTAATAATACAAATTGATTCAATTGTCGCATGCTTCATACTCTGGTTAGGGATTTCTCCTCAATTTAATCAAGGATGACCTTGTACATGCTTTCTCCCCACATAATCCTGTGTTTTGGAAGAGCTACACGGTGATGCTTCACATGGTTTGTTTTTCAATGAAGAGCAATGGAATCTGACCAATGAATAAATATGCATAACAGTGTTGTATGATCTACAGTATTTGACCTCTGACCTGAGAGAGAAGATTGGAGGTTGTTCCTGTTCTGGTCCAGGAGGTAAGATGGGAGGAAGATGGAGGAGTCTTCCTCCTGCTGGGGTTCCACTAGGCCCCCTCTACTAGCGACTCCGCTCCCCTGGTCCCCCTTACCAAACACCTCCTGCCACTCCTGTGAAAACTCGCCCTCATCCAGAGACGTGCTGCCCAGAATCTCATTCAACAAGGCCATGCTGTCCCTCTCTCCACCCTCCTCCTGCTCCTGACGAGAAAAGGCTGAGAGAAGATCCTCAGGCCCTGGAAGAACCAATCAAATACTGTGTTATTGAGAGGTGGACAGTGGGGCCTGATAATGGGTAGTTGATTATATGGCTGCTAAGTATGTTTATTGGGGTGAAATAAGAAATAATTTCACATGATCTGTTCATTTATTTTTCTCTGATATTCATTTAGGACATTGGGACACATACGTTGAGGAGGTGCTTCTGTACATTACCTGTCATTTGTCTATTAAGGTCGATGTCTTCAAAGAATTGTCCAGAAGGTGTCTTGGTTTGAGCTGCATAGGATGAGAGTGAAAAGTGCATGGTAACTTGGTTTAAGGCCTAGATTCAATCTAATTAAGCATTAAACCGGACTCTATGCAGCCAATGGCAATGTCCGTGATAGGTATAATGCCGGTAGCCGCTTGTGGATTTGACAGCTCTATCACAGTTCCACCTCAGACACTGTCAACACAACAGCTATGCGGGTGTCGGGAATCTGATTTAATCTAGCCTTAAATCCATCAGTATAGAACAATTGTGCGTTACAATGGCTTGTTATTTAGTTAAAATATTCCTAATACACTATTGTCCTTTACCTTCTTCATTGGACTCTTCATTGGGATCTATTGAGACAAGTCTATGGACAAAAAACAAACATGTTACATATAGTGTACAGTATATGATCCTGTGTAGCCTAATGTAAGACTTTAAATGAATTCTGTCATGTTGTATGGATTTCCACTTACTGGCCATCTGCAGTCTCCTCAAGATCTTTCTTTGCTTTGGCTTTCTTCTCCCCCTTTTTCTTTGATCCCTGAGATGACAGTTTATCCATGGGGTCTTGGAGGCTCTGGAAGTAGAAGAACGACATACTGATGACGTCACAAGACATGACACTGACAAAGACAACTTGTGCTGTCGTCTAAGTGAGGCCTTCTGGTGAAACATACTGTTCCTTCTTAATGTAAAGTACAAAACTGTATGGACATCTTTTGAGTATATCACAGATCTGAAACGGACTATTCACCGTTTCCTAAATCCTGACAAATGATACAGCTTACAGAGTGATATGATAGAGGCCTCCCTCACCTTGAGTGTAGAGAACTCATAATGCTGGAAGCCCTTAAAGCTCTCATGAATGGCAGCCATAGTGTGAGACGTCTTCTCCCAGAAGTGCAACAGGGTGGTCTGAAACACACAAATACATATTAGCACAAGGCTGTGCCTGTAGCCAACAATTACTATTATGCAATAATTATTATTTTACTTTCTGTACATACACCACTCCTTGATATTCTGGTGTACCTGGTATGTGGTTAAAACATGAGAGAGCAGATTGCAGCGGCTGGCTCCTAATAAATCGACTTTCTGGCATACATCATTCTTCAGTTTGTCAAAGCTTGTTTTAGTGGTTCGCACCTGCACTTGAACCTGAGATGGAGAGGAGAGATAAGAGATATTAAATATTGCTCAACCGAAGACAAGATCATAACATAGGTACATAACATTGCATGGAATAAAGATCACACATCAGAATACACAGATGTTGCAAGTGCAACTGAAGTCTTTCTCACTCAAGATAACCCCTGAGTGCAACCAACACTAAACAGAAGAAAACATGCCTTTCCCCTAGTTCCCATGAATCAGCTCCACACTAAAGTACACAATCACACACACAACAATTTTACAGTAAATTGCACCATCTAGTGGTAAATGTAACAATTTCCATTTTCAGTATGATTCTATGAAACTCAGATTGAATTCTCTCTGTAAAGAAACAGGAACACATGCTTAATCAATCTGGCCCACAGACTTCATCCATACTGTTTAAACAGTCCTTCATCCTGATATGATTGAGACCTATATCTAAAGAGAGTACACTAACCTTGCGGAATTTCTCCATCTGTTTGTGTGTGTCTGGATCGAGCTCCTGGGATACGTCCTTCATCCAGAGCAGTGCTCCACGGTATTCCGTCCTGGACTGTTCCATGCGGTTCACCGTCAGCCAGGTGTCAGAGATGGCCCGGTAGCGGAAAGTCTCCACCTCCTGGTAGAGGCGACACAAAGGACTACGCAGAGACAGCCTGAGGGGGAAAAAAATACTGTCATCAACAGAGAACAATTCCACTCATCCAAATGCAGCTGACACAAGTGCAGCTGACACAATGTGGATGAGGGAGTGGGGTGAAGAGCAGGAACTGGATGAAAATATACTCGGACTCTTTTTGACTGCGTTATGGTCACTAAAGCTTAAAGATGGAGCAGCAAACAGTAAGTAAAAATGAACCTTTGAACCGTTACCTAAACGACATGGATTACCATAGCACTCTCTCAATAATGAGTCTTCAGTTTCTATTCAAACACTCTGGGTACTGTGTTGATACAGTACAGTACAGGCCTATGTCTGTCGGAATACAAAGCTGTCACTGTATGCTGTTTTCTTTCTCTTTTTGTCTCGCTACACAGCAGACTCCTAGCCTGTCCCCTAGGAGCCAATTGATGCAATCTCCTGTCTCATGTCTCTCTACACTGGTCTGTCTGTCTGACTCTTCTCTTCTGGTAGATGGAGACTATCATAGGCAGTGCATAAGTTTCAAGTTTGGGGAAGCTAATTTTCTCCATAAAAATGTACCTTTATAATATAGCATTCCATGCATCATCGCATTTGCAGACTTATGTAAGATAGCCTACTATTCATAATGTGATGAGTAGATTGGATAGTCATGATTTAGGCTAATAATATAACTCAATCACTGTTTGCAAAAAATACTGTTCAATGCATGGCTGAGCGAGTAGTAAAGTAGAGTAGACACTGGCTATATCAGATACGTTTCTTCTCCTTTCTTTGCATGGGAAAAATCTTTTATAAACACATTTCATGCAACTCTACAACACTTTATATGACTGGAGACATTAGCAGAATCAAAAATTACAGGGTAACCTACTCTGCTGACACTGACAAACAGATCAATAAAAATGATGTTGTCTGATCCATATTGTATTCGTGTCTCCCCTTCTCCTAGGCCTAATATATTATAATAGGACTACGAGAAGGGGAGACACAAATACATTCAATATGACGTCCATCTAACCCAGAAGAGGAAATTATTGTCCAAAACCTAACTTTCAAGTGGCACTGATCAGTGAATATGTGCACTCACCAGGGATATAGCCGATGACCTCGGCTGGTGCTGATAAGATTGTTCACTCAATTAAGTTGAGAATTTTGATAACTAAAATATAGTCACCAACAGTAGTCGGCTCTGGGATTCAAACCAGCAACCTTTCAGTTACTGGCCCAACGCTCTTAACAGCTAGGCTACCTGCCGCCCATTTTAAAAGAAGTTAATGATCCTCTGTGGCCAAACCATGCTTTCTGGTGTAGTAGCCTATTTTGAATGATTTTATTTATTTCTGTATAGACAGGAGTAGGCTAATTAGGCTATATCATGTTGGCAATTGAATTCCCCTAGCCTTATGGATGCGCCGCCTATGACTGCTATCCTGCATGTCTATCTCTCTACACTGGTAGTCTGTCTCGTCTCCTCTGGTAGAGGGAGAGAGACTACTATCCTGCATGTCGGTCTCTCTACCTTGTAATGTGAGCCCCCTATCCTGTCTGTCTCTCTATCTGCATTGCAATATCCAGTGTGTCTGTCTGTCCTCTGGTAGTGTGGTCCAGGTACAAACCTCTGCTGTGAGGAGAAGCAGAGGGCCTTCCCGGTAGCCTGCATGATCTTCCCAGCCCTGGTCCTGTCCTGGGAGCCCTGTGAGCGCAGGAACCGCCCCAACTCATTCTCCTCCTGGGATAGAACTGAAGAGGAGGGATAGAACCACATAGTAGAACTCAGAGGATTGAACAGGGCTTCAGAATCCGGGTCCAGAAGAACCTTGAGTATCCTGATGTAACTGGGTCCGACATGTAAATGCTAGCGTTTAGCATGGAAGTGGGTGCCAAATGTGAGGGTGAAAAACAGACTCACAGCAGATTCTTCTCTGGTACTGCTCTATCACCTTCAATAGCTCCATGCATGTTCTCTGGACAGAGTGAAACACCTACAATGCCATGGAAAAATTACTTGTGCACAGTCATGCCAGTCAACAAATATATATGCATTTTATGCAAATCTTTAACAGTCATCTGCCTATGTTATTTGAGATTAACGGAGGTTGATACTTGATATTGTCAGCTCAGGTCTTTGGTAATTGGCCCAACAGTTGTCTGTGTATCTATGACAATGTATCCATGAAACAGTAACAAAACAGATTTGAAGCATTTGATCTGTGAAGCTAACCTCCAGTTTGCCATCCAGGTCTGCGTCTGACGCCACGACATGTTCGTCCTCTTTCTTTCCTGTGACCTTGATGATCTTCTGTTTGGTTTTCCAGTACTTTTGCTGGAACTTGTTCACCACAGACGAGTCTTGACTTTCAATAAAGCGGTCAAAATACTCCCGGGAGTAGCCACCACTGCAATGACATCCGAAACGGTCAAAGTCTTGTTACTTTATCAACCATATGTTAAAAAACATAAATACATTTGTGATGCTAATTCAATGAATATGGTGAATGTTTGTGTACTCACTAATTTCCCCTCTCCATTTTGTCAGGTTACCTGTAACATAGGTGACATGTTATGTCAAGGCTTTGAAGGCCAATTTCAACTCCCTTCACCAGGTAGGTCTGGACCAATGGTGTTGACAGTGGACTCAAACTGTATGAGTTTCTACCTGCCCATTGGTTGAGGTCAAATATTAACCAAAAGTAGCTACTGTGAAAACAAACTTGACATCCAACACCATTTTGAAAAGTGCACCTGCTGCACAACCTGTTATCCTAGACAGTCATGGGAAAATGATTGGGAGAATGGCCAATTTATGAACCCAATCCTTCTGTTATTTTCATGCATTAATGATTATTTTTTATATACTTTTTTTGGTAAACATATTTATATAAAATGTATCATGTTAGGGGACTCATTATCTTGCTCGATAGACAGTTCAAACAACAACAAACATTGAATTATTCATTGAGAAATAGGTATATATATATATAATAACCGTTTACAAAATGAAACAAGGCTCAACCTACCATGCTAGTCTGTAGGCTAACAGTCCAGACCCGAAAGGGCAATACGCTGTCACGATTCAGCAGCCTCTGATAATAAGGTGCCTGGTTTTAGGCCGCTCGCTGAGAAGGCAAGCACGCACCTTGTTCAATACATTATCATCAGATAGCAAAAGATAATGCCATAACAGAAGATTCATAATAAGATGATTCCTGCAATGTCCGGCTTTATTCGGCCGCCGTACCAGAATAAACACAGAAGGCTTCCCATCATCAGCGTATGTGAACCAGACCGTCCCCTCTCCATATTCTTATAGCCGCCAATAAACACCTATTGACCAAAAGAAATTCATTTACATTGAAAATCACATACCTTGCTGTGTTGATAGCCTATCATTCAGCTATAGCCAACGTCCATACATTTATTCTATTATTATTGACTGTAGGTTATACAGTGTAACCAGCTGCTCATTCTGTTGAGTACAATCCTTGCGCAGAATGATCGATGACGTCATGTAACAACGCACCAAACTCACTCCCACTTCGCTCCCTTAAAAAAAGGTGCAGTCGCGTTTGTTGATCAAATATTTGGGATTGGCAAATAAAGCGGCAGGGGATAGGTTTGCATGAATAACCTCCCTGCATGTAATTATATAATTTGTTATGTGCAGTGTAGTGGCCTTAAGGACTCGGTTGATGGTAAATATGAAAAATGACAGTAAAGGGGGACAGTACGTCCGAGCCGACTAGGTGAAAAATCTGTCGATGTGCCCTTGAGCAAGGCACTTAACCCTAATTGCTCATGTAAGTCGCTCTGGATAAGAGCGTCTGCTAAATGATTAAAATGTAAATGTAAAATGTAGGTAAAAATTGTTAGCGCATCTTGACGCCCACTACAGAGGACAGTTACTAACAAGCTCTTATTTAATGTGAAGAAAAAAAAATGATTACACTGCTCTGAAAACTCACCAAACTATTCTTGATACCTGTTAAGCCCCGTTTATACCTGGTTCTAACTTGCATCCTTTTTCTTGTCCACATTCTGATTGTGCCCACATTTTCAGACAGGTGTAGATTATGAAAAGATGCATTGTGATCTGATTCTGATCTTCCTGACCGCTTCCGGGGGTAGTCAGGCACGCATTGGTCGCGATCCCCTGCTCAGACGTTGCATGGGCATCAACCAATGGTTGTGTGCAACGTCATCGACAGACGGATTGCTATAACATATGATGTGGTTTGCTGATACCTAAAATACATATTCTGGCGTTGTAAGATCTGGCAGCAGTCAGCAACGCCTGGGCAGAAGAACTCGTCCATTGTGTCTGGATATCGACTGTGAAACCATTTAAATCATCATGATCCCGCCTCCTAAAATCATTGCCAGGTGGCACAATTGACTAATGACATCAATATCTGTCTTAAAATAAATAAATACATATTTTTTTGTGAAAGAATAGCTGCCAAATAATTTGCATACAGGGAGGGACCAGGAAATCTGGTCGCAGTGAGACACATTTTAATATCATGCGTAGGCATATTTCTGAAAATGTGGGCACAATCAGTTCAAAGGACACATTACACACCAGGTATAAACGAGGCTTCAGAAACAATTTGAATATGAAAGTCATTAAAATTATAATTACACAATTACACACACTTACCATAAAATGTGCTAATTGTGATGGTAATTGTGATGGTAGCCATTTTGATGAACCAGAAATAAAAAAGTATCAAGGTGACAACCCCCACACATGTGATATCATTGAAAAGCCCAGAATGTCCTCTCAAGGGTACAACATAAACTAACACAGTGGCATATACGGCCTTAGAGCTATGCACCAACAACTAATGTCCATTAGAGAGGACCAAAATGAATTGCTGGGTCTCAGGAGGATATAACATCATGGCCTTATGATGAATTGATTAACAAATAAATACAAATATAGTCAAGGGACAGCCCTTTGAAAGAGAGAGAGCAAGAGAGAGAGAGAGAGAGAGAGATGAAGAATGCAAAAACCTTAGAAAGAAATTGAGAAACCTATGACTGTAAGTCGCTTTGGATAGAAGTGTCTGCTAAATGGCATATTATTATTATATTATTATTATTATTATTATTATTATTATTATTATTATTATTATTATCCAACCAAAAACACAGAGACCCAGAAAAATGTAGCTTACGCCTTCACTATGGGGAATCACTGAAACAGTACAGAAATACACTAAGAACAAAGCATGTCAGAAAACAGCTCAATGTGATTGAAGAATGCATAAAATAAAATCACTTCTGGGAAAATTGGAACACACTAAACAAACAACACGAAGAGCCACCTATCCAAAATGGAGATGTATGGATAAACCACTTCTCCAACCTTTTCGGCATAAAACAAAGAACCAACAATAAAGACATGATAATTTACAAAACTTAGAATCAGCTATTAAAGACCACCAGAACCCATGGGATTCTCCAATCACATTGGATGAGCTACAGGACAAAATACAAACCCTCCATCCCAAAAAGGCCTGTGGTGTTGATTGTATACTAAAGGAAATAATAAAATATACAGACCATAAATTCAAATGGGCTATTCTTAAACTCTTTAAAATGATCCTCAGCTCTGGCCCAATATTTGGAACCAACATCTGGTCACCTCAATCCACAAAAGTGGAGACAAATTTGAACCCAATAATTACTGTGGAATCTGCTTCATGAAAAATCATCTGCAGTATCATCAACAGCAAACTCCAACATTGAAAACAATGTCCTGAGCAAATGTCAAATTGGCTTCTTATCAAAATACCGTATGACAGACCACACACACACTTATTGACAAGCAAACAAAACAAAAGCAAAGTCTTCTCATACTTTGTTAATTTCAACAAAACCTTTGACTACATTTGGCATGATGGTCTGCTATACAAACTGATGGAAAGCGGTGTTGGGGGAAAAACATATCATATTATATAAATCAATGTACACAAACAACAAGTGTGCAGTTGAAATTGGCAATAAACAGACAGATTTCTTTCCTCAGGGCCGTGGATGAAATAGGGTTGCAGCTTGAGCTCTACCCTCTCCAACATACTGTATACAGTATATCAACAAATTAGCAAGGGCACTAGAACAGTCTGCAGCACCCGGCCCACCCTACTGGAGTTTTTGCAGATGATCTGGTGCTTCTGTCCCCAACCAAGGAGGGCCTACAGCAGCACCTAGGTCTGCTGCACAGATTCTGTGAGACCAGGCCCCTGACAGTGAATCTCAGTAAGACGAAAATAATGGTGTTCCAAAAAATGTCCAGTTGCCAGGACAACAAATACAAATTCTATCTTTACACCCTAGAGCACACAAAGAATTATACCTACTGTACCTCGAACTAAGCATCACCACCACAGGTAACTGTAGCTCAGTTGGTAGAGAATGGCGCTTGCAACGCCAGGGTTGTGAGTTCGTTTCCCACGGGGAGCCAGTATGAAAAATGTATGCACTCACTAACTGTAAGTCGCTCTGGATAAGAGCGTCTGCTAAATGACGTAAATGTAAAATGAACATAAAACTCAACATCCCAATTAGGATCTGGCTAAAAATACTTCAATCTCGACTTCGTCTCAGGCCTAACAAAACTCGTTCCAGTGCCTTTGGAAAGTATTCAGACCCCTTGACTTTTTCCACATTTTGTTACGTTACAGCCTTATTCTAAAATGGATTTAAAAGAAGAATCCTCAGCAATCTACACATAATACTCCATAATGACAAAGTGAAAACAGTTTTTTTTTTTAAACAACTTATTTACATAAGTATTCAGACCCTTTGCGTTGAGACTCAAAATTGAGCTCAGGTGCATGCTGTTTCCATTGATCATCCTTGAAATGTTTCTACAACTTGATTGGAGTCCACCTGTGGTAAATTCAATTGATTGGACATGATTTGGAAAGGCAAACACCTGTCTATATAAGGTCCTACAGTTGACAGTGCATGTCAGAGCAAAAACCAAGCCATGAGGTCGAAGGAATTGTCCGTAGAACTCCAAGACAGGATTGTGTCGAGGAACATATCTGGGGAAGGGTACCAAACATTTTCTGCAGCATTGAAGGTCCCCAAGAACACAGTGGCCTCCATCATTCTTAAATGGAAGAAGTTTGGAACCACCAAGACTCTTCCTAGAGCTGGCCGCCCGGCTAAACTGAGTAATCCGGGGAGAAAGGCCTTAGTTAGAGAGGTGACCAAGAACCCGATGGTCACTCTGACAGAGCTCTAGAGTTCCTCTGTGGAGATGGGAGAACCTTCCAGAAGGACAACCATCTCTGCAGCACTCCACCAATCAGGCCTTTATGATAGAGTAGCCAGACGGAAGCCACTCCTCAGTAAAAGGCATATGACAGACCGCTTGGAGTTTGCCAAAAGGCACCTAAAGACTCTCAGACCATGAGAAACAAGATTCTCAGGTCTGATGAAACCAAGATTGAACTCTTTGGCCTGAATGCCAAGCGTCACGTCTAGAGGAAACCTGGCACCATCCCTACGGTGATGCATGGTGGTGCCAGCATCATGCTGTGGGGATGTTTTTCAGCGGCAGGGACTAGGAGACTAGTCAGGATCAAGGGAAAGATGAACAGAGAAAAATACAGAGAGATCCTTGATGAACACCTGCTCCAGAGCGCTCAGGACCTCAGACTGGGGCGAAGGTTCACCTTCCAACAGGACAACAACCCTAAACACACAGCCAAGACAACGCAGGAGTGGCTTCGGGAAAAGTCTCTGAATGTCCTTGAGTGGCCCAGCCAGAGCCCGGACTTGAACCCGATCAAACATCTCTGGAGAGACCTGAAAATAGCTGTGCAGCAACGCTCCCCATCCAACTTGACAGAGCTTGAAAGGATCTGCAGAGAAGAATGGTAGAAACTCCCCAAATCCAGGTGTGCCTAGCTTGTAGCATCATACCCAAGAAGACTTGAGGCTGTAACCGCTGCCAAAGGTTCTTCAACAAAGTACTGAGTAAAGGGTCTGAATACTTATGTAAATATGACATTTCAGTGTAATTTATTTTAAAAAATGAGCAAAACCTAATAAAAACCTGTTTTTGCTTCATCATTATGGGGTATTGTGTGTAGATTGATGAGGGACAATCTTTTTAAATCAAATTTAGAATAAGGCTGTAACCTAACAAAATGTGGAAAAAGTCAAGGGGTCTGAATACACAGTGGCAGAATACCTGACCACTGTGACTGACCCAAAATGAAGAAAATCCTTGACTATGTACAGACTCAGTGAGCATAGCTTTGCTATTGAGAGAGGACACCATAGGCAGACCTCGCTCTCAAGAGAAGACAGGGTATGTGCCCACTGTCCACAAAATTAGGTGGAAACTGAGCTGCACCTCCTAACCTCCTGCTAAATGTATGACCATATTAGAGACACATATTTCCCACAGATCACACAGACCCACAAAGAATTTGAAAACAAATCAAACATTGATCAACTCCCATGGTGAAATACCGCAATGTGCAATCACAGCAGAAATAATTGTGGCCCGT